TAAAACACCTAAATTATTAGGGTTTTACTTCCAAACATTAAGTGATTGGATGGCTTTAAAATACATTGAGAAGTTACAATCAGGATATGCTAGTAAAATTTTTAAAATTTACAACAAGTAAAAATTTAATCGATTTAAGGCCGTACCAGAATACCTATTGGAGGATTCGAAAATTAAGAGTGCAGAATAACAGTAAAATTACTTAATTATCTCTAAACTGATATTGATTCAAGATACCCTCAAGGTCATACATGGTATAATTCATATTTAATAAATAGCACACATACAATTGATATGCCTCCTTATTCAAATCAACAAATTTTATAGAAAAGATTAGAAGAAGCTTTATTATTTTAAGGTGAAACATTTGATCTAGTATGATCATATCAATATATCACAAATTAAATTATTATTTTGTTTTGCGCTTCAATTATAAAATAGCCATTTTTAAAATATATTATTATACTTTTTGATATTTATAAATATCTCATTATTTAAGTCCATCCAAATTTATTAATTAATTAATCTTCTACAAATATTTAGTTAAAAATTTTAATTTACATAATTGAAACAGAAATTAAATTATTTTTAAATTACAAATAACTCATTAATGACAATTGTTAATTTTCTATTTCATTTTGAATATGATTTCTTTGTTTTCCAAAATTAAAAATCAAAAGTTTAATACAATATCACTTATTATATTACCCAAAAATCTTAAAAAATATTGGAAATCAATTTCTACCCATATGGCTATATAATATGTATAAATCAAAAATTTTATTCTCTTTATTTTCTTTTGAGTCATCAATATATTAATAATCTATCAAGAAAGTTTTATTAAATTTATTCTTATTGATATTCAAAGAATCACAAATCCTAGAATATTACAATAAATATATATTATTTGACATTATTAATATTATTGTATTATATTATATTGATATATTAAATTTAATTTATTTTATTATTATTTTATAATTATCATTTTTTAGTTATTTAGAATTGATTGGAGTTATTAATCTGTGTATTTGTAAGGTTAATTTACATCTCTCCTTGATTAATAGTATTATCTTCAGATTTTAAAACATCAAAGAATTACATTACATTAATTTTATAATTCTATGTTTTTAATTTATATAGGTCAAATAGAAAATGAAATATGGCTTACGTCGAATTATATATTCTATTTAAATCATTATTTGTTTATGCTTATCCTTTCTAATAAGTCCACAATTATTAATTTATAATTAAATTGTTATTAAAATTACATCCACAGTAACACTATTGATTTAAAAAATTATTAAAGAAATCTTTTGCATTATTCTCACTTTTAAATCCAACATAACAGGTTATTGAACATTATTTACAATTTATTTAAAACGTAGTAACTTAATTCACCACTTTATATAATTAATTATATTGATTATACTGATTATATTTAACAGGATATTTAGTATAGTAATAGACATTAAAAGTCTAGATTAGTAATTATTTGAGTTAATTATAACTATCTTCAATTATTTTTGCATAATCTTCTTCTTGAACTGGGTTAGATGGCTTCTATAAATCTGTTACGACTGGTCTTTATAATTAAGAATTGTATAATTAATTAGGAACTTTAAGTGGTTCATTTTTTGAATCATTTGTAAATAATTATTCTTTTTCAATTTGTTAGAAATTTTTGATGCTGCTATCAAAATAAACTTTTGCACTATTATATGATGTTTTTTTAACTATACTCTGGCCATTAAATTCAAAATGCCAATTCTATGATAAATATTATGAAATTTAAAAAAATGGGCTTTATTAATCTGTTATTATCGATTTATCAGCATCATCTGCTCCTGAATAAAATGTTCGAGCAACAATTATTTTTTTTGCATATTCCTGATTTAAAATTTTAACAATAGACTATAATATTTACTATGTTTCTGTGGTTAATCGAGTACGTGTTGCTTTAATGCATATCATTATGATATCAATTTATAAAATATTTTCGTAAATAAACTGAGATATTTTCTGAATAGTCTAATAATCGTTTTTTCCATAAATTCCAGGTGTATCAATAAAATGTATACCATAATCTCTTTAATTATGAGGTTCAACATAATAATGTAAAATTTCTTCAGTTGATAATTAATCAGCTACAATTAATCTAAAATTATCTTCCCATGTAATTCCAAAATAATAATTAACAAATGCGTTTATTAATGTTGTCTTTCCTACTTCTTTTTCTCCAATAAATATAATATTTTTATATTTTTAATTAGGCATTTTTTATTGATAATATTTATATTACGGATCTCCAGTCTTTTTTTAATCTATTTTTATTAAAGGTAATGATAATTTAGGTTTTAACTAAACAAATTAAAAGTTAAGTTCAATTTCAGTTAATATATTCTAACATATTTTATGTACTTCAAATTCTTTAAAGTATTTTAATTTAGATTAAACTGTTTAAATTTAAATTGAATTGAGTTTCTTCCATTCTTATAATTATTAATTTTCTAAATTGAAATTCTATTATTAATTTTTAAAATATTAATCTAATTCATCCCAAAATTAACTGCTTTGTTCTCGAAACTCTACTTAAGATTATTATTTCCATTAATCAATTATTTTTAATAAATTTTATATTTCATTATTAATTGTATTACCTAATTCCTCAATTTGAGTTTAAAGTTGTTTTAATTACAATAATAGATGATTCTTAAATCTGTTATTAATTTATTATTTTTGTTGTATTTGAGATTAAATCTATTCTTTAACTTTTTTCCATCCTACAGTCTGAGTGTCAGTTTCTAGATTTTCCATGCATTATGAACACACAAGTCTTTCCCGAATAGAAAGTTTTGGATCTTAAAGTACAGCAATTATAGGCAGTTTATGTTCTTAAATACAATAATACTCATTTTCTATTATTTTAGACATTTTAATATATATTTTAAATAATTTTATTTTAACAATTTATTTTGGGGATTTAATTATGAAATCATTAGATAAGTGATCAATATAATTTATTAATATAAAAAATTTTCATTTTTACTATTTTATCTAAAATTGCTTCATTTAGTAGATTAATTTTTGTTACATTATAATTTATTCATAATTCTATAATAATATAATTCAAAAGAATTTTTTGAATTTAGATCAATTTCCAACTTAAGAGACAATAAGCAAGTAGGTGATCAGATTCAATTATGTTACAGTTATTATATTAAAAAATATATCATTTATTCGAAAATAATACTCAACTTCCCAAATAACAAAATGTTTGTATATAAATAAAACATATATTATTAAATAATTTATTGGGTATTCGAATTTTATGAGAAATGTTGAGATAACTTTTATAATTTTAATCCCCAACCATATTTAATTGGAAATTTTCAAATATAATAATAATAAATGCTTAATCAATTTTTTAATTTAATTCCTTTATATAGAAGATATTAGAATGGAAGTAGAGTTTGAAAACTGCGTTATTGAATCTTTGAAATAATAATTTCTAAATTATTCCTGTATTAGGATAAAAATGATTCATTATTCAAAATTCATATTATCAAAGATGAAATGAATTTATGAATTATGTGTTTCTATTTTCCACCAATTAAATTATTAATCAACTTTTCTGTGTTTTATTATTTAATAAATCTTCTCAATCAATCTATAAATTTAAATTTAATGAAAAATCTTCAAGAATTTTATCTATTTACTTCTAATTAGATATATACTATTTATTTAGATAATTAAAGCCAATTATTTTTGATGAAAGGATTACAACTCAAAATATTTATACTCTAAATAATTGGGTTAGATGATTAAATTTGTCTTCAGGAAAGATAGATTAACTTAAGTGTTCTTATAAAAAATAGAATATCATCAGTTATCTTGGATTTATTCTAATTGAAATCAGATGAATTGATTTGCCATTTGAAATTGTCTAAACCATTAAAATAATACATTTTTCCACAGATATTATAATTTTATTAATTAATATTGTTTTTTTGATTATTTGATAAAAATTGAGTATCTCAATTAGTTTCTTAATCTTACATTATTTGCTTTAATTACAATGAATTTACTATTATATATTGATCTTAAATTGATTAAGCAATTTCTGAAAAATATATATTAATCACCCTCTTTCATATAAAAGAATAATATGATATATATATTTGCAATGAAATATTTATTTTCTTTATTTAATAATTTTTTTTATGGATTTGATTCAAAATTCAATAAAAAGGTTTGTTATTTCTTATAAGAAGAATTGAATTAATAATTTTCTTTTATTCCTTTCTAAATTTTCGAATAATAAAAATATATAAAATAAAAATAGAAGGATGTCTGATAACAATAGTGAAGAGAATTCAACGAGTAGTCGTGAAATTAACCTAGAATTTATAATAGTAAATTTTATGATAATTCTTTTTTAATTAGGAAAAACTATACGTTGAATTGATAGATATAAGAGATCCCATTTAAAATTATATTGAATACTTCCCATAATTTGATTTAAGTAAAATGTAATAAGCAAATGGAATAAATATCTTCAAATTGACAAGCAAACTAAAAGAAATGGGAATACAATTAGAAGGACGAACAATTTGTTATTACAGTTTTGATTGTGATATGTATATTAATTGTGGATTGGATCCTGTACATTATTCTTATGTAATGCCAATACATGAAATAAAACAAACAAATCAATTACGAATTAAATGTATTCAGACTGGGATTTCATTGATTCACTTAGTAATGTCAGAAGAAATGAATGAAAAAGTTAATAAAATGAAAGAATAGGAAGGAAATGAATAATAATAATAATAGTAACATCAAGGATAAGAGAATTAAAAGTAATGCAGAAGAACAAAAGAAAGAAGAATTGGATATATCATAGAGAAAGTTGCAAAATGGAGAGAATATTATAATGTAATATTTTATCAAAATATCTTTAAGGGTATAACAATAGATGGAGAAAGTAAAAGATTTACTTTAGAAGAAGCTGCTTAGAAAGTTAATATCTCTAAAAAGAGTTTAGATGATTATTTACTATAAATTCGATATGGAAGAAAATTCGGGTTTAATTTTAATGAACATAAGAATGAAAAAGTTGGAGTATTAAGAGCATTTGTCAAGAAGAATAATTCTACAAAGAAAAAGAAGGTAAAATAAGAATGATTACCAAAGTTTAAAAAATCTATTAGTTTATTTTATTTATTATAATACTCTAATCTTTTATACAAATCATTTAGTCTTATGATAAGATTGATGTAGCATTAATAAACATAATCATATATCTTAATCCTAATATCTTCGAAGTATTAGCACTATAATTCAATAATCAAGTTTCCTTGGCTTGTGTGTGATTCGTTAGCTAAAAACTCATTAAAATTCTTAAGTTTAACATGTAAGATTTTAACCATATAATATGTTATCCTAAATAAACTTAGATATTATATAAAATTCTAATAATCATTATTACAATAAATTATAAATTTCTGGCGTATCAATAAAATGCATACAAAAAAAATATATAAATCTAAAAATATAACAAATAATAATATATTGAACAACTTTAAAATAATGTAGAAGATATTATTCATTTATTATTTAATTAATCAATAAGCCATTTCTATTACTCTTTAATAGTTTATAAATTTTTAATTCTTGCTTCATATCCTGGCTTTTTTTGTTGTTCCTCTTCTTTAATCAAATAGACAATAAATTCAGATTCGACATCACTGATTGCTGGTTATAATGCTATTTCATTTAATCTTTTAACAGATTTCAATAACTACTAAATTTTACCTTAGCATTTTTATTTATTACTTAATAAGTCTTAATTTAGTTGATTAAGCAAATCTTGTTTGGATATCTTAATTTTAGATAATTCTTAGTGTCTTTTTTTTAAATCTTCTAAAACAACTTCTTTAACATTCTCTTTAACTTCAAATCGAAAACTCATATTTTTATGATCCTACCAATTACATTTGCCTTCACAAACTGTACATTATCCATTACTCATTGCACAACAATTTCTTGTATACTCACCACAACTACATGGATAATGACAATCAAAATTACATTTGATACAATTGGTAACATATTCTTTTGGTTTTAAATCAATTTTGACAATTTCAAATCCTTTTAAAGAAATTTTGAAATTTTTAGATTCGAATTCTTGTTATGAAAGTTTCTCAATCCTCTCAACTAAAACTTCAATTTCATCTATTAAAGTTAATTGTTTTTAAATTTCTGGTTTTAAGTGAATAATTATGTTTTATATTTATTTTCTTTCAAATATTACTTCTTTAGTGAGTTTCAAACTGACAAACTCTGTCTTTAATATTTTTTCTTCATAAAATTATTAAAATTAATCATAAGCTTCATCCCATAATGTTTTATAAATTGTTGGTTTTCCGACACCTTTAAATGCTGAATTATTAAATTTGAACCAATAAGGATCTTTTGTTTAAGCTATAAATTTAGCAACTGGGCTTGCAGAATGTTATTTATCTCCAGGAAAGAATAATGCTTGAAGTGCTTCTGGTTCATCATAATCTGCAAATGTAAATAAGAACATAAAATTTTCAATAACATCATTACCAAATAATTGCAATAATTTATTCATAACATATTTTTGAGGAATAGTTAATCTGTTTAAAGTTGATCTAATTACAAAGCATATTAAAGTTAATGAATCTAACTCTTCCAACTTATCTGTAATTAATTTAGTTATTTATTCATCATAAGCTTATCCTCTTGTATCTCCAAATCCTGGAGTATCTATTATTCTTAAACCAGGTTTTCCATCTGTTCCTTTTAAATAATATTCTAGAACTTCTGAAGTTTAACTGAAAGCTTGATTTCGAAAATTATCTCCAGTTTCGTCAACAATTAAAAATCTAAATGGATAATCATATTGAACCCCCAAATAATAGTTACAAAAGAAATTAATAGTAGTTGATTTGCCAACTCCAGTTTCTCCTATTACTATTAAAGTTTTAAATTCACTAATATCTTTAAATTATGATGCTTGATATCTAGGATATAAATAAATCTTTAATATTGAATCATTCTCTTTTTTTTATTCAATTAGTTTACATTTCCTAGTCAATTATTCAAGCTATTCTTTAATTATTTATTTTTGATTATCTATATTTAAAGGTTAGTAGAATAAGTTTTAGTTTAGCTAAATATTACTAGGATTAAATTGTTATTATTAGATAAAAGGCAAAACTTATGGAACTTAATTGTTATTTTATGTTGAGTCATTATAATTCATTTGCAGATCAGTTTATTTTAATTTATCATCTTAAAGTAGATTTTATTATTATTATTTTTGATATTGATATTGATTAAATTATAACTTTTATGTTTAATTTGTGTTTTAAAGAGAAACTTGTTTATTTTAATTAAATTAATTGGCATCTTAAGGAAAAGCTTACAAATTTTAGAATTATTAAGGTTATATTATGACAAAAGGAGTTTATTTCTAAAATTGTTATTGAGTAAAAGGTTTTAATTGATTTACTTATGGTGATTAGAATTTCTAAATAAGTAGATAATTTGGAGTAATATTTAATTATAATTGTTAATAGAAATTGTGTAATTATTTATATTGATTATCCAAAACCTGAATCTATTGTTCAATTTGTTTCTTTTATTCATCTTTAAATTTTATCATTGTATTCAACACTTCAGTCTTTTAATCCAAATTGATCTTATTAAAGCATTCTATTGATATTTAATATTTGGTTTTTATTCCTGTAATTAAAGTATTGTAAGTATCCTATGCCAATTGTTATTATTTAACTACAATTTGAAGTAAATTTTAGCTAATTTCATGGATTTCTTAAATGAAATTGTTTATTTAATTTATTTCCTTTTAATCAACAGAATGACTAATATGCATTCCATTTTAAATGCAGCAAAAACAAAATAATCTTGCATCTTTGCAATTGCTATTTGTGCAAAAAAAATTAACTTCCTTTTAATGTCTAGTACAATACATATTATTCTAATTATGCTGATGATATTATTTAAACATTATTAATAATATACATTTAATTAAAATATATAGATTAAATATTGAAAATTTATTTGATTTAAATCTATCATCATAAGTAATTATTTTTCTAAATACTCATTTAATCAGATCTTAAAAATATATATTTATTGATATTCATCTTTCTCAAAGTTAAACTTTTAATTGATTACAATATGTATATTGAATTGATCTAGAAAAAGAAAATAAGAAATTTTTATTCTAATTTAATTGTTTCAAAACAATCTTTTGAAAGTTAAAATTAGGAAAATATAATTTATCTCAACTTTAATTGTGAAAATAATATAGATTTTAATAAAGAATCATGATTATAATTAAGTAATAATTATAATATCTAAAGGTTCAACATCATATATCAAACTCTATTTCCATTCCAAATTCTTATATATAAAAAAGTCTTAAATACAAGTTCATATTTTTCCTATAATTTAGTTACAATTTTGAATTGTTATTATATTTTTTAATTATAAATGGAACTTAAATATTATTATACATAATACACTGGCAATTCATTTCACTAGTTTTTCTAAATTAAGATTTATTTTGAATTCAAAATTATTCTTCACTTTATTAATTATTATCATTTTCTTAAACTTAACTTTTAGTATTCATTAGACTTAAATTAATCTTTCTTTATATAGCTAAGAGAAATTTTTATTCAATTTGTTCTTCTTGAAATGGGTAATTATAATTTAATATTTGTGCATAAAAAGCAGATAGAAGATAAAATATCTTAAAAATTAATGATATTATTTATTGAGAAGAAAATCAAAAATGTTGACTTCCTTAACTAATAAATTACCTATCCATACATTTTTACTTTAAAAACGATCATATTATTAAACATAATATAAACCTAATTTTTATCTGTTAAGATATTCTAATTATCAAATTAAAATCAATAAATTAATTTATTATTTAGATCAATAATGAAATTTTGTGCATCTTCTATATAAGCAAAGCCAATAAAATAACTATTGCAATGCTGAATATAATTTAAAGTTTAAGAATCAATGAAAATTTAGAATTTACTGTTATTAAAAAAAATAAATTATATTATATTTAGAAAAGATTTTTAGATAGAATAGATAATGAAATATAAAATATACATAGTTCTACATATTTGTTTTTAATAATTAATAATAATGTATATAAGATTATATTATTATGCTCAGTTGTAATATTTGTAAATAGTATGACAGAGAGTGAAACAGTTTTGTAATGATTAGAAACTAGTGAATTTGGAAAAACTACAAGTTTCCTGCTTTTAATTAACATAGTAGTCTATTAGGTTGGTGTTCTATGAATTATCCTCGTGTTCTATAGAATCCTTAATTTATACCTAAACCAAAACCTAAAGAATACGATGATAATCTTGATTTTCTATATTAAAAACGTAAGAAAGTATTATAATCATAAGATTAAATTAGGAATAATAAAATAATCAACTAATTAAACTATTTACAAATTATCAATTAAATAAAGAATCTATAATTACAGAAGATATGTGTACCTCCTCCAGGATTTAAAAAGACTCTTAAATAATTAACTACTGCTAAACCTGAATCTAAAGCATTAATATATAATTAAACTTATAAAGATTATGATCCATAGATTTATTATCTGATTTAATATCACGTTCTAAATAAGAAATGGAATATTTAGATTTATAAAAAAGATATTAATGATTCAGTAATATCTGCAACATCTTTTTGTTCAAATATTCATACTCTCATTCTCTCTGGATCTACTAATGTTAGTGATTCTTCAGTTGGTAGATTAAGTTCTTTACATAAATTAAAATAACTTAAATTAGGTGATAATACTTAAATTTATATTGCTTAATCATGTAGTAAACTTGAAATGCTTAAACTAAATAATTGTACTAAATTAGGAGAATAAGGATTAGAAGAAATACTTTAAGTATTATTCTATATTTATATTATCTTTATTTAAGTATTATCAATTCTTTAAGTTATTTCAATTAATTTTACTCCTGAAATATCTGATACATTTTTATAAGAAAAAAGAAATGAATATCCTAAAGTTAATATTATTCGTACTATCAATAAAATGACTGATCCTAAAGATGATGGATTAAGAATGCCACTTCCCTTAGAAAGTGTTGTTATGTAAAGACCCAAAAAAAAAAAAGAAAAAGTGAAATTATAATTATAATTCTATATTCATAATTAACTTATTAATTTCAATTATAATTATTGCATTTATTCATAAAGTTTTTTCCATTCATACTTTTACATACATTTATATGGACAAATTTAACAATGTGGACATTAACTCATTAATAATGAATAACACGATGGTAATTAAATAGAATAACTTAATAATGATTTTATTTTATCTTAAACCTACATTATATATTTTTAATATTTACTTTCTATATATCTAACCCATTTAAAATTGGTATTATACTCACTTATATTATTGATAAATTATTGATTATTATTTTTTCTACTTCAACTTTAAATTATTTATTCACTTAAATCTATCCCAATATTTTAGTATCTTCCAAAATTTCAAGGATGAATTAAATCAAATCCTAAAGTAGTTCTTAATTCATCTAAGATTATTTATGAAGTAAATTCAAAATTCCAATTGCTGATGATTTTTCTTATTTAATCAAACCAGGTAATTATTACAAATTTGGCATAAAACCTTATTACTATAAGAACTATCTTAATTTAATTTATCTATTAAATTTAAATGACATTCTAAATAAATTCTATGCAATATTTAATAATTATTGATAAGTCTTTTCATTTAATAATTTAATATGATGATCAACTATATCTTAGATGATATCTATCAGCATTAATTACAATATACATTTCAAAGTCAATTAATCAGAATTCAATTTAATTTAATTCTTAGGTAAATTTAAACTTAATAAATCATCTATAATTGATTAATCTAATTCTGCTGCTTCAACTAATATATTTGGAGTTGTATTTTAAACCATCAGATCCAATATTTAAATAGTTAGATTCCAATCTAATTTTTATCCCTCCTTTATAATTATTGACTTAAAAGTCATCACACTAATTTTTGCCAAATATTCATTTGATTATAAAGTACTATTTAATAAAATTGCTGATATTTCATTATAAGCCTCTTTAATATTATGATCAAACACTAACTCTAAGAGACTTTTATGTGCCATTTAACATATTTCTTTTTTAGCCTTATTTAAGGATACAAATAATTCTTTCATCATTCCTTTCATTATTTATACATATTAATGTCCCTTAATATTTTGAGTATTTGATTTCAATATCTTAAAAAATGATAAAATTGCTTATTCCTATATCTACTATTAATTATTTGAGAATAAATTGCATATATAAGCTAAAGATTACATCCAAAATGCATAATATAGATTATTATCTTATTTCATTAATGATTCAACTGCATTTTGAACATATTCAATTCCCTTCAATAAAATATGTTGTTCTTCTCGATTGAAGAGAAATTAAAATGTTTAATCAATTTCATCAAATATGTCTTTTAAATTAATAAAATCTTCACTGAATATTTTATTTAGTACATCTATTGAAATATCTACTAATTAAATAGATTCCTATAAAGATTAATTAATTATTTTAAAAACCACTCTCCATCCACTTTTCAATTTATAATAACACATATGAGATAACATTCTCATACATGATAATATAAACTCTTTAACTTCTGAAAATGATGTTTGAGCATATATAAGTTCAAAAGGTTATAAGTATTCCATTTAGAATTTAAAATTATTATGTTCATATTGTTGTATAAACTTGACACTCATTTATTTTAATTGATCACAAGCATATAAAGATATATTAGAATTAGAATGAATTCCTGCTGTAACAAAATGAGCTTTCAATAGATTCCAAATTTACATCCATATCAATCTTATTCTATCCATGTTAAAACTAGTAACTTCTACTAATCTCTATAAACTAAAAATTCTTGGTTCTGATAATGTTATCTCATTTAAAGATACATCAATCAAAGATTATAGAAAATCTAATATTGTTCTAGAATCCATATAACTAGTATTCTACATTACTTTATCTATACTAGAAATATCTATTATATTTTATATATTTTTGCTGATACTTTCCAAAGGCTCTTAAAGAATCTTGCCTTTTTATTTTTCATTTTATATATAATTTATTGAACTAATTATTTCAAGTACTGGTCTCCAATTATTTTTTAAAGCATTTCCGTTTTTTATAGCTAAATCTATTATACATTGTATAGCTTTATAATTTTTTTATTTTAACTACTTATTTTCTAAAGAGGCCAATTAACATAACCAACAAATAAATTATTAACATAGATCACATATACCCATCATACTCATTAATTAAAGAGTATAGGTAGCATTCTGCATTGCAATTGAAATTATTTATATATTTTCTGTTCTTTCAATTGTAACATTTAAATTAACAAATAAAGCTGGCCAAAACACTTCCATAAATAATTTTATATAATCTATTCTTGGCATAAATATATATATTTTTTATTGCAATGATTTTCTTTCTAAATTAATCCAATTTATTTGACAATTTTATTATTATTTAATACTTTAATGTATAGCTAATGGTTCTTTCAAGATTTAATCAAAACAATATCTTAAATATTCTTCACCTAAATCTCTTTCCATTGATAATTTTGAAGACTTACAAAATTATTAGAATGTCATTTTAGTTTTAACTGATTTATTGTAAATATCAGTCTATAAAATTATTAATAGATATGAAAACACATATGTTTCATCACAAGTCTTAAATACATCATCAGAATTATCTTAAAAAAACTTTTATGAAAACACTAACATACATCTATCTACTTATTATGCTTCTCCAGGTAAAGTAAAATAATTTAAATATTTCCTTAAAGCATCCACTATGTGATTACCTTTGAAAACTATTGATTATGAATAGATTTAAAATATCAACTAATGATTCTCTTTACTAGAACAAAAGAATTGTCCCAATTAGTCTTTATTAAATGGATTATCGTGTAAAAATTAAGCAATTTAAACATGACTATAAATTTATATATTTTTATTAATACTTCTTTTCATCCAATATTCCTTAACTAAATAAATATTTTAATCCTTCTTTCCAATTTTATTAAAATTTTTATAATCCTGTTAAAATCTATTATTTATAAGTTAACTATCTTTCATGCCCTTATATATTTAATTAAATTACTGATCAAAATGTTCTATATTCTTTATCATTTTCTTTAATTAATCATCATTCTATTCTTCTATTTATTCTGAATTAAAACCTGCAATACTATTATTTTATTCTTCTTACACTAATTTTATAAATTATTATAGATGTTTTTAAATAATATTATTTGCTATAAGACAATTATCTTAATTAGTCTACTTTCCCTAAGCTATTTATGCAACTTTTTCAAATAATGGCTAAATCAAATTCTTTCTTTCAATTACACAATCATGATTTGTAAATAGTTCAAGTATTAATTTAGGATATTCAATTAATTAAATTACAAAATCTAAAAAAACAGATATTTAATCTAAAGGTAATTTATTTAATATGAAATCAATAATAATTTCTAATTGAAATTATAATAAATCTCTTGCATGATATATAAGTAACACTAAAATTTTAAATATTGTATTTGAAGTTCTTTTATTTATAATATTCAAACATATCATATTAATAAAATTTTCATCAAAATTTATTGATTAAATATGCAATGGATATTATTCTACTAAATAATGAATGAAATCAAGACAAATTTCTTTTTTGATATTTTTTTCTTTATTAGCTTTCAATAATAAATATTTGAATATAATTTAGGAATCATCATTTCTGTTTTATTATCCACTCTACATAATTTTAATATTTTCTATCATTTCAAAATGTTTCTTTTTACAAGGAACTGAACATACAGGTACTCTAGTATCTTTACAGAAATAAGGTGCAGGTTATCTACATAAAATACACCAACCAAACTTTCCTGATGTAATTCCATTATCAATTACTTTTACTTCTATATAATTTTTATATTTGATATCTTCTGCTTCCCATGCTTAAGGAACAGAAGCTATAGGAATATTATTCTATCCTCTTTTTATTCTTTCATTATATAAAATAACATCATCAACCATATGTCTTAAAGTTATTGCAATATATTCAACAACATCAACATCTGATATTTCTACTATTTATATTTCTTTTGGTTCATTATAAATTTTATTCCAAGATAAACCTTTATTTAACATATTCTCCATATCAACTTTTACTTAACTATTGTCATACACACATTTTATAACTATTTTTATACTATTCTTTATAGAACCAATTCCTAATTTATATAAATGAAAATAAGTTTTAATTATTAAAAGGAGAGTTTCTCCACTAATTACTAATCTTTATTATTTGAATAATCCATCAATGCATTTTACAATTAGATAATGCAAATTTTCATCTTATAATTTTGTACAGCTAATTATGGATTCCACTATTGAATCTATAAGCATTCTATCCTTTTACTTTCCTTTCTCAAATTCTAAATAATCATATGAATAACCATCCAAAAAATTTTACGTTATTAATTTCTTAAAATTAAGTCAAATTGTACTTCAAGATCATAGAGACAACACTCTGTGATTTTATTATGTTTGATGTCTATACAATACTTATATATTATAAAATATTTATTGGCATTTGTTGAAAATCTATTAATATCATTTTTTGCTTATTCAATTTACTCTTAATATTATTACATTAATACCTAAGGATTTTTCAATCAATGTTTTAAGACTTATCATTTATTTTGGAAGAAGCTTAAGCAGCTTATTTAATGAACTAGTCAACACTTCCTAATAAATTACATGACTGTCATAATTTTAATTCATTTAAATTGATAAAATATAATTATGTGATAAAACAAATATCAAAATAGTTATTATTTATATTATTACTTATTTATCTTTTTCTCTGACTTATATTTAATTATAGGAATCAATAATTTCAAAATAAGTAACAATATTTCCAAAATTTAACTACAACCATTTCTATAATATTTGTCTTTAAACTGTCAATATCCTTTTCAATAATTTAATTTATCATTACATTTTAGAATTTGATAAAAAATTAGTTTTTTTAGAATTTAAAATGGGATATTTATATATTATTTACTTTTTAATTATTTTAATAAAAATATCTTGTATTTTAATATCAATTCTTCTCTTCATTTCACAATTAATAATAATAATTATGCAAATAATAAATGTAAAAATCATTTTCTTTTTTTGAGTAAAAATAAATAAAAGAGTCGATATTTAATTTAAGTTAAGAAAAGTAGGTGAAAATAATTATAAATTAGATTGTTATTACTCATTATATTAAGAATTTTTATTTTTCTATTTATTAATATTAAAAATGTAAAGTTTACAAAATATGAATTATAGAATTAAATTTATCATTTAATTTTTCTTTCTTAATCAATATACTCATAAGAATTTAAATTAAAAAATTAGTTAATAATATTAAAACATTCATTATTGTAGTGTTTGATAAATCACAATATAAATTTTTCATATTATTGTTGAAATCGTAATTAATTAATTAGGCAATTAACGGAAAACAACAGAAAAAAAAATTTAATTAATATAATCAAATCTTTTTATTTGTGACTGAGATTTTTTCCTTTATTTTCATTAAAATAAAAATGTTTACCTCATTTTTGAATGAATATATGATTACTTAAAATAAAGTAGAAGCTATAGTGATGATTGGCATATAATTCGAAGGTGCTCAAGACTTCTTATTAAATACACCATCTTTTGATTATTTAAATTATAATTAGAGCTACCATGATAATAAACTCAATTTAAGAGGTGGAGGATGTGTAAAATCTTAAATGGACAATGTAATTGATGTAAAACTTAAATCAGATTAAAATTTAATGATTTCATCATAACAGCCTGACAACTATCAAACCAATTTGAATGAGTCTCTAAAATTTATTGTAGAAGAAGCTTAATGTATAGGTGATACAACTAAAAGAAATGAAGTCCTTATGAAAATATAATGGTTTATTTATAATAGAGAACATTTAAATTACTTTTGTGTTAATGAAAGAGAAACAAATAAAATATATGGATTGGTGTAAGAAAATTTTGGAAATATGTTATCAGTGCTTACAACTTATTTAAGAATTTCTGGGTTTATTTGCTATTAAATATTATAAATTTGTAATGAATTATTAAGGATAATATATGCCTTTTAATTAAACAATTCTTAAAGATGTTTTGAAGTTTCTGTACAATAAGATTATATATAAAAGTTATCTGAGTTTAATACTTAATTAGAAATTGAATAAGCAAATGCTTGGAAGACAGGAATGGAATTTGAAATAACCATAATGAAAATAATGATAATAAATTCATAAACTAATTCAACTGAAGGAACAGATTTATTAATTGATTTTTTTATTGAAGCAGGAAAATCAATTGTATCTTTTTCACCAACTGAAGATTTATTATCAACAATTATAAGTGGAGGCCAATTTCTATTAAAAAAAGGAATTGAAAAATAACAATATCCAAAAGAAACTTATTAAACCTATTATTTATTTTAGTTAATCAAATGGTCTATCATTAGATAATTAAAATCAAAATAATCAGTCTATAAATAAATTTAATAATTAAAAGATGTCTTTTAATAATATATACTAGTTTCTAATAATTGGATTCTACATTTTTGTTGGATATAAATGATTACTGATATCATTTCTTATCGTCCTATTATTGATAAAACTATATTATTTTAAAAAAAACCTAATCAATTATCAAATAAGTGGAATAATCTTATTGAAAATGATTTGATACAATGTGTCTTATATAACAAAAATGAAGCTATAATGACATTGTTTTAAGATAAATCAAAATAAATTTATGATATTGAAATTACTGATTTTTTGGAGGTTTATGGGAAAAAAAAGTTCTTATTATTTGTATAATTTCTGTTAAAAGGAGAATTTGCTCAAAATATTAATCATTGGGATTTTTATAAAAATTTTAATTTTAAATATCAAAAAGAAAAAAAATAAGAAGATTTTGAAATTATTTTAGCTAATTATGAATAAGAAATACTTTAAAAATTAATTAACAATTTAAAATTTTAAAAAGATGATTTTATTACAATTTATCAACAAATTTTGCATTCATTTCATAATTATTTTAAATAAGAATCCTAGATTCCAATTTAAATTTTTTAGGATGATTAATAAGTTTCTATAAGACAATTTTAAGGGGCTTATAAAAAATTAATTTTATTATGTAATTATATTTAAGAATTATCATTGTTTGAAACTGCTAAATTTCATATGCTTACATCATATTTAGATTAATTTAAAATTTCAAAGAATAAAACAAATTTATTAGATTGTTTAGAAATGATTGATAATTTTATAATGGTAGATTTAAATGAATTTATTGATCAAATTTAAAGTTTTTTCATTAATGTAATTCAATTCGCAAGTTAAATTTATGAGTCAAACATATTTTTAGCTAATAAACTCTAAAAAGATATAGATAAATTGATGAACATATTAGAAATAAATAATTTTCTAATTTTTTTTTAAACTTTTGAAACAAAATTTGCTTAATTTGCTTTGAATTTAAATTATTTTAAACATAATTTTACTAAATTTATTCAAAAAGAAATTAAAATAGAAAAAAATATTTCAATATAAGTAGAAAATATAGGCAAGATTATTGAAAATAACTATTAAGGAGAATGGATAATTAAAATAATTAAAAAACTTAAAAATAATTTAGTTGAAAAACTTTAGTTGTTTAATTATTAATTGATTAATTTAGAAGATGCATCTTAAATACTTATTGATTGTAAATTTAACATTTTAGCTTTATAATACTTAAAGTAATTCTTTAATATACAAAATCATTACTTAAAGAAAGTTGAGTAGTAGCTTTAAAATTATACTAAAAAATTTGAATTTCCAAAGGAGTAAGAAGATAAAAATTTTAAAGGAAAAGTTATAGAACTTTTACTAAGTTAAAAATAAAAATTGTCTTTGATGATAAATCTGTAAACTTAAGAAACTGATGAATAAACTTATAAAACTTTTTTTAAAGGTTTTGTTTTTTAAATTTAATCAGATTTTGATTTTATTAGAAATGAAAGTTAGACTACAGAAAACTTAGACTTATGTAATGAAATTTTGAAATTCTTTGCAGAATCATAATTTCTAATTCTTTAAGTTTAAAAGGAACCTGAAGAACTGCCATCTTTAAAAAATCTTATAACAAAATATGATTAAATATTAGAATAGGTAAATAAATTTGATGCAAATAATAATGAAAAAATGAAAAAACTCTAAATTGAAAATGATAATTCTTAAAATTCTTTTCCTTAAATTTAATAGAGAAATGAGTAAATGTTAAAACTTATAAAATAATGTAATAAATATTTTAAATCTTACAAAAAATTATTATAACTTGGTCTAAACTTAATTTATTAATAGAAATCAATTTATAAATAGAAATAAAGTTTAATCTAATAAATTTTATAAAAAGAATCCTAAAATGACGAACAAAAAAAGTTCTAAGATCAATTAATTCAATTATAATAATCTGAATAATAAGATTTTAGCACTTAAATAAAAAATCTAAAGGAAAAGAGTGATAAATTTTTTAGTGTAAAAGTTAAAACATAAATAAAATAAATGATTGATGGTTTATAAATAGAGGATAAATAAAAAAATTAATATCAATTGAATGTGAATTTATAATTACCTGAATTTTTATCATTTTTCTATTAAAAGTCAAGTTAAGAATATTCATAAGGGTTAAAACCCGATGTTATTAATGACTCAATTTGGTAAGAGATGAAGAATTGTTATATAGAATTAAAAGAAAAGTTAATTGATTCAATTGAATTAAAGTCAGATTACAAAGTTAGAGAAGGTTTAGTTTATAATTTAATAAGATTATAATAATGTATTTAAGAGTAATAGATTTATTCATTTTCTACAAAATATTTATAATATATTTGGGTATATGAAAAAGATTAAAAAGTTAGAAGTCTATTAAAAAACAAGGAATTAATATAAATTTAGAAATTATTATTTTCATCAGAATTAGATAATTTATCAAGTTCAATAAAAGATGAAATAAAAGAAAGAATGTAAAAATTAGAAAACCTTTAATAGTAAATAAAGCTTGAAGGAAATTCTTAAAAAAGGGAATAACTGTAATTGGAATTAAAATAAACCTATGAAGAACTAGATTAATCTCTTGATAATATTTCAGAAATGTCAGAGGCTATGGATATTAGTTTATTATTTTTAAAAGATATATCAAAAGATATAAAGTAAATAAAAGGTTAAATTGAGAATTTATAAGAAAGTTTAAATTAAGTAGGTGATGATATTCGTAAATTAAGAGGAAAAAGATATGATGAATTATTAGAAATTAGAAAATAAAAGATATTATTTTAATAAAAAATAACAGAAATAGATTCTGTTTATATATAATTATAGACTATTGAATATGATCCTAGTACTGGATTAAGTGTAAAAACTAATGATAATATTGAAATATCATAATTAATGGCTGATAAATGGAATGATTATTCAGGAGAAGTAAATGAATTTATTTGGAATGAATCAAAATAAAAAGATGTTATGTTACTTTCAGGAAATGCTGGTTCTGGTAAAAGTAAAGCAGCTAGAAAAATTGAAGAATTTATATGGAATTAAAAAGGAATTTCTTCAAAATGGACTCCAATATTTGTATCATTACCCACTTTAAAGAATCCAAAATATAATTTATTTGAATAAGCATTAGAATCTGAAAACTATTAATTTGATAAATATTAAATAAGAGAATTTAAAGAAGCTATATAAAATAAAAAGGAATTCATTATTTTAATATTAGATAGTTATGATGAAATGAAATAGGACTGTATTCAATCTAATCTTATAATGACAAATAAATTGATTTAAGAATTAAATATTGATAAAATTGATAAATAAATGAAAGTTATTATAACAACAAGAAAGGAAATACTTCATACAAGTGGATATCAAACATGGTTTTATGGAGAAAGTCTTTTAACTTTGAAAGAAGTTTAGTTATAAAACTTTAATTAAAAATAGTAGGATGAATATTTAAATTAATATGTTGAATTGAGTGTTAAAAAAAAAATAAAGGAAATATATGAATTTGTTAAATAAATAACTGGGTAAAGTTTTAATTTGGAAGAGTTTATTTCTATTTGGAGTTTAATTTCTTTTTAAGTAAATAATTTTATTAAAAAATCAATGATTAGAAAATAGGATAGAATTTTTTAGGATAAAGAAGAAGATTTTATAATAGAAAAAATTAAAACAAATAAAACTCTTGAAGTTTTAAAAGATGAATAAACTAATGCATTAAAAAAAGAGTTATTATCTTTATGGAGTGCTAATAAATTTAAAACATCTATTGAAAGTGTAAAAATATAAGATTTATTGACAACTCCATTCATGTTAGAAATTATTGTTTAGGTATTACCAAATATAACCAAAAGATACTCAGGTTCGACTGAAATTAAAGATATTTTTATTAAAAATTATATGAAACTAAAAAAGTAATTAAGGTTTTCTTAAAATGCTAGAGAATATTATAATTAAGAAAATTAACCATTTTAGATTTAATAACAACAAGATATACCTAATTTGGATGATGAATAAATGCTTGATAAATAAAAAGAAGAAGAATATTAATCAAAAATTGAAATAGCAAAAATAAATGAAATTATTGATAGTCTTGAAAATTAAAAGTTTTTTTAGAACTATTCAATTGTTAGTGTTTTAAAACATGAATAAGATACAATCTTTTTTGATGGTAATACTATAAATTTGAATTCTGATGATACTAATATCGTAGTTATGTCTTTAAAAATGAAAAAGTTTACAGTTTTTGAGTTTTATGAAAGTTTTATTAATTTTTATCATGAATAACAAATTTAAAAGTAAAGAGAACTTGGTAAAGTATCAAATTATGAAAGTTTTGCTTATGACATTTATTAATTTTCATATTCTTTAGCATTAGATATGACTTTACAAGATTTATCTTAAATTGGTTATAAACCACAAGGTAAACTTGATTTAAAAAGTAATTATAAGATTGAACAGGTTGTTGATGATTGGCTTAAGTAATACTTTGATATAGAAGATGAATATAAGAAATTAATAAGAAGTTGTATTTTATTGAGTGCAAAGGGAAGCACATATTCATTTACTCATAAATCAATTTAAGAATTTTATGTTGCAAAATACATTTTTGATGTATTAATGTCTTTGAATAATTTAGATTCTGATATCCAACAAGTAAATGATGATAACTTATAGAAAAATTTATCAATTTTTTAAAAGTCTATATTTAATAATTCAAAATTTAATATTTCTACTGTTAATTTTAAAGGTGTAATAAATTTTATAAGAGAAAAATTAAATAATGTTGATAGAATGAATTAAAAATTGATTTAAATAGTTAAACTTTCAAAGATGAAAGATTAAGATTTTAGTAGATCGGCATCAAATAGTATATATTTATTGAGTTAAATAAATGTCTATTTGGGATCTTAAGATTTTAGTAAGATTAAATTAGCTAATACAAATATTTCAGGATTAAGTTTATTTGATTGTGATATTAGTTGTTCTATATTTTAAAATGTTGAAATTAATTCATGTAATTTTAATTTAGCCGATTTATCTAATGTATAATGGTAAAATGTTATTTGTAAAGAAAAACCATTAATAAAAGGACATAATACAAGAATTTTAGAAGTTCAAATTTCGCCTAATGGTCAATATATTGCATCAACAGGAGAAGATAATAATATCAAATTATGGGATACATAGACTTATTAACTTATTTAAAATTTAGAAGGACATAAAGCTTAAGTTAATACACTTTCTTTTTCTTCTGATTCTACTTTACTTTTTTCTGGAAGTAATGATTTTAATATTGGAAAATGGGATTTAAGGAATATTTAATCATAAGTTTAATTGCAATTATTAGATTAAATGAAAAATAAAGTCTAAAAAGTATAAATATCTCAAGATTAGAAAAAATTATATTCATAAGACTCAGATGGGAATTTCTAAATTTTAGATTTATCTAAAGAAGGTCAAAGTGAAGAATGTGTTTTTAAAATTGATAATAAATTTATCAAGTTTTTTGCATTACATCCAACAGAACCAATAGTTGCTGTAATATCCTAAATAAATGAGATTGAATTACATAACTTTTAAACTAAAGAAATAATTAAACTTGAAGCTAATTTAGATCCTCGATATAATAAAATAATATAATTAATATTTAGTCCTTAAGGAAGTTATTTGGCAGTAGCTACTTAGAATACTGTTATAGTTTGGAATATTGCAGTAAATACAAGTAGTAACTAAATAATATTTAATTTCTCTGATATCATATTAACTACAATTATATTCAGTGAGGATAGTTAATAATTAATATTTGGTACAAGTGATTTCATATTTATTAAAGAAATTAATAAATTTCATATTAAATCTCAAGATTAATAGTAAAAATACTATCAATTTTCAATCTCTCCAAAAGGAAAGATAGCTGCAACTGTTTATGATAAAAAACTTAGCATATAAGATATTGATTTGGCATAAATTATAAGTTCAATTGAATTAGATCTTTAACCAGATCGAATTTAGTTTTCAACAGATGGTTCCAAATTATCTTTATTTTTAAAAGATAATTAAGAATTTAAATTATTTAACATTTTGGAAGTTCCTACACTTAAAACAATTTGTTTCATACCTTGGAATGCAAACTATTGGAATAAATATATATTATCAAATAATTTTGAAAAATTATTCATTTTATAAGACAACTATTCAAAGATCTTTAAGGATAATGAGAAAAATAATTAGGATTAATAAAACAGAATCCAATAGACTATACTCATAAACACAAATAAAATATATATGGATGCAAAAATAAAGAAATTAAATCTATAGATTAAAAACTTTTGTGTTAAATCTAATAGTTAGATTATGGCATACATTTCATAAGAAGTTAATTCTATTAAAATTTTTGACTTAGAAAAAAATTTATTAATTCAAGAACTTCTTGAAAACTAAAATAAAGATGTTCAGGCCTTTCAATTTTCGCCAACTAATAATGAATTAGCAATTGGATATTAGGGAGAAATTTTATTTTGGAATTTAGATTCATAACCTTTTAAATTTTAAAATAGAATAAGTTTTGGGGATTTAATTATAAAATCGATAAATTATTCTCCAGATGGTTCATAGATAGTATTAGTATTTTAAGATTTATTTCAAATTTATGATATTAAAAGCTGTAGTCTATTAAAAGTAGTAGAATAATAATAAATAAAAGGGTAAGTATAATTTTCTTAAGATAATAATCTGATTGGGTTTTATTTAGGTAATCCTAATAAACATATTGTTATTATAAGTAAGAATAAGAATTATGAATAAAAATTATTAGATGGTCATAAAGATTAAATAGTTAAAATAATATTTACTCAAGATTAAAAATCTATAATTTCAGGCAGCTGTGGAGAACTTATTTTATGGGATATTTTTACATATTAAATTAAGGTAAGAAAGGATACTGGTTTAAAAGATTTTAATTCAATAATATTTTCATATGATACTAATTTATTAGCATTACATTACAATGGTGTTGTTGAGATATGGAAATATTCTGAAAATGTATTAATTTTTATTGGATCTTAAGTTTTTGATCTACCTATTATATAATTAAGCTTTTTCGATAATAATTAATTTTTGATACTTTAAAAAAATAATTTAGAATTAATTTAAATAAATTTAGATTATTTTTAATTTGAATAAACATTTGAATAATTTTTTGATTGTGGTGCAATATCATCTAACAATTTAATAGCTTTGGTTAAAGGAGAAGAGATTAATATATTTAGTAATAACTTTGAGAAATGTATATTTGCTTTTAAAGGAGGTTTAAATATAAAATACTTAAGATTTTTTGAGACTAAATAAAACTTACTATTAATACATCAAGATGAAAAGATAAAAATTTGGGATTATGAAAAAGGATTACAGATTTGTGAAATAAAGCTTATTCAAAATACTTAAATATTATAATTTGTAAAAGATGAAATACTTATTACATAGAATGAAAAGACAGTAAAGATTTGGAATATAAGAGATTTAAATAAAATAAAATTATGTGGTTATCATTAAGAGATTGATAGTTTTTCAATCTAAGAAGATGGTAAATGTGGAACAGGAATAAAAGATGGTTAAAATATTATTATTAATGATGTATTTAATTTAGAATTTGCATTTCCAATAAACTCAAATTAATATATTAAGTAATTACATAGGTCTAATTTAAAATAAATTTTAATAATTTTATCTTATACAAAAAGACTGTTTATTATAGAATTAAATTAAAGATAAGAACATTAATTTAATGGAGATGTCAATGCTATGGCTTATAGTTAATAAAAAGATTACATTGTTATTTAAACAGAATCAAAAATTTAGTTAATTAAATTTTAGAAGGGTAATTTTAATATAATTGATACTTTTGATTTATAGACTAAGATAAATGATTGTATTGTTATATTTACAAATGATGGAGAAGGATTCTCATTAAGTTCGTATTATATGATAAGATTATTTTAAATTTCAAGAAATTAAAAACTGATATGTAATGTAATGCATTATTAATTGGAGAAGAATTATATTATTAAAGATCCATAATTAAGATTAGGTTAAATATTTTAAAAGTAAGGAGTGTCTAATAAATATTAACTTCTTGCTATATTAGATTAAGAAAAAAAATAATTTAGAATAATTGACTTATAAAAATCAAAATAAATAGTATTAATTAAAGGTAAATTATATTATAATATGTTCTAATTAAGCTTTGATGAAGAAATAATATTTTTTGTTAATGATTATGTTTAAGTTTCAATTTTAGAAAATAAGAATCTAATAATAAAGAAGATTGAAAATTTAAAAGTAGAAGGTTTTCTAGGGCTTACTTAAGAGCAATTGGAAGAGATTCATTTGTATTTGTGAATAATAAAAATTAAATAATTTAATTTTCATTATCATCTCAAAGTACTGTAATAGGGACAACAAAAAAAGACATAAATTGTTTGACTTATTTACATAAATAAGATTGGTTAGCGTTAAGTACAGATTAAAATAATATAATGTTTTGGGATATCAAAGCAAAAAAGAATGTTGGAATTTTAAAAGGACATTAAAAGAAAATAAATTCATTATCAGTTTCATAAGATGGAAATTTCATGGCATCATCAAGTGATGATAAAGTGATAAAATTATGGAATATAAATAATAATGAAACATTAGAGACTTAGAAAGCTCATTAATATTCTATAAATGCATTAGCATTATCTTTAGATGGTTTTTTATTGGCTTCTGGAAGTATAAAAGGATTAGAAGTTGATGTGCCTATTTTTATATGGGATCTTATAGAAAAGTAACTTATTATTCAACTTAAAGGACATAAAGATTCTGTCAATTATTTAGAATTCTCTAATTCTTCTAAATATTTAATATCAGGAAGCAAAGATGGAACTATTATTTTATGGAATATTGAATATCCTAAAAATACTGAAATTTTGTAAATCATTGATGATTTTAACTTTCCTGTAAATTCTCTAAGTTTTTCTCCAAAAGAATAAATATTTATTTCTTTTTGTCAATTAGATAATATTTAAAAATGGAACTTTAAATAGAATGGAAAATAAGAAAAATAAAATTCAATAACTTTAAATACTAATTCTAAAAATTATTGTTTTTTTAAAAAACACTAGTTTATCTATGTTGAATAAATTAAAGATCAATTGACAATTATAAATTTTGAAAATTTAAAATAAGAAATCTTAGAATAGAATTCATAAATAAAATAAATAATAACAACTTTAAATGATAGTCATATTTTCTGTTTAGATTCATAAGGAGCACTTATATCTTGGTAAAGAGATAAGGATAATAAATGGTTTAAGAAGTGGATATATATCGTAGAGTCAAATTTTATTCTACTTTCTCCAAATTGTTAATTCTTATTTTAAGCAAAAGATTGTACTACTTTAGAATAACCCTTATTTACAGATCCAGTATCCAACAAATTTAGAATCTTGTTTCATGATTTCTAAAAACTATTAAATACTAATGAAAAACTAAATTATTAATTTTAAAAATCTCAAGTCAATGAAATTGTTTTTTCTTATGATTTAAGTGTAATTGTAATTATTTCAACTTAAGAATTTAAAATATTTAATATTAATAATTGGTAGTGTATTAAAGAATTTTAAGTATCCTAATCTCATAATAAACCATAAATGTCATAAGATAATAAGTATTTGGCAAGCTTTTAAGATATTTAATATAAAGACTCAAATAAATATGACAGTGTTATTAATTTATGGTAAATTGATAATCCTATTAATTTAATAAAATTAGAAATTAAGGAATCTAAATTAAAATTATTTTAGTTTTCTTAAGTAGATTCAAATCAAATTTATGCATTATATTCAGATGGTATAGTTAGAGATTGGAATATAAAGACAAAAACAAATTAAGTTTTAGTTACTCTTTCTGAAACTACAAAAAATGATCTTATTATATTTTCTAAAAGTCTAAAGTATTTAATTTATTAAAGCGAAAACAAAGAATAAATAATCATATGGAATTTTCTAAAACAATAAAAATCGTCTTTATCTGTTGGAGAATAATTTTATTTAATTGCTTGTTCTTAAAATGAAAATTTATTTGCTGTTGCAATAAATAAAGGAATAAAAATTTTTAAAGATCAATAAGAGAGTATAATTTATGTTTTTAATGATTTAAATTTATATTAAGTAACATAAATCTGCTTTTCTCATGATGATAAATAATTATTATTTTGCTAAGATAATACAATATATCTCTACTAAATAGAAGAAGATTTTAATAATAAAATTCTTGGATGTTGGAATGTACAATCTTAAATCCTTTAATGTGTATTTAATTCTAAAAAACAAGAAGTAGCACTAAAATTGAATAATTAATTAATTATTTTAAACTTATCCCCTTCAATTCTTAAGTCTGAATTATTAAGTATAGAAAATTAAAAATCTACTTGCTTTTCACCTGATAGTAAATACTTAGCTAGCTTAGTTCCCACTCTATAATTGCAAGATATGTAAAATATTCAAATGATCCATAATTTCGAAGATTATGAAGGAGATTTGATATCATTTCAATCTTAAGAAATATTAGTAATTGCAAATAGGAATAAATTATAATTTATTAATATTAAAAAAATAGATAAAATTGTAAAAATTAAAGAAGTTAGATTCTAAAATAAAATAATTGATATTGCTCTCTCTAATAATTATTTATTAATTTAGTTTAAAGACAATTTCGATCAAATTAAAATAGCTTTTAATAGTATAACTAATTTTGAGGATAATTAATTCAAAGCTATTTATAATTGTAAAGGAAAACCAATATTTTAAGAAAGTGGAAATTACTTTGCATTAAGTAATTAAAATATTATTAAAATAATTAATGTTGATAAAATTTAATAAGAGAGATGTCTTTAAATAAATAAAAAAATTAATTAGGGCTAATTATTTTACTCTCATGATGGCAACGTTTTATTTTTATGTTTTGATTAAAGTATTTAAATTTTAAATTCAACTAATTTTTAAAAAATTTAAGAAATTACTATTAATATTTCAGCTAGTTAAATAGAATTTTGTTAAAGTTGGAAATATTTAGCCTTTATGTGTTCTACCACTATTTTGATTTATTTTATATCTAATTGGACAGATTTAGTTGAATTTTGGACAATATAAGGTGATTAAAATGTAATCAACTCAATTGCTCTATCACCAAAAGGCAATTTTCTTCTTACAAGTGGATAGAATTAATTAAATTTTACAAATTCGATTGGGTTATGGAAGGTAGAACAACGTAGATAAATTTGTATTAATGATAAGGTAAATGATGAAGTAAAAGTCCTTAAATTTTGTTTAGATGGACTTAATTTTGTAGCAGGTCTTTCAGATGGATCTGTTAACTTATATTCTATTAATATCAAATAAACAAATTTCTATAAAAAAACATATCTGGAACAAGAATAGTAATTAAATGATGATACTTTACAATTTTAGATTATTTGTTTTAAATCCTTTGCTAAACAATCATTATTAACTTCTTAATTATGCATTTTAACAGAATAATCATAAATTAATTCAGAATAAAAATCAATCATTGAATTATTTAAGCAAAAAAGATGAAAAAATTTGAAATAATAATTTATAAAAAATATAAAACTATAAATATCATTATATATTAATATTCTTTTATACTTTTTTTAATTTATTTTAATTTGGAAAAAAAACTATAGTTTATAAATTACTATTCTAAATCAAGAACTAACTATGATTTATTGAGTAATTTTACAAACAAAAAATTAATTCTAATCTTATTATATTCAATATCTTTATATTAAGCATAGCATTTTCTTGAATAAATTTTTTCAGATTAATTTCAAACAATTATGGTAGTTTTTTTATTTAAGTTTTTAAAATTACGCTTTCTACTTTTTGCCAAATTTGCAAAGTGAATTGAATAAAACTAACAGATCAATAAACTGGCTCTTATTACTATAAAAAAAATAGTTTTATAATCTCTATGCACAAAGCTCATAATCAAAAACTATAAGTAATATAAAATAAATATAAATTTCTTTCGTTTTAGATATGTATCTAATTGATTTGATTAATTATTTCAATATTATGTTAATACTAATAGTAATTTATCATATATTTATATTTATATGCTTTATTTAGTTTTTATAAATCTTTTGGAAATAAAAAATTAATTTATTTAGAAAAATAATGCAAAATCAATTCCTGGACTATTCAAATAAAAAAGGGGTTTAAAATTATATAAAATTATAAAAATATTTTATTTTATAAATATTTTAAAGAATATTATAAATCATATAAATATACATCACAATACTACAGATAATAATCCATCTGATAATTCAAATAAAAATTTATCAATTTCAGTTTAAAAACTCTCAATACAACTTTTATCAGATTTAATCTAGATAAAATAAAAATGATTACCTCCAACAATACTTCAGTTGAATTTGATTATGTTGATATATTTGATATTATAATTGCTAAATTTTAGCCATTAATCAAATAAGACAATAACCCAATGTTTATAGTTTTTGAAACATTTTAAGCAATCAAATCAAGATTTAAGTTTTATTTAATTGAATATTAAAATACTTGATTTGTATTATCTAAGATTACAGTTGCAAATGGCTATGATAATAATTTTTTATAAAGCTATAAATAATTTCCTTCAAGATAACATTTTATAATTAAAGAAGTGTCATACGTTATATATTAAAAACAATTCTATGACAAATACAAAAACGTATTCGGTATAAGAAATTCAAGCATGCTAATCCTGTAATTTTATGTTCTAATAGTAAAAGACTAAGATGATTCATTTTTTATATCTTATAATATTATATCAAATGCAAAATGCATAGAGAGTTTTGGATTTACTTTTACAACATAAAACAATTATTTTTCTTGATATGATGGCAATTCTTCTATAAGTTTATAATTGTTTTAAATATAAGAATTTCTATCTAATAATATTTTGATTCCTAAATTATCTAATTTAAATGGACAATTGTTGATCACTCTAATTCCTAAACATATGCAAGACTTTTATAAATCTAATGTATGAGAACAATAGATTTATACAAAATCACTAACTCCAGTAATTAATTTTGAATTTAATTACAATTCAGTAAATATATTTTTTTAAGGTAACTACAATGATCTTAAATTCATTATTAGAGTATTTTGTTCAGATGAAAATTACTTTTATTAAAATATATTGTAAGCTATTTAATAAGTTGTTAGATTTTGCAAGTTTTGATTTATAGAATCAATTTAATTATTAATCTTTATTTATAATTAATCTTGTTGAAGTTAATCTTTGTATTAAAGTAATTTAACAAAATTTCTATTATATTCTATTAATTGTTCTGCTATATGATCATTTTTCCTTTATTATAAACTGTCATTATAATCTGATAACAATTCCAGAATCGATGATTTGATTTGATTTTCAGGTGTATGAAAATTCATTGATAAATAATATAAAATCTTATAGACATTTTATAACAAATTGATTTGACAAATCTAAGTTTGAATAGGTTGAATCATAAAAGTTCTAAACTCAGCTAAGATATTAATATAATCTAATTTGCAATTCCAACTACTTTCTGTAAATTTTCTTGTAATGATTAATAATGTCTAAACTTTTTAGTTGAAGCTTATTTAATTATTATTCATTCTAATAATGAGATCTTCTAATCTTATTTCATCAGATGGAATAACATTAATGCATTCTTCTATTAATAATAAATACATAATTATAGCTTCGATATTACAACCATCCCAAATAAAAGCATTACATATTTCCATAATTTCTAATAAAATAGATTTATTAGTTTCTTAATGAATAGCTGCTATGATTAAGCAACAAATTAATTCTTCAGGTTCATCTTTTATTTTTGTCAGAAACCAAGTCTAATTATATAAACCTAGTATTGCACTTGTCTTTTTTTAGTAAAGCAATTCGATAGATTTTTAGATTAAATTATTGAAGCAATAAAGCAGAAATAACAATCGAGTTAATTAATTTGAAATAAGAAAGGATATCTCTAAAATTCTTATTGATATGGCTATATTTGTATTCAAATCCATATCTAATTAAAGAATCTAGAGTAAAATCTAATTTAATTCTTTTTTATAATTCACTTTCTTTATATATTTATCTATGTAATCAAAAAGTTACCAAACAATCTAACTTGTATTAAAAAATTCATATGATTTACATTGAGAAATAACATTGATAAGAAAATTGGAAACTTATACAATGATATCTATTTCAAAATTATATTAAAGAATATCATATAAGCCAGCTTTGATGATTTTACTATTAAAGTCTATTACATTTAATTTATAAATAAGAGTGTTTTAGTTTTATTAGACTGTATTTTATTGTGATATTTATTTAGGTGAATCGACCAAAATCTATGATAATAGAAATAACATTTTAGATCTAATACGAATTTCATAACTACAAATTTTTTCATAGAGTAGTTATAATCTTAATAATAGATACTATTTAATTTATTATGTATCATAATTAACTTAAGTAAGATTGTTTGGATTTTATAATTTACTCTACAAAAAATCTGATAAACAGATAATACAATTAGCTGAGATATCTCTATTATTGGAAAAACAATTTTCAGCAATTCTCAAATAAATATTAGTTATAGTTTATTTTGGCATATCAATTGAATCAACTTCTGTTTCTTTTGTAAGCAATAATTGTAAAATAGAATTGACAGCACATAATCTTTCATAATGAAAATCAGAAGATCTAATAAATATATAGATTTTTACTATTCTATAATCTAATAAAATGCTGTATCATATGATTTAACAATTTGCATAAGATTACTAATTGGTAAGGAATATGCTAATTTGAGTGAGAGTAATTGTATTTCAAAATCTTTATTGCTAAAATCTTTTTCTAATTCTAGACAAATAAGTTCAGATGATGGAAAGGTTTTGAGTAATGGATAACAATTTAATTTTAATATTCTATGTATTGGGTTTTTGTAAATATCTATAATTTTAGCGAAATCTTTAGGATTAGCTGATGATTCTGAGAGATAACTCTATAAACTTCTTAAATAATTCAATTGTTTTTTAACTTCCACTTCAATATTCTCCATTATTAATTTATATTTATAATAAATAGTTATAATGAATATCAAAATACAATGCATCCACATCCACCTTTTTTGGCAGATGATTATTATGTATTTTAACCCTACTATTGTTTATCATTTTATTGTTAATTTTGAACAATCGGACTTAATCTAGTGACAGCTTCTTTGGCTTCTATATTACCAGCTTATGCTGCTTATTTATACCAGTATAATGCTTATGGTAAATTTTGTTTAGTTCCAGTTCCTTCTTCATAAAGAACAGCAAGATTATATTAAGCATTTTCAAAACCACCTTTAGCTGCCTAAAGATACCAATCAAAAGCTTCAGTTGGATTTGCTTACAATAAAACAGTAGCTAGATTAGTCATAGCACATAAATCTCCTTTATCTGCTGCCATTCTATAATATTTCTTAGCTTCTTCAATTTGAATATGAGTCCCAATACCAGATCTATAGATATTACCAAGGTTATTCATTGCAGATACAGAACCCTTAAAAATTATAAAAATAGAATAAATACTAATTTAGCAGCCTTTTCAAACCAAGCTCTACTCTTTTCAAAATCTTATTCTACTCCTTATCCAAATAAATGCATTAAACCTAGTTAGAACATTCCTTATTCATTTTATAATTCAGCTGCTTTACTAAAGTATTTATGAGCAATTTTATAATCAGGAGCAACAACTCTACCTAAATAATAAATAGATGCTAAATTATATGCAGCTTAAGCATGTTTATAAGCAGCTAATTAATACCTAGAATATAAATATATAAAAATACCATTGAATACATTCTTAAATATTTTATTAAGCACCTTTTCCATCTTCATACATTAAACCTACTCTAAATTATGCATCAGTATCTCCTTCTTAAGCAAGTTTTAGATAATGTTACATTTCATCATAATCTGTTGTTTATTACATTAGATTATAAAAATTAAAATAAGAAATTTACTAATATCATATTTCAATTTTTTATTAAAAAAGCTATTCAAAAACACTGGCAGGACCTTATGAATCTAAGAATTAATTTAATTTTAATTTATTTCTAAATTATTGTTAAATAACTACCTATTGTATTCTCTAACATCTGAAACTCCAAGCATTCCAATTAAATAAGTTTATAAACCCCAAAGTTCTCTATCATCTTTATTATCATAAAAAGGAACGATAGGTATTCCATTATCTATTTACCAAGCATAACTATAAGATGCATTATCAATCAAAACTAGTTAATTTAGAGGTCTATCAAAAATTCTCAAATCTTTTGTATACATACCACCAGTAGTCATAATACAACTATCTCTAAATAATTTATGTGAAATTAATTTATTTTCTGGATCTATATAATCTAATACTTATTTAGCATAACATTAATGTGAGGCAGTGAAAATAATAATTTCAAAGTCATCAACTAAAGATTCTAATAATTCTATAGCTCCTGGACGTATATTTATTCCAGCTTTTACTATTTCATGAGGACTGACTTTTATATTCAAAACTATATCAGATTTTTATTATAATGATTCATTACAATGTACTAATGTTTCATCTAAATCAAAAATTAAAGATATTTTATCTAGAAATTAAATATATGTATTTTAATACCTTTGTATTTATCTTTTTATTTCAATTAAACTGCTTTCTTTTTAATATCATTTGGATCTGCTGCTCTTAAATGTGATGCTATATATATTCCTTAATAGGTCTAAAAATAATGTTCTCTATATAAAGAACTAAAATAATCATTTGGTAATGGTTGAGTGAAAACTTACTTGATTTTTCCTAAGTAATACTAAGAATGGACATTTTCTTTATTTAATTTAATACTTTCAAAATATTTTAATTCTCGATTTGATATAGATTTTGATAATTATAATGATGATTGCCGAGAATGAACTGGAGTAACTTAATATGAGTTTGCTTTCTTTGGTTTTAGCAACATTCCATTATATATTCTTTTGTAGTTTTAATCTTTAGATCGAATTGATTATTATCTTTAATGTTAAATTGAGGATGATTACTTATTGTGAGATGTTGAAGGTCTAAAATCAATAGAAGATTGTTTAGATTATTAGAAATCATTTAATTGAAGGTTTGGAGTAACTTTAGTGACAAGTTGATTAAGTAACAAGGATTATTAAGAGAATTAATTAGTAGTATTAAGTGTATGATTGTAATTTTGTATATTATTAGTAATTTCTATATTTTTCAATTACTTCTTTTTATAAAGAGTATCATACTTTGATTTAATGAAATCTTTGCTTAAAATATTTTTATTAGTATTAGTGTTTGAATTATGACTCCTAAGAGAATTGATGATATCTAATTTATATGTTTTTAGATTTTGAGTTGTCTTAGTTAATAAATCAAATGTATTATTATTAGTTTCAATTTAAGGTTTGGGTTTCATTATTTAATTTATTATGTCATATAGCTACCTCTTTAAATTTATATTGATTGGTGATACAGGTACATAAATAAATAAGTGATATTCCATTTTAGGTGTTGGGAAATCTTGTCTTCTTTTATAATTCATTGATAAGAGATTTAGATAAAAACATGAAGTCACGATTGGTGTAGAATTCGGTGCAAGAATGATAGAGTTTGATGGTTAAAACATTAAATTACAAATATGGGACACAGTATTCTTAAATTCTATATTTATATAGGCAGGATAAGAATCATTTAGATCTATTACTCGTTCTTATTATCGATCTGCTGCTGGTGCAATTATTGTCTATGATATTACTAAGAGGGAAACCTTCGAAAACATTTCTCGATGGTTAGAAGAAGCTAAACAAAATGGAAATCCTAAATTAACTTTTACTCTTGTTGGTAATAAGAGTGATTTAGAAGCAGAGTAAATTTATCAATCATAATCTTTAGTCGACAAGTCTCTTTTGAAGAAGGTTAAGAATTTGCTAGAAATAATGGCATCGATTTTGTAGAAGTTAGTGCTAAGACTGCTAATAATGTAGAAGAAGTATTCCTTAAGACAGCACAACAAATTTTAGAAAAAATTAACAGTAATCAAATCGATCCAAAAAATGAAAGTCATGGAATCAAAATTGGTACTGAATAAGGCATCAAAAAATCTGTTATTAATAATACTCAATAATTATAACCATAACCAGAAGCTGAAGAAAAGTAAGGAACATGTTGTTGAAACAGATATTGAATTAAATATCTATAAAAATTATAATAGATTTATTAATTTCTTAATATATAGAATATATATATTATCAATTTTTATACCTTTCTTTTATGTATTCTGTTAAAATCCACAAATCAGAATTTAAAATTGTATTTTTATTTTCTTTGTCTTCCAAAAATTATAACACTTAACAATCCTTCTCATTACCTTATTTATAATTCTTGAACTCCTCATAAAGAGCCACTGAAAAATCTTCATATTAAACCTCTAACTAATTGCTTATTTGATAATCAAATATTTTCAAATTTACAAATTCATATATATTTATGTTATTCTAAAGTGCTATTTCATAAATATTAATTAAAAACAATAACAATTCCTATCTATAATTGAAATACTTGTAATTCTCAGGAACTCTTATTACTATACTTTAATTAGAGTAATAGATTTTTAAATGCAAACTTTAAAATGCTCCATTCAATATATTCATAAATCTTACACAATATTAACTTAAATCCTTATATTTATTTTCTATTGTTTAAATTATTTGAACAATCTAATTCAATTATTATTTATATTAATTGATCGAATAATTGAGATTTTTTAGAAATTCTTAATGTTAAGGAACATAAACTTTTAATACAGATTTCTCTAAGTCAATTTTCTCTAAATAACACCATGGATGCCTAAATAAATCTTCAAAACTAATTCTTTATTTTGGATCTTCAACTAACATTTTTCTTAATACATCTTTGCATTCAGCTGATACCGAAATATGTTATGGAAATTAAATCTAAATCATTTAATTATATAAAATACTTTATTAGTTTATATTGCAATAAGTAAATCTTATACAGTTCCTTTTTATGGAACAAAAGGAGGTTAGCCAAAAAGCATTTGATAAATCATTACTCCTAAAGACCATATGTCACATTTATGATCATAAGAATTAGATTTTCTAAAATTTTTAATAGAATTTATTTACTTTAGTATTTCTGGTGCCATAGTAATAGGTGTTCCACAATAAGATTCCAGTAATTCAGTTTAGATTAAGGATTTAGCAAAACCAAAATCACCTAATTTTATTTACATTTATTCATTGATTAGAATATTAGCTAATTTCAGATCTCGATGAACGACATTTTTTAAACGTAACATTTTCATGGCATCAATTAATTGAAGAATGATAGGTTTTGCTTCAGATTCAGGTAACCTGTTTTTGACAGAATTCTTTTTAATATACTTTTCTAAGTCTCCTTGAGCACAGTATTCTAATATCATGTTAATAGAATCTTAATTATTTTAAACATCTTTCAACTCTACAATATTTTTATGTTTCATAGATTTCATGATTTAGATTTCTGATTAAAACAATTCAAGCATTTTTTATTTATGAGGGCCTTCCTCCATTTCAATATTAATTTATTTGATAGCAACAATTTCTTTAGTTTTAATATGTTGTGCTTGATAGACTATAGCAAATGCTCCCTTGTATAATAATAATATAATTGTAATACTTTGCCAAGAACCTTTAAAATTTGATAATTTTAAATTGGATGTTTGCTCATTGATATTTATTTTAATGAAATAAAAAATGTCTAAATCAACTATGTAGGATACAAAAATTTCATATGATGCCCCTCCTTTAGATTTTTCAAATTTGAATATTAAATCTTTAGGTGATTTAAAACATGCAATACCAAAATAAGGTAAACGTAAATTAGCTCCAATGGATGAATAAAAAGAAGATAAGAAAAAAGAGAAGCAATAATAATAATAATAAGAAAATGAGAATAATGTTCAAGTGCAATAGAATTAATAATAGGAATAAGAAGATGAAGATAAATTGGATGGCGATGAAAAAGAAAAAGAGAAACGGGAGTTGCAGAGATAAAAGGAAGAGAAATTAACACCAGTAATAGTTCGAACTATTGGTTAACCTGTTTAATAATCAACCAATGTATACAAACCAACAATTGATGAGAAAAAATAAACAAAAAAAGAATTCAAAGTATAATTAATTTAATGTTCATTAATACTAAGTTATAATAAATTAACTTCGTTGCATAATTTTTACAATATCATAGATTAAATAATGATAAATTGTAAATAGTTATAATGGATTGATCTATCTCACAATATGATAGAAAGTTTAGATTATGTATTTATAATAATTAACTAAAGAATTTTGGTGATTTACCAAATTTAAAAGCGTTATATTTACATGCAAATAAATTAAAAGATATAATGGAATTTGATAGATTATAATGTTTAATAGAATTGAGAACATTAACTGTCCATGGAAACCCTTTTGATGCCATTCCAAATTTTAGATTGTACATAATAGGATTGTTGCCTACAATAAAGAAATTGGATAGTGTTTTAATATCTAAAAAAGAATTAGATAATGCTAATGTATGGAGAAATACATTTAGAATGATTAAACCACCTATAATTAAAATATGAAACTTAATCTCGAAATTTTAAATTACGATAATTAACTATCTAACTTCTTAGTTAAAATAAAGTACGGCACTTAAGTTCATCAAACTACAGTCGGAAACAATTGGAATCAAAAGTTTACACTTGATGTGAAGAAGACTGTGGATTTAAAAGTGGAGGTATGGTAAAAAGATTAGGAATTTCATTTGATTGGAGAATCTATAGTTCCGAAAAAAGAATAGATACATAATCTTGATATAGTTGGATAAGGAAAGAAGGAAGGAGTATTAGTAGTAGAATATAAAGAATTAGAAGTATAGAATGTTAAGTTAAATCAAAAATTAGAAAAGCCTTAATCTTTAATTAAAAGATTGAATGAATCTTTGAATACAGAAATTTAATAGAGTTATGGTAATATTCATGAATATTTTACTTCATAATTTGATAATCTTGAATTAAATCATTAAGCTAAATAAACAGCTTCAAATTTATTGATTGAATCATTAGAAAAAGCTATTTAAGGATTGTAGATAAATTAGAATTAATATCATTTTGATTATTAAGATTCTAAAAATAATATAGAATAAACTAAAATTAAAGCACTTTAAAAAGAACTCATTAAAAAAGATCTTTAAAAATATGAAAAAAGTAGAAGAGAAGTACATTTATAAATTTTAGATCTTGATGATATGGATCTTAGATTTGAATAATAGGAATAAAAACAATAAATAATGAATGTAAGAAAAGAACTTATATAAAAATTATTATATATTGAAGAAAAGATTGAACATCTAAAAAGACATTTAAAATTGGATTAATTAAATAAACATGCATCTTAATCTCTTATGAATAGTATGGCAGAAATGAGTTAAATTAGTATATATAGAGAAACTGTAATTAAACCTGAAGTAGATCCTTAAAAAGAATTGTAAAGATAAGAGTTTATAAAGAAATAAATGAAAGAATGGAATGAATTATAGGAATAAAGGTTGAAACAAATTGAAATTCAAAAAGAGAAGATTTAAAAAACAGAAGAAAAAATAAGAAAATAGTAAGCTTTAATTTAAGAAGCAAAAACAAAAGAAAAGAGAGAAGAAATAGAATAAAGATTAAATAAATTGAAATAAAAATAAAAATAAAGAGAGGAGGATCTACAAGAATAAAATAAAAGATATTTTGAAAAAAAGAAATAATAACATCTTGCAGAAAAATATGCTTAATAGGATGCATCTTATATGATATAATTGTAAGAAATAAGAAAAAGTAAATTAAAAGAAATGAAGAATCCTGAATTTGACATTTAAGAAATTATGTAATTTGATAAAAAAATTAAAGATCTTAGAAGAGAAAAAGCAGCATATAGATAAAAATAGTGGGATGATAGAGAAAAATAATGGAATAAATTTTAAGCATAATATTATTCGTAAAGTTATAAGAGAGCTAGACAATATTATAAAGAATAAGATTTAAAATTAGATGAGTCTAAAAATAAAGCATAAGAAAGACTTAATTTACTTAGATCATATGATAATGAAGTCAAATAAAGATATCAACCTCATGTTTCACAAGAGAAGAGATCAGAAATTGAAGAAAATATAAGAAAACTAAAATATGAACCTGATTTTAAAAAATATAGAGAATTATCTGAAAAAGTTAAAGAAAAACATATATATTTTGGAGTTGAACATAAAGATTAATCTAGTAATAAAAAGGTGAAGCTTAAACCATTAGAAAATATTCCAACTCCCATTTCTCCTAGACGTATAGGAGATTTCTATTTAAGAGAACATGCCACTTATAATAAAAAGCATATTCCTCCTTTACCAAGACCACCTGAACCACCTAAATCAAGTTAATCTGAATAAAAATTTGTTATTAAAGATTATTTAAAAGAGCAGAGAAATAAAAAGTAATTAATAGAATAATAATCAGTAAATATATTATAATATAATAGCTAAAAAATATGAACCAAACTTAAGGATTAGAAAATGATGATTAAAAAATGATTATGTAGATTAAAAAATAATTAGAAAAACTAGACCATATTTGATATATTATTTATTATTATTCTCATAATTATTATATTACCTATTATTAAATAACGTTAATGAATTTTTTATTTGTTTTGTGAATCACAATTTCAATAAATAAATACTTTATATTTAATTGATTCAAATAAGAGAGGTCCGCCAAAATTAACTAAAAATCATATATATCTTAAATATTTGTAAATTATTTTTATTTTAATAAATTAATCAGGTCAAATACTAATAGATGGACGACGAGAAAAAATAATATAGTAAAATCAATAAAGAAATTAGGTAAGAGATTATAGATAAAATCTGCTTACAAAAAAAACCTTTGTTAGAGGTAAATCAATAATTTTGAATATTTAAAAGGTTGCTTAAGAGTACTAGTTATTGGCATCAACGTGTAAGTCAATCGTTAACACTTACATGAAAGAAGGCAGAGTTGGTAAAAAAGAATCAAGAATTCGTAAATTAAAAAAGGTAGTAACAACATACCATATAATTTTAAATCCTTTATAACCACTACTCTCTTAAGTGTAAATGTAAAAAAATGTCGAAAATTGTGTAGAATAATCATAAAAAAGTAGAAATGAAACTGAAGAGGTTTAAGATGAAAATAAATAAGAAATGCAATCTTTAGATTTATCAATATAATAGTGGACTTAATCATTATTAAACTAAATCCAAGCTTTAAATTAACAGTACAAGGATCCATAATTTATTCGTTAAAATTGAAATGATTAATATCGATTATATGCATATATATATATATATATTATGTTTTAATAATAGGTTTAAACTTCTGTTATTCTTAAATTATTAAAAATATTTAACATTTTCAAATATCTCTCCAATGGACTTTCATGCATTTAATCGTTTCAAAATAATTTCCTTAAGTTTCCATCCAAAATTGTTCCATAGTGCTTTATGAGAACTCATCGCATTTCCACATACCAGTTTAAATACCATATTCACAAAATGACCTAAACATATCCAGAGGAGCTCCATTTAATTTTATACCATATTTTTATGGTAGGAGTATATGTTTAGGTTAGAAATCATGTTAAAACAATTTATAAATAGAAGAAGCTGTTATTTTTGTACCATTTTTAATTTTATGGCCATCAAAATGCATAAATAATCGAGGTAATGACATATGATATGGTGGTACATATCCCTAGAAATATTAAATAAGAAAGAATTACCCTAAGATTTTTATCAGATTCATAACGAAAAGATGGTAGCTATGATGGTCTATAGAACCAGTTAATTCCATCAACAGCAACTAAAACTTTATATTTATCAGTGTTATAAAGTTATTCCATGACTTCATAGACTGCATTAGTAGCATAATGAGCATTAGATATACCATAATCAATAATTTCTGATAAATATTATGGTTTAGGTATTTTTAATGTAATTCTTGCAGACATGATTTAATCTTATGCTTCTTCAAAATCTTTTTCTTCTTTATTAATAAATTATTCAAAATCTTTAAAATGATATTCTCTTCTTTTATCATATAAATTAGGACAAGGATCAGGATCATCATCATGAACACCACTCAAATTAAATTTACCATAAAGACTTAAATCAACTAAAAAGGTTTTTAAATGTTCTTAATTAGCTTCTTTAAATTATTCCAACCATTCTTAAGCTGCTTTTGGTTACATATATAATCCTGTCTTAGGATGTCTTTTAGCTTCATATTTTAATGATGTCCAACTATTATATTTAATTATAATTAATTACTTATATCCAGATGGAACTACTGCTACTATCCATCCGGTTTATTAAGCAAACATTATTGCTTACATTAATACTCCAGATTTACCTGCACCATGATCTCCATAAAATAGTAAATTACTTGAATAGCCATAATATTATTCCTAATTTTCTATATTTTATATATACTCCAAATCTGTTATCTATCAAAGTTTAAGGAACTGGAAAAGGATTATTTACATATTTTGTTAAATCTAAAGTAAAGTCTTTAAATTGTAATGTTTTTACTGTTGAAAATAATAATTCAGGCATTGATGCATTTGGTTGTTCTTTATCTATTTTTTCCAATAATTAATCCACTAAAGATTTAAAGAATTCTTTTCTCTACTCCATAGTTCTCAATTATTAAACTAATTCCCAATGACTTAAAATCACTGTTAATAAAGCATCAAAATTTACGCTTGTAGCAAATATTCTTTAAAATATTTCATTATTTCTATGTTTTTTTAGTTGATCATTAAAATCACCTTTCAAAACATTAAACATTACTATAAAAAAACCTTCTTTATTGAAATTATCCTTAGATAATTTTTAATATTTAAATATTTATGGTATTCTTTTACTTGAATCCACATAATCCATTGTTTTAAAACCTTCAAGTGTCATCATAAGTGAGAAATTCTTAGATAATTCAATTAGATTTTTTTAGAAATCTCCTGGAGATAAAAACTTAAATGTCTTTTTAAATAAATCATAATTTAAAGGAATCCATTTTCCTATTTAAATTGGATTTAAATCTAACCAGTTTTATAAAAATAACTTTGCTCTTTCTCTAGGCATACTACTTTTAGTATTATCTTCTAAATCTTTGATTGTAGATGGGTCTGGTTATTATGCTAATTATTCTACTTATTTTCTTATATATGCCTAATTAAATTTATTTTTTTTGTATTTACTTATGTAATTGATTCTCTTACCACAGGATCTACTTTTTAAAATACTTTCTCTAGCAAATCTAATTCTACTGATTATTCAAGTGCAGGTAATACTTCATAAGTATATCTTTTGAATAAATCAACTTAATTAACTCTCTTTGGTGCTAAAACACCAGATTCCTTTTCAATTTATTCAGGCATTGAAAAAAATGGTTTTGTTTAATAAAATTTGGTTGTAGTTACTTTAGCTTATTAATAATGTTTCAATTTTAGTTTCCTGAATGCTTCAGATGCAGCTAACTAAAATTATTATAATCATAATACTTACCTTCATAACTAAAATTTATTTTATTAATATAAGTAATGAGTAAAACATTTATTACCAATCAAATTTGTTATGAAATCTTCAAAATTTCAGCTTCTTCAAAATCTATCCAAGGTATAATTTATAAATCATGAATCATAGAGGATATTTTAAGTTAAATATTGCAAAATTAAATTAGTATTTGGTTTTATATGATTGGCTGCTCAATATCCTTAATCCTGGACACTTTTCTAATAGTTATCTTCTTATATAAAAGTTAATTAAGGTAAAGTCCAGGGGATATTTTTTTGGGTAGTTTCATATTTGAAATCCTTATGGCTATATAATGGTATATATCTGCAATTTCCTCTTACGAAAAAATACCATTAGCAAACAATTCATTAGAATGTTCATTTACTGCAGCATTAACATTGATTTCACGTATTAATAATTTACTTACTTTTCATTTAGATTTGGGATAATATTTTTATATATTGGCTTTTTTCTATTTTCTTACAAGATAAGTAAAAACAAGTTTCAAAGCTAAAAATAACATTCAATGGTTAATACATTTAGGAGTTATAATATTAACATTAATAACATGTGTTATTGTATTTTCTTTGAATTTAACAGGCAAAAACGTTGATGGAAAATGTTCGATAGTGACATCATTATTGGCAGAGTACATTTAATAATTTACATAGTTATGTTATAACCTTAGGATATACTCTGACAATATTAATTTACATTGCAATAGGTGGATATTCAATTTATTATATCAGAAAGAATATCCCAAACTAATATAAAGAAAGAGCATAAAAATTTCTTAAATTTAGTATCATTTATTTTTTAACTTATCTTATTTTAATATTTTCAGCATAATTAGTTGAATTGTTAGCTAGTTTAAGTTGTACATATCAATGGGACTTGAAATTAAATACCATGTATAGTGCAGCAGCATTTTTTGATATGATGATACTAATACTTTTACCCATTATTAGAATTAATGATCCTTATACCAAAAGAATATTATTAAAAATGTTTGGATATAAAAAGAAATAAAAATAAATCATTGAAGAGAATGAACTAGAATTATCTAAACATAACAGTAGTGTTGATTAAGATCTTAGTCTTTTAACTAGTGGTATTTCTTAAATAAGATAATCTGAATTAATCATAAATAGAGATAGATAATAAACAGATGACAATCCTTTTGTTAACGTACTCTAAAATAAAAAAAGAGGTTAAATTATGTGTAAAATGATTGCAGGATTATAAATTGATTAATATTCTAAATATAATTTATTGGATATTGAAATAGTAAATCAAAAATCTGATAATATATATGAGGAAAAAAAGATTTATAAATTTATTAATGATTAAATAATTACAACAATGCCTTATAATTTATGTCAAGAATTTATCTCTTTGGTTGAAGATTATCCATAAATCAAAGTAGTTTCATATACTCCTATCATATTTCATGCTATTATGAATAGAGAAAATGATAAATTGAATATTTATGAATCTCTCAATATAAATAATAATTTTGAGAAAATCACTAATGCTAGTAAAAATGAAGGTGGTAAATCAGGATAGTTTTTCTTCTATTCTCAAGATAATTAATTAATTATTAAGACAGTTACTTAATAAGAATTAAAAATTATTCTTTCTATGCTCAAAAATTATTTTTAATACATTTTATCCAATCCTAATACATTAATTGCTAAAATTTATGGAGTTTATACCTTTGAATAAGAAAATCAAAAAAATATTAACATTATTGTAATGAGAAATATTGCAAAAACTTCAAACACATTTAGAATTTATGATCTAAAAGGGTCTAGTTATGATCGAGAAGTAGCAAAAAAAGACACTAATTTATAGAAAGTTGTACTCAAAGACTTAGATTTCTTGAATATTGAAAAATATTTATATATTTCTCAAGAAGATGCTAATTTTATTGAAGAAAATGCTATTAAAGATTCCAATTTTTTTAAGTCTCAAGGACTAATTGATTATTCCTTAATTGTTTTTAAGATTCTTAATGAATAAAATTAAAATCTTATTCTTAAAAATTAAGCACATATTTTTATGTGTGATGATATTAGATATAGATATCATATTGGAATCATTGATTATTTGTAAGAATATAATGTGTAGAAATAATTTGAAAAATACACAAAAAAAATTATCAAACTTAATTAAAACTTAGATACTAGTTCACAAGATCCTAAAATATATGCTAATAGATTTTAATAATTTATTAGAAGAATCACTAAACTTGAATGATTTTAGATTTATACTTTCAATATAAATTTTATTGTTAAATTATGAGTACTAATTGTTGAGACCTAATAAAATTACACAATCTAAACTGGTTAAAAATAGATAATTATTTATTACTAAACTAATTATAAATCTACAAAGATTCCATCTCACCCTAATACATCCTGATCAAAATATAAAATTGTTGTAAGAGGATGATTAATTTTTTGAGTTTGTATTTTCTCTTTAAAGATACTCTATAAAGATGATATTAAAAATTTATAAGTGAGTTTTTAAAATTTAAATAATAGAATCAAATATTCATTATCAAGAAGATTAATTATCTCAGTAGAATTGATATTTTGTAAGTTTCAGATAAAAACAATCTGATAAAAAATTTGTATCACAAATAGTGAATTACTAAATCTCCAGATATCCAAAAATGATGAGCAAAATAAATTTATAATTATATTTCTAAATAAATCATTTAATTATGAGAGATTTTTTACAATATTTTCTTTAAAAATAACAATATGAATAGAAAGATTAATTTAGTAAATAAAACTTTTTTGGAATTATTTATGAGTAATAACAATTAATAACAATTACTAATAATAAATAATAATTTATAAGTTAACAAAAAATAACATTTGAATAAGTAATAAAATTAAAAATTTTACAAAAAAAATGTGGCATTTTGAGTTTATAAAGACATCTAATATTATAATTCTAAGGTCTAATAACAATTACTATTGAGAAGAGGGACATTTATTCTAGATCTAAATAAATATGTCTTTATGATAGTAATTTTATATTGAGGGATCTCTGCTTACCATTCTCTATAAAGAAATACATTAGGAAATAATAGCCATCTTAAATTAAAACAAACAAAATTAATTATAAATAGGAAGTAAAAAGAATGTAATACAGGAATAATATATTTGAATAATAAAATTAGGATAGAGAAATAGATTAAGAAAGTGATAGTATAAATTTTAAATTTGATATTAAATAATAAATAATAATTATTAAAATGTTTCGTATGTTTGATCCAATGTATTAATCAATGAATTAGATCTTAGAAGAAAATGGCAATATTTTATGGTTGGGAGATTGTACTGCAGCATATGATAGAAATTTGTTAGATGGGAGAGGAATAAAGACAGTATTAACAGTTGCTGCAGGATTAAATGTGTCTTATCCTGAAGGGGGAATAGTTCATAAAGTAAAATATATAAATAATTGAAGGTGTATCACATACTAGATATAGAATCAGCTAATATTGCGAGACTTTTTGGGGATACTTGTCATTAGATTGGTGAAGGATTAAAAAGAGGAGGTGTATTAGTCCATTGTGCAGCAGGAGTTTCAAGATCAGCTTCAGCAGTTATAGCTTACATAATGAAAACTACAGGGTTAAATTTTTAAGAAGCGTTCACTTATGTTAGAAAGCGTAGAAGTGTAGTTTTTCCAAATTATGGGTTTTAAAGATAATTAAGAAATTATGAAAAGGATCTCAAACAATTAAAATTGAAAGAACCTTAAGCAATTGACATTCCAATTAAATAGACATAAAAAAAGCCTTAAGAAATTCCAATGGATAAGCATGAGTAATTCAGTATTTAGTATTTGGAATAGAAAGCAAAGCTCCTATTAAAACCTGTGCAAGGTAATCCAACATTCAATAGTGGTTATTCAACACCATAAAAATAGTTCTAGAAGCAAAGAATGTTGTACCAGTCTGCTAAAGTTGGTAGTCAAGAGCCAAAGTAAAATTCAATAACCTAGAATTCGACCAGAGCAAATAGCTAATTTAAGAATAATAACTTTGAGCCATCCTTCAACCAAACTTATTAAGGTCCTCAAATTGTAACTTATTAAAGGAACAAAATTATAGAGAAGATGCCAGACATTAAGAAAAAGACTTTCTATAAGTGAATATTATATATATATTTATATATTAATTAACTATTAGAAGTAAATGATTAATTAATAAATACATTCACTTAATTAAATACATAGAAACAAATTCCACCACAATTCATTCATTTTGCTTTTATCTCATTTCTGCAAGTACATTGAACACTTTTACTAAACCCTTAGCTGCAATTACTTTTAACTCTCTTTCTTAATCTCTATTAGTTGATACTCTTGGATCAATGTGTCCTTTTTCGACTACAGCCCTATTATTTTACATTTATCTAACTTTTTAATGTTCTTCTTTATTCCTATTTCTTTTTATTTTTGTTTTTCACTTGTAAGTTCATTTAAAATCTTCTATTTATCTGCCATAATTGCTTTCTCACTTTTTACATCTCTTTTTATCACTCCAGATAACAATTATTTTAATGATTGTTTCGTCTATTATTATATTTCTTCTTATTGACTTTCATGTTCTTCTTGATGCTCATCTTCATCTTCTGCATCGAATTTTTTAATCAGATTTTTTACTTTCTTAGATTTTATTTATCTATTCAACATTTATATACTTTAATTATTTATATATACTTTAATTATTTAAAATTTCTTATCTTTACTCTCTCTATTTAATAAATATTATTTATCTTGATTTTAATCTAAAACAAGTATGGATCTATTTATTTTTTTACTTAATATTTCTTTAATTCTCGGAATGCTTAAAAGAAAAGATGAATATGCTATTTAACCTATATTTAATTAATTGAACTAAAACAATATTTATAATTTATGTTCAATATCTAAAAAATTATATTTTAATTATCAAAATTGACAAATTCATGCTAAAAACTATATAAATCCTTTTTCATGTTATTCAAGTAATAATATAGCTTTTTCATCTTTACCTTATCTTGCTGTTCTACCTTATCAATTAATAAAGAAACAAGGTACTTAAGATGGATCAATTAAATAACTAAAGAAGGATCAATTAAATAACTAAAGAAATATCATCAAAATCAAGTCCTCTAGCCAATACATCAGTTCACTATTTGTAATTTTAAATTACCATTTATCTTTTCTATTAAGCCATTTATTGAATAATACTTTATAATTTACAATCAGGAAATAATTATTTAAAGATAATACTATAATAAGTAACAGAACTACAAGTATAATACTCTTGTTATTTTGATATTTCTTTTCAATGACATCAACTAATCTACATAGTCTTATTAGCATTAAATTTAACATATACTGGATTTCTAAAACATAATTTCATTAAATCATAAATTTACGCAGATGATTAAGTAGCTGAAAATAAACCAGTTCTTGTCTATTTAAGAAATTTAGATAAAATAAATCTAACATCATATTAGTATTGATTACTAATTAGTCTATCCGCTTCATCAAAGATTAAATATTGTAAAGTTTTAACATTTATTTATAATTCACTTATATTCAATAATTATTATAATTTGCAATGTGTAGCTATAAATATATTATATCCTTTATTATTTAAATATTTAACATCAGGTTCATTTGAAGTTCCATCTATTACAAATGCAATCTTTGCTTAATTTACAACATTAAACTTCTTTTACTAAATCATAAATTTATTATGGCAATTCTCTAGTAGGTGATAATATCAAACCAAACAACTGATGATCTTAATATTTCTATTTTTAAAATTGATTGAATAAAGGAACCAAAAATGTTAATGTTTTACCAGATTCTGTTTGTGCTTTTACATTCACATCATAAATTTTAATAAAAATGAGGAATAGAGGCATTTTATAATGGCATTAAGNATTTTAATGATTGTTTCGTCTATTATTATATTTCTTCTTATTGACTTTCATGTTCTTCTTGATGCTCATCTTCATCTTCTGCATCGAATTTTTTAATCAGATTTTTTACTTTCTTAGATTTTATTTATCTATTCAACATTTATATACTTTAATTATTTATATATACTTTAATTATTTAAAATTTCTTATCTTTACTCTCTCTATTTAATAAATATTATTTATCTTGATTTTAATCTAAAACAAGTATGGATCTATTTATTTTTTTACTTAATATTTCTTTAATTCTCGGAATGCTTAAAAGAAAAGATGAATATGCTATTTAACCTATATTTAATTAATTGAACTAAAACAATATTTATAATTTATGTTCAATATCTAAAAAATTATATTTTAATTATCAAAATTGACAAATTCATGCTAAAAACTATATAAATCCTTTTTCATGTTATTCAAGTAATAATATAGCTTTTTCATCTTTACCTTATCTTGCTGTTCTACCTTATCAATTAATAAAGAAACAAGGTACTTAAGATGGATCAATTAAATAACTAAAGAAGGATCAATTAAATAACTAAAGAAATATCATCAAAATCAAGTCCTCTAGCCAATACATCAGTTCACTATTTGTAATTTTAAATTACCATTTATCTTTTCTATTAAGCCATTTATTGAATAATACTTTATAATTTACAATCAGGAAATAATTATTTAAAGATAATACTATAATAAGTAACAGAACTACAAGTATAATACTCTTGTTATTTTGATATTTCTTTTCAATGACATCAACTAATCTACATAGTCTTATTAGCATTAAATTTAACATATACTGGATTTCTAAAACATAATTTCATTAAATCATAAATTTACGCAGATGATTAAGTAGCTGAAAATAAACCAGTTCTTGTCTATTTAAGAAATTTAGATAAAATAAATCTAACATCATATTAGTATTGATTACTAATTAGTCTATCCGCTTCATCAAAGATTAAATATTGTAAAGTTTTAACATTTATTTATAATTCACTTATATTCAATAATTATTATAATTTGCAATGTGTAGCTATAAATATATTATATCCTTTATTATTTAAATATTTAACATCAGGTTCATTTGAAGTTCCATCTATTACAAATGCAATCTTTGCTTAATTTACAACATTAAACTTCTTTTACTAAATCATAAATTTATTATGGCAATTCTCTAGTAGGTGATAATATCAAACCAAACAACTGATGATCTTAATATTTCTATTTTTAAAATTGATTGAATAAAGGAACCAAAAATGTTAATGTTTTACCAGATTCTGTTTGTGCTTTTACATTCACATCATAAATTTTAATAAAAATGAGGAATAGAGGCATTTTATAATGGCATTAAGTAATTAAACTTAAACTCTTCTACCATTACTTTTTGAAATATTGTCTCTAGGTTTGATTCAGATCATTAATTTTAAGTTGTCATAATTATTGAGAGAAGTGTATATAATAACATTCACTCATTCTTTATTGTTCTCCAATCAAAATCAACTCCCTTTTCTAAAAATTCATCATAACGATTCGCCTCCACCGCACGAGCCATCAATTCCATACTTTCATGAAATTTGTCTAAACTAAATTAATATTTCTCAGCCATGTCATGAAATGTCTACTCTACATCTCTACAGAAATAGTTTTTTGTTATTTTAAATGACATCAATGGCAGAACTCCATATTAAAATAAGAACTTCGACATCCTGAATGAACTTCTTCTTAATAATGTCTTATCCAATGTCAACATCAAACAATTCATACTTATAAAAGCACCATATGTACGCGCCTTTTCTAAAAGTTCAGCATTTCTACAATCTTCCATATCTTCTTAGGAAATATAACCAAAACAATTATTGTATTAGTAAAAATACTTGAACACTTTTATTTTATCATTTCCTAGATAGGTTGTTTTGAATTCTTCATAGTTTGTCAGTTTTAAATTTTTCATGTTAAATTAATGATTATAATATAATTTTTAGAAATTATATTCAAAAATTCCTTAAGTCGTTTTTAATGCGTAAGATGACTAACAATGATTAGGTAATCTTCTTTATTCCTTATTAATAAACTTAAATCAAGAATAATTCAAGAATAATATGTTATTACAACAAATAAATAACAATTCTAACTTTTAATGTTATATATGATAATTTACAAAGATTCTTCATATATTATAATTTAAGTATTAATTTTATATTTTTGATTCTAATATGGTAATATAATAATCAAAATATAGTTTAAGCTTGTCTTCTTAAATTAAAATAATTAAAAAATATATTATACAGGATATCCTTAGTTAATGATATCAAAATTATATTGTAATTTTATATTAGTTTTTTTGATATAGATTCATTTATTATTTAGTTAGCATAATCCTAACTTAAAGCTTAAATTAAATAATATTGTGAAATAATTCTTTATACTTTTTTTGAAATTTCTCTCTTTAAAATTTATAATAAATTTCATTAATTAAATTTTTCATGTATTAAAGTAATTATTTGACATTGGCTTTTATTTTTTAATTTTAAATATTATTATTAATGATAGAGAAATTGCATTTCTAAATCATTTTGCACAATATTAGATATTTATTATTCTTTTAATTCTTAATGCTATTATTTTTTAATTAAATTTTCATTTTTAGAGGTTAGATTAATTTTTGATTTCAAATGGATCATTTGAATAATTAATTGATATAGTTCCTGATTTCAATTATTTTATGACTTTTCAAATTTGGAAACATTATCAAGTTGATTATAATAAAAATCAAGATATTATTATACCTTATAAGTCTATTTTTTAAATATTATTATATAATTATATCTATTGTCTTGCTCGAATATGNTTTCTCAGCCATGTCATGAAATGTCTACTCTACATCTCTACAGAAATAGTTTTTTGTTATTTTAAATGACATCAATGGCAGAACTCCATATTAAAATAAGAACTTCGACATCCTGAATGAACTTCTTCTTAATAATGTCTTATCCAATGTCAACATCAAACAATTCATACTTATAAAAGCACCATATGTACGCGCCTTTTCTAAAAGTTCAGCATTTCTACAATCTTCCATATCTTCTTAGGAAATATAACCAAAACAATTATTGTATTAGTAAAAATACTTGAACACTTTTATTTTATCATTTCCTAGATAGGTTGTTTTGAATTCTTCATAGTTTGTCAGTTTTAAATTTTTCATGTTAAATTAATGATTATAATATAATTTTTAGAAATTATATTCAAAAATTCCTTAAGTCGTTTTTAATGCGTAAGATGACTAACAATGATTAGGTAATCTTCTTTATTCCTTATTAATAAACTTAAATCAAGAATAATTCAAGAATAATATGTTATTACAACAAATAAATAACAATTCTAACTTTTAATGTTATATATGATAATTTACAAAGATTCTTCATATATTATAATTTAAGTATTAATTTTATATTTTTGATTCTAATATGGTAATATAATAATCAAAATATAGTTTAAGCTTGTCTTCTTAAATTAAAATAATTAAAAAATATATTATACAGGATATCCTTAGTTAATGATATCAAAATTATATTGTAATTTTATATTAGTTTTTTTGATATAGATTCATTTATTATTTAGTTAGCATAATCCTAACTTAAAGCTTAAATTAAATAATATTGTGAAATAATTCTTTATACTTTTTTTGAAATTTCTCTCTTTAAAATTTATAATAAATTTCATTAATTAAATTTTTCATGTATTAAAGTAATTATTTGACATTGGCTTTTATTTTTTAATTTTAAATATTATTATTAATGATAGAGAAATTGCATTTCTAAATCATTTTGCACAATATTAGATATTTATTATTCTTTTAATTCTTAATGCTATTATTTTTTAATTAAATTTTCATTTTTAGAGGTTAGATTAATTTTTGATTTCAAATGGATCATTTGAATAATTAATTGATATAGTTCCTGATTTCAATTATTTTATGACTTTTCAAATTTGGAAACATTATCAAGTTGATTATAATAAAAATCAAGATATTATTATACCTTATAAGTCTATTTTTTAAATATTATTATATAATTATATCTATTGTCTTGCTCGAATATGGTTTATCTAAATAAATACATACCAATTATATTAATAAAAATATAATATTTTATAGAAATTACTTCTATTCATAAAGATAATTTTTCAGTACTTTTAATCTACAATCTTTTGATAATATCAATTTTATTCTCGAAAAATTATGATTAGAAATTTTATTTGAGTATTAAAGTAATTTAATTTCTTGTATTTAATTTTGGAATTTCATTTTATCCCAAAAAACTTAATATTAAGAATTTCAATTTATCCTAATTAGAATTTCTATTATTTATAAACCCTAGTTTATCAACCCAGATTACATTAAATAAATATGATTAGCATTAATTTTGCAATAGCCGCTTTTGTATTGGGAATATTTTACTTTGTAGTTCTACTACCACTGGTTCCATTAATAAAGATAAAAATATAATTAGGAGAAAAGGCTGTTCTTATGTATTATCCACTAGCAGGATTGTATAAGATCTTCATGGATTCAATTAAAAAAGAGAAAGATGTAATAAAGACCATAAATAATGTGTTAAGAAAGAATCCAAATGTTGTTGTAATATTATCAAATTTTATTCATAAACCTTTATTGATTTGGACAGGAAAAGAGTATATAAAAGATATGTATTTGGATCATGCAAGTTATGTTAAGTTAGATCCTTTTATGATTGAATCAATGGTATAAAAGGGATTGGTTTTTAGTGAGGGAGATTTTTGGAAAAGATAAAGGAAATTTTTAGGTAGTACATTTACTTTTGAGAAACTTACTTCTCGTTTACCTATGATAAATTAGGTTATAGATAAAATAGCAAAGGATGATCCTAAGAATAATTTAAATGAGTTTACATCAAGAATTACAGGAGAAGTAGTTATTTAAAGCTTTTTCGGTGATTTAGCTAAAGGATTTTAGATAGAAGAAAAAGATGCTTAGGTTGCAATAGTTGAAATTCTTAGTGAAATAACCTTATTACCAATTAATAATCCATTCATTTAATTAAAATAAATGATATTTGAGTATAAGTCTTGGTAGATATTTCCAACTTAGAAGGAAAAGAATCTTCTAAGAAGAATATAAAATTTTAAATAAGTTATTAGAACTATGATAGAAAAAAGAATAGAATAACTAAAAAATTAAAATTTAGAAAATCAAGATTAAATGGTATTCTTAGATTTATATGTAAGTGAATATTTAAAATAATAATCATAACCAGATAGAAAATAAGAAATAAATATTGAAGAAATAATTCATTAATTTTTAACACTATTCTTTGCAGGTACTGATACAACAGCAACAACATCTGGAACATGTTTATATTATTTGGCAGAATATCCAGAAATGTAAAATGAGATTTTATAAGAAGTTAATGAGATAGTAGGTGAAAATAATGATATTAAAGAAGAACATTTAAACAAGTTAGTTAGAATAAATGCTTTAATTTAAGAGGTTTTAAGATATAGAAATCCAGCTTTCTGTCCAATTATTAGAACTGTTAGATAAGATAAATAATTATTAGATGTTAAAATGAAAAAGGGATGGTTAACATTTTAATATCATATAGGACCAGGATTACTTGATTAACATTTTGATAATGCTTCTTAATTTGATTATAAGAGGTGGTTGAATAAAGGAAATATAATAAAAAATGATAATGGTTTTGTACATATTCCATTTGCAGCTGGTCCTAGAAATTGTATTGGATAACATATGGCAATTATGGAGATTAAGATAATAATAGCAAAATTAGTTAGATAATTTAAGATTAAATTGAATCCAGATATTAAAGAAATTATTTTTGGAATAAAATTCTTGTATTGTGTTGAACCAGATAATTGTTTATTATTTGAGGAAAGGAAGTGATAGGTTTATTTTATAATTATATCTTAAATAAATAAAATGATTGTAAAATATGAATTTGAATAAATCATTCAGGTTTAACTTCTTCCGCTTTCCTATAGGAAATATATATAAAGAATAATACTTTTTAACAGTAATGACTAAAGCCTTTTCTTCATTGAAAAATCTAGTTTTAATTGGACCTTTTGAAATTCCAGTCTTGATAGACTTAGTATAATTAGATTGAATGATTCCAAATTATTTGATTTCTTCATTAGTTAATTCTCTTGGTTGTTATGAAGAATCTCTAAGGATAATCACTTATCCATCATTAGTTATGAATAATGGTTATGATCCTAATAGATAATCATCATTTTTTAATGGAATCCACTAAAATATATGTAATAATAAAATATATACTTCTTAATTTAATAACTCATATCTATTAAATCTATGAATTGCAACAATTCTACATACTTCAATATTTTCAGCTTTGATACCAAATACTGTAGTAAACTATTCTGCTAAATCTGCACCACTTTAATTTCTACTAACAACAAATTCATTTCTTTCTGATAGATCCCATTTTTCTTAATCCCAAAATCTTGCATGAATAAATACATCTTTAGATGTCAAATGTTACCATTCATCTTATAATTACTCAATTGCTATCATTCTCATTTCAACAATTCCTTATTCTTTTAATGGTTTATCTCTATATACTTTATTTAAACGATCAGCAATTCTTTCTCTAAGTCTTATATGTTTAGGATCTAATTATATCCCACTTTTTTCTGATGCCCAAATAGCTAAATCATTCACAAATTAACTAATTGGTTTATCTCCTGGAATAGAATACTCTCCTAATTCTTAGAATTAATAAAAGTTTCTATCTTCATAAAGATTAGGAGCAGATGCTATTGAAATAATACACCTATATTCGCCTAAATGTAAAGGAGTACCTATATCTAAATGAATAGATGATCCTCTAACAAAATGATTAAGTCCAACTTCTATTGTCATATCTTTCAATTCTAATCCTGCCCTTCCACCTCTTCTCATTATTAAATTTTTTGATGAAATCCCTATCTATTAACAAAGCTTTTCTTTTAATTCCATCATAGTAGCTCTATTATCTATTGTACATACAAGAGGATACAAATCTTCAGGTTAACCCTCTTATGAATATCCTTATACACTTTTTGTTGGATCATTAAATTTAATAGTTATTCTATGTTCATCTATTTCAAATTCTCTTAACCAATTACTTTTTTCAGTTTTAAGTTCAATGTAAAAGAAACTATTTTCATAATATCCTTCTATAGGTTTATCTGAACTTAATATTTCTCCGAATTCACCATTTCTTTTTAATAATTAATATTCTCCTTCTTCTAATTTATATGCTTTCTTTGTTGCTTCAATTAATTCATGTACAAAATCATTTTTATTAATTGTTATTTTTTTAGGTTATAAACTTTTTTCATCAAGAGCTTCAAGATTATCTCTATAAAGTGCAACTCTAAATGTAATTGCTTATTCATTATATGGTTTCCATTCCTCATTTTATTATTTAAATTCAATAGAAACACATCTATTTTATAATTTGAGTGCAGCTAATGTTCTCATTTCTTTACCTTCAAATGTATCTTAAAATTAATCAGTATAAGGATTATATATTCTAATTCTACAATTATCTCGATCTTTAATTTAAAAATGATCAAGCACTAATTATCTAAAATTAAGAAAACTAGTGCTATTTTCTAATGTAAAAGTTTTAACTTCTAATTTATAATGTGCTTTAATAGTAATAGGTTTTTAAAGTGCAAATAAATCTTCAGCTTCTCCTCCTTATTATCTATATTCTTCTAATTGAATCTTCTCTTCTTATAATTTCAATTAAACATATTCAGGTAATTCATTTTCTTAAAATTATCCCCCCCATGTTCCCCAACTTTCTTAATTAGGTTCAACTTTTCTATAAAATAACATATAAGCACTTCCACCAGAATGACCTCCAAATGTTTTCATTGGAATATCATCTGGATTTATATAAGTCACAGAACTATCATTAAAACAATACCATTATCCATCTTCATGAGATCTTATAAAAGCAAAATAATGACCACCCATAGCACCTCCTGAATGATTAAGAATTGAATATAATTAATATACATTTGGACCATCTTTTAAATATTATCTAATTTAATTATCTTATTCCTATATTGATTCTTAACATTTCTATTTAACTAATTCAACATATTTCTTTCTTTCCTCTGTTGTATCTAAAATTTATTACGATTACTATTTATCTTTTACATCATTCTTATCATCTTTTTATTAATCATTTTAACTTTTAGTATCTTATTAAATCTAAACTTTAGGTGCATTCTAATACTCTAAATCATGTTCAAATACTGGTAATGGTGGAGGTGGTGGAATATCATTTGCTTAATTTTGTGTACCTTTTATTTATTATTATGTTTATTTAATATCATCTTAAATTTATTAATGAATTATTTATTAAATTTATTCATCTTCTTATATTGTTCCAAATGTTTCAATCACATCAGTATTGCCTTATTATTTTGCTACTTTTTTTTATTATTTAATAAAATCTTTTAATCCTTAATTAGGTCTAACGCTTTTAGTTGTTTTAACTGTATGTTATGATGTCTAAACTTTTCCTACTGTTGTCGTTTTAAATTATTATTTTTTTGGTTATACTAATTCTTCAAAATATGATGGATCTGTTTCTTCTGGCAATTTATTTGGAATTTCATCATATGTTTTTATATAATTATTCATATTTAGTACAAATGGAAATGCCATTTTATCATCTAATTTTTCTCTTCTCATCATCACATAATCAAATGCAAATCGATTTATATGAACATTCAATATTGATGGTAATTTATAAATTTATTATCCTCTATGAGCATCTTGTTTGGCTTAACAAGATTCACAAAAATATTAATTAGCACCATCTAATTTTTCAGGTTTCAAACTCCTTTAAATAGCTAATTCCAAACTGTTATTGTATACTTTACTCCATTTATCTTTTAAAATTACTGTATAATCCATAAATATTTCTTATCTCTGACTTTCATAATTGCATTTCAAACATTTTGTGTAATGAAGATATGTACCTTCCTTATTATTATAAATATACCTTCATATAATTCCTTTACAAAGTTACAATTCTAATCACTCTACTCAATTGCATCAAATAATATTCGAATGAATTCTTAAATGTCATGTTGTTGGAATGCTTAATGAATATCCCACTAAAATGATTTTGTCAGATCTCTCGTATCAATATATTCAAATATTTTTGTTTAAAGTCTTCCATAGAGTTTTTAAAGTTAAAATGGTATTGAATCAATCTCTTCACCGTGTATTGAATGCTCATATTTCCATAAATACAATCCTCTACGAAATTCTGGGGTCATGAATAAAGTCTATAGAACAGAATTCATATAACATGTTGCACCTATGTTTTAAAGCCCTAAGTATGGAGCATCTATTTTATATGAATTAGAAGTCATTTAAATTTATTATTAACTCTTTACTCTTTATCTAAATAATCACGTTTATACACCTTTATAAAATGATTAATTATGAAAATTATTTATAAATTTACTCAGCAAGTTCTTTATCACAATAAACAATATTCCATTCTTAAACCATCATAATTATCTATACCTAAAGAAGCTTTTATTGCTAAAGTTATTAATAAAGATGGTACAACATCTTTACATGATCTCAATAAGGAATTAAAATAAGATTGTACTATAGAATTCTTAGATTTCTCTAATTAAGACGCTAAGAGAGTCTTTTGGCATTCAAGTGCCCATGTTTTAGGAGCTATTCTAACTAAATTTGGAGCTGAACTTGAATTTGGACCATCTACAGAAAATGGGTATAATTTTATCTTATCTAATCCCTAGATTTTACTATCAATGCAAATTGGATAAGGAAATCGAATTAGATTAGCTAAATTCAGAAATTGAATCTTATCTAAAATAGAAAAAACATCAATTTGAAATTTAGAACATATCATATGATGAAGCTTTGCAATTATTTAGCAAAAATTCCTATAAATTGAGTAAAATTAAATAGACTGCATTACCAAATTATTAGATTTATAAATTAGATGATTTTGTAGATCTATGTAAAGGACCGCATATTGATCATACGAATCGAATACATAAATTGATAATTAATCATTCTTAACCTTATTAAAATAGTTATAGATATTAGGGAATAGCATTTCCGAATTCAAAATCTTTTCAAGAATATCAGAAATAATATGAGTGTGATCATAGACATATAGGAAAGGATTAGCATTTATTTGTATTTAATAAATTGGCTCCAGGAAGTGCATTTTTTTTACCTCATGGAACAAAGATTTATAATAAATTAATAGAAATGATTCGTAAAGAGTATAGAGAGAGAGGATATTAAGAAGTGATAACACCATAATTATTTCATAAAGATTTATGGAAATAATCTGGTCATTTAGATAAATATGCTGAAAATATATATATGACTCATGACAATTAGATGGGATTGAAACCAATGAATTGTCCTGGTCATTGTTTACTATACAAAACATTATAACATAGTTATAAAGAATTGCCAATAAGATTTGCTGATTTTGGTGTATTACATAGAAATGAGGTACATGGTACATTAACAGGATTAACAAGAGTTCGAAAATTTACATAGGATGATGCTCATATATTTTGTACTGTAGAATAAATTTAATAAGAAATAAAGAATTGTTTAGATTTTTTAAGTAAAGTATATGGTCGTTTTGGGTTTACTTGGGAATTGACTTTATCAACAAGACCAGATAAATATATAGGTGATTTGGGAATATGGGATGAAGCAGAGAGATAATTGAGAATAGCATTATCAGATACAGCATATACAGAGAATCCAGGAGATGGAGCATTTTATGGTCCAAAGATAGATGTGTTAATAAGAGATCATAATTAAAAATAACATTAATGTGGAACAATTTAATTAGATTTTAATTTACCAGAAAGATTTGATTTAAATTATCATCATGAAAATGATAAATTCTCTAGACCTGTAATGATTCATAGAGCTATTTTGGGTTCAATAGAAAGAATGATGGCTATTCTTACTGAATAATATAATGGAAGATGGCCATTTTGGTTATCACCTAGATAAATTATGATTATTCCTGTGAGTGAAATTTCAAAGTAATATGCAAAAGACATATATGATTAATTGTATAAATTAGGATTTGAAGTAGAATTAGAAGATACTGATCAGACATTAAGTAAGAGAATAAGAAAAGGAGATGCATTGCATTTTAATTATATTTTAACAGTTGGTACAAAGGAATTAGAATCAAAAACTGTTGATATTAGAGAAAGAGGAGATAATCATAAACATTAATCAATGAAATTAGATGAGTTTATAACCAAAATTATTTAATTATGATTTAAAAACCTTAAGAGGATGGTCCACTTCAACCATTTGATTTATCATTCCGTGGAGATGATTAAAAATTTATGGAATTGGAAAGAGCTTAGACCATTTAAGATTTCTTAAATTCTATTGGGAAACGAAATTTCGAATTCGAATTTCAATTTTTGAGACAAAGCACTGAAACTAAAGATCATGATAAATAACTAATTAAAACAGTCTAAGTTTAGAGATTGAATCGATATTCAAATATATTGCCATGTATATTTAAGTATTATATTATTTTTTTAGTTTCACATTCAATTGTAAAACCAGAAGTTCAAGCAACTAATAAATTTAGTACTCCAAGAGAGAAATTCTACATTAATGCAAATTATATAAAAGGAATAAATAATGTTGAAAAACAATACATTGCGACTCAAGGTCCGATTCCAGAGTCTATAGATGATTTTTGGCATATGATTTGGACTAATAATGTTGGGATCGTGATTATGTTATGTGCTTTGTGTGATAGAGGAAGAGTATTCCTTTTGCTTTACTTAGATTCAATGCGAGAGATATTGGCCTAATGTAGGATAGAAGGCACAATTTGGTCCATATGAGGTGAATTCAATTTCATAAGAAGAAATTCTAAAGACTCTTTTTAAAAATAGAATGATTCTTAAATGTTAAGATGAATAAAGAGAAATTATTCATTATTAATGGACTGGTTGGATTGATTTTGGAGTTGTTGATAATAATTAATTTAAAATTCTGGATGTTTTGGCTGAAATTTCTAATACAGCTGGATTGGAGAAAAAAAGACCAGTTATTCATTGTAGTGCTGGAGTTGGAAGAACTGGAACATTCTTAGCAATTTGTCATTTGAAATAGTTATTAATAAATAAGGATGCAAAAATATCTGTATTTAGTATTGTCAGAAGATTAAGAGAATAAAGAGCTTTAATGATCTAAACACCTGAATAATATTAAATGGTGTATAGATATACAATTTGGATGATAGAAAATTTGAAATATATTTGATATATAGATGAATATATTATTAAAATTTAACCTCTCATAATTGGTTATTAATAAATTTATTTTTATAATATAAAAAATTAAAAAATTAAAAAAAGAAAAAAAGAACAGCCGATTGAGAGAATTGAACTCTCGACCCTTTGCTTACAAGGCAAAAGCTCTAACCACTGAGCTAAACCGGCTAGGTTATAACATAACCATCTCGATCATTTATGAGATGCCCGATTCATTTGATAATTTAATTATACTTAAAACAATTAGATTAATCCTATCATTTGTGTTATAGAAATCAATAACTTTCTAATATTAATAAATTAGTTGATTCTTCTAAATTTTACCTCGAAAACACAAATCATTTAAGATTTATGAATTACAATATTATACATTAAAATATAGTATATATAAAAAAGTGAGAAAATAAGAATCTCAAAGAATAGGAAAATGAATTATTAGTTGAATTGAGATAGTTAAATGTAAATTTAGCAGTTCTTTGGAAAATATAAAAATGAAATAGAAAGGAATTGATTTATTTAAATAAAAATTAATATATGACTACAGTGTCTGTGGATTTTTTGCAACAGATTACTCTTCTCGGTAATCAATATTTATTAATTTCTATAGACCCAATGAATAGGAAGCAAACTATCACAGAGTTAAAGAAGGTCCTCACCAAGCCTTTGTTACTGTCAGATTATAAAAAAATATGGAAAGCTCTTTATTATGGTAAAACAATTTAAAATTTTAAGCAATGTGGAGTTCTGATAAATATCAAAATCAATAAATTCTTGCATCTGAAATATCACAGCTAACGAGAATGTTCTATTCTAATTTCACTGCATTTATCTAATTCTCTAGAGCTATGTTCCATGTATTTATGATCGAATGGGAGAAGATTGATTATTGGCGAATTAATAAATTTATGTTATTATTTAGAGAAATCATAGAAGAATAAATCAAAATATGCAAACATTTTAATTGGAAAACAGTTCCTCAATTAATTGGACTTTATAATGAGACTGTTTTAAATCTTTCAGAATTTCAGACTGGTATGATTGCATACGATAATCCTTTTTAGTTTAAGGAGCTACATTACATTTTATCCAAATATTTGTTTAATGTATGGCTAAACATATGAGTGATTCTACAGTTACTTATATTTAAGTGAAAGATCTACTTGATACATTCTTAGATATTCTTAAACACAGTCCAAATAAAACACTTAGAGATAAAACTATATAATATGTATATGAGTATATTGAAGAAAAATAATCTAATGAAACATATTTATAAGCTTTTGATTCCTAAAAATATGCCAATTATGTCTTTAAATTAGCTTCATCAGAGTAATCTTATTTTATATATTTGTAGGAATGTTAATCCATAAAATAGAAAATCACTTTATAGAGTTGCAGAAATATTTCATTTTTAAGAACAATAAGAAAAATCACCATAAATAGAAGTAGAAGAAGTATAAAAAAAGAAAAAGAAAAAAAATAATTAAGATATTCAATAAATACAAAAACAATAAATTGAAGATAAAAATTTATAATAATAATAATAATAATAATAATAAAATGATAAATAATTAATCAATTTAGAATAAAATTAAGAATAAGAAGTAGAAGTAGAATAAGTAAATTAAGTATCTTAATAAAATTTTAAAAAAAATAATGGAAAAGAAAATATATCTAAAGAATAATAATAACTATAAAATACAACAAAAGCTAAATAAAAAGAAGAAAAAGCAATTCTAAAATTACATAAGAAATAAGAAGAATAAATAAATTCTCAATATATGTAAGATAGTCCAATTCAAGATGAAGATGAAACTATTGAAGGTGATGATTATAGTGAAATTAGAAAGAATCCTAATAAATTAAAAATTCTAAAGGAAATAATGAATTCTGTACCTGTATATTTATTTATGAATCCAGCTGAGAAACGCAAATACTTTAAATCTATCAATATGAAATTTTAAGAAGCTTTGTAAAAAGAAAAAGGATCACAATGTACACATAATAAGAGCGTACACTTTGATTTAGCTAAAAACAAAGTAAAAAGTAAAATTTAGAATTTATTATATTAGCTTTCAAATAAACAGATAATGTGCTCAGAATTTCTAAGTCATGAATTTGATATTTTATATGTATAAAAAATATGGTAGAGAATGTGAAAAAATAACACTTTAAATTCACTTTAAACATTTATTTGGTTAAAATTTGAAACGACTATTTAATAACATAAAATTACATACGCATTTACAAAACGAAGCTTTAGTTCAATATATTTTCTTTCTATTCCTTCTTCTGCTTCATTCATTTTTGAACATTCACAAATAGTTTCATCATCCCTCTTTTTAGGAGAATAACTAAGTTAAGATTTACGTTTCTTTATTCCTGTTAAATTTTCTAAATATAAATCATGTTAAAATTGTAAATGATTATCCTTTTTTGCTTTTATCTCAGGAGTCAAAGAAATATTAGATTTACTATTTTTCACTCTAGAATTTGAATTAAAAGAAATCTTGCTTAACCTACTTAAAATACTAGGTTAGATTCCTAATAAAACACTATTATTAAATTCTATATCTGATATTGTATCATTGTAACTGCTAATTGATTAAATTCTACCCTTTTTACGTAGTATTTCTGGAGTTAATGTAGATTTTTTTTATTCAGGAGTTCTTAATAAAGAATTCATTTCTTATTCGATTGATTAATTTAATTGTGATCCAAAGATATTATTTGATGATAAATCATCTTTAGTTTTTCTAAATCTAAATATGAATGATATTTTTACAAAGATGGTTTGCTGTTAAATAAATTACTGCTAGTACTTTAACCTTCTTTTTCTATCTTTTAGGATATATTCCAATCAAAAACTAACTCTTTTGGTACATAATTATGTTCTATCTAAACTTTTTTAAATAAAGATTAACAATATTTATAATTTGGTTCTGATTTGAATTATAATCCTCTAACATAATCTAAATATCTTGTAAATTCAATAGGTAGGCCTTGACATAATTCACTTACTTTCATTTTGATTTTCATCTAACCAACTTACTTAATTTTATTCTCTTCTGATGTAAATTATAAATTTTACCATGGTAATTAACCTTATATTTAATATGCTTTATACCTTTAAGTAGAAATATTAACATATAGCCAAGTGATTCCATATCATCTCTTCGACTTAAGGAATAGCCTTTATGAGCATTTATGCTAGCATATCTAGTTGTTCCTATAAATGGTTAATTATCTCTAAAGGATCTAGATGCTTTTGGATTAAAATATACATATGAGATTCATTTTCATCTTTGTAAAATTTGCTTATGCCAAAATCTACAATAAATAATTAATTTTCTTCATCTTCTTTTCCAACTAAAACATTTTCAGGTTTTATGTCTCTATGCAACACTTTACTAAATTAAGTTATTAATATACTTTCTATGTAAGCTTTCTAAGATGTTAATCATCTATTCAGCAATATTAAGTACACATTTTAAAGAAAATTTTCTAAAAGTCTTCATATAATGAGTTAAATCTCTTCCTAAATATTGTATGACTAGAACAAATAAATCTTATTCTTTTCCAGCCCAATAAAATTTGGGTATATGTTATAAATGTTAAAGTTTTCTTAAAATTTCTGCCTAAAATTGAAATTTTAATACTTCTCTTTATAAACTTGATTCTTCTTTACTTTCTTTATCTATCTTTATTGCTACAAAATTTCTTGTATTTATATCTTATCCTTAATATACAACACCAAAGGATCCAGCAGATACTCTTTTTTTTGTAATGTAAGTACTGTTGATAATTTTCTGATTATTCATTTTGTTAAATAATATTCTAAACTTTTAATTTAAATGAAAATATTTTAATGAATAAAGTTCTTAGAATTTATATACAACAAATTAATTAATCATTCTTACTATTCTTCATCATTATCAATTTCTGAGTATTATAAATATTCTGAGATAAGATCTTATATATTTGCACCAGCTTCAGTGAATTCTAATTCATCCATTCCTTCATTAGTGNAACTAACTCTTTTGGTACATAATTATGTTCTATCTAAACTTTTTTAAATAAAGATTAACAATATTTATAATTTGGTTCTGATTTGAATTATAATCCTCTAACATAATCTAAATATCTTGTAAATTCAATAGGTAGGCCTTGACATAATTCACTTACTTTCATTTTGATTTTCATCTAACCAACTTACTTAATTTTATTCTCTTCTGATGTAAATTATAAATTTTACCATGGTAATTAACCTTATATTTAATATGCTTTATACCTTTAAGTAGAAATATTAACATATAGCCAAGTGATTCCATATCATCTCTTCGACTTAAGGAATAGCCTTTATGAGCATTTATGCTAGCATATCTAGTTGTTCCTATAAATGGTTAATTATCTCTAAAGGATCTAGATGCTTTTGGATTAAAATATACATATGAGATTCATTTTCATCTTTGTAAAATTTGCTTATGCCAAAATCTACAATAAATAATTAATTTTCTTCATCTTCTTTTCCAACTAAAACATTTTCAGGTTTTATGTCTCTATGCAACACTTTACTAAATTAAGTTATTAATATACTTTCTATGTAAGCTTTCTAAGATGTTAATCATCTATTCAGCAATATTAAGTACACATTTTAAAGAAAATTTTCTAAAAGTCTTCATATAATGAGTTAAATCTCTTCCTAAATATTGTATGACTAGAACAAATAAATCTTATTCTTTTCCAGCCCAATAAAATTTGGGTATATGTTATAAATGTTAAAGTTTTCTTAAAATTTCTGCCTAAAATTGAAATTTTAATACTTCTCTTTATAAACTTGATTCTTCTTTACTTTCTTTATCTATCTTTATTGCTACAAAATTTCTTGTATTTATATCTTATCCTTAATATACAACACCAAAGGATCCAGCAGATACTCTTTTTTTTGTAATGTAAGTACTGTTGATAATTTTCTGATTATTCATTTTGTTAAATAATATTCTAAACTTTTAATTTAAATGAAAATATTTTAATGAATAAAGTTCTTAGAATTTATATACAACAAATTAATTAATCATTCTTACTATTCTTCATCATTATCAATTTCTGAGTATTATAAATATTCTGAGATAAGATCTTATATATTTGCACCAGCTTCAGTGAATTCTAATTCATCCATTCCTTCATTAGTGTACCAATGAAGAAATGCTTTTCTTTTAAACATGGCTTAGAAATTATTATAAATTCTTCTAAACATTTCATTTATAGCAGTAGTATTTCCAATAAATGTTCCTGAATTAACAACTCCTTACTAAGATATATTGCATTATGAAATCTTCAAATTATTAGGTAACCATTAAACTAGATTTTAAGAATTCTTTTTTTAGAATTTCATTATTTCTTTTTCAACTTCTGAACTTGAAAATTATCCTCTAAATAAACATGCTCCAGTCAAATATCTACCTTATTTGCAATTGATTGCACACATTTAATTTTTGGGATCAAACATTTAATCACTTACTTCTGTGATATTTAGAGAACGATATTACATACTTGATCTAGATGTTAAAGGAGCAAATGATGTTGTAAAGAAATGTAATCTAGGGAATGGTACTAGATTTACACTTAACTTTCTTAAACTACTATTTAATTAACCTGGAAATCTAAGTGAACAAGTAGTTCCTGACATAGATGCTGAAATGATGTGATTTAAATCTCCATAACATATATTCTTAAGTTTCAATGTATTAGAACAAATGTTATACAAAGCCTCATTATCAATTGACATACATTATGAACAATTTTCTATTAAATGATTAACAGCAACAGCAGTATTATAATATTCTACTACTGCATCACTTACTTTTACAGAAGGAAATACAGAATAAGCTTGAAATATTCTATCACAATAATCTTCTTATAATTTTGATAGTAATAATGTACCAAATCCAGATCCTGTTCCTCCTCCTAATGAATGAGTTAATTAAAATCCTTATAAACAATCTGAATTTTCAACTTAATGTCTTACAACATCTAAAACCTCATTTAATATTTCAGTTCCATTTGTATAATGTCCAACTGCAAAATTATTACCTGCTCCACCTTAACTAAAAATAAAATTATCTGGTCTGAATAATTTTCCATATTTGCTTGCTCTTACACTATCTAATGTTCCTGGCTCTAAATCTATCATTACATTTCTTGGTATGTATCTATTTCCATTTACTTCATTAAAATAAACATTCAAGTATTATTAATAATCAACCTCTTATTAAATCAATTGCCCATCTTCATCTATCTTATGTTCTTAAGCTATTTCTTCCCAAAACTTTGTTCCTATTTGATTCCCACATTATCCTATTTGTAATTGTATTATTTCTCTCATTATTTTCTTTTATTATCACTTTCTCTATTCTGAAAGACCATTTTTTAAATAAAAATTATAAAAGAAATTTTAATTTCTTATAATTGCTATTTTTATTTTTAGTATATAATTAATTATATTCAATAAAATTATTGTTTTATATTATTAAACCTACAATTTATATGACCTATTTTCAAACAATTTAAACACTTTGCTTCAGAAAATTAAATATCAACATCAATTTCAAAATTTAAATTCCCTTTTTCTAAATTTAATGTACAATCATAAAAATAATGATTTAAACTCAAACATATTATACAATAAGGCTATTTTTGATATTCACACATTTTTAATTCATGACCATACTATCTGCAATTCCAACAATATTAATAAAATTTAAAATCAAAATAACGCTCTGTTTTTTAAGACTTTTTTTTATTCCATATTTTATTTTTGAAGTCTTCATCATTTGAAGATGATGACTATTCTATAAATTCACTCTCATTACACCAAACTTTCTCTTTTTAATTTAAACATAATTCTTTTAGTTTTTACAATAATTTTGCTTCATTTGTTGTTTTCTTAGTTGCATCAAATAATTCATAATATTAATTCACATCTTTCACTTTAATATTTTACGCACCTAAATTATCTAATTTATTATTCTATCATACTTAATATTGGTTTATTTTCAAATTAAAATGTCTTTTCTTCAGAATCACTACTGCTATCTTCAAAAAGATGAATCATTATTAGTTTTTTTTTTAATTTAATTTCTCTATATAAAAAAAGTTTTCATCTATTACTTTTCTAAAAAAGATAAAACTCTGCAATCAAATCTTTTTCACATTATTTTACATAATTTTAGATATTCTTTCACATGATTTAATTAATATATGCCATATTTTTTTAATTATTTAAATAAAGTTTAGTATCTTATATATTTAAATTTTAAGAGAAAAGCAGACAGAAAAAAAATTTTAACATTTCAAAATCTTCTACCCATTGTTATTAGAAGCTATCTTCAGAATTATAAAATTTGAGCTTAAACTATTCTTTAATTTGAGGAAAAAATAAATTTGTACTTTCTAAAATATATAATTTTTTTTTTCAGAAAAAAAAAGTAACAAAAATGCTTGAAGTAAACTTACATCAGGTTAAAATAAAATATTTTTGGAAATTTCATTAAAATAGAACTCTATCGTTTGTGTTGAATGTATGTTAAATGCAATTTTAAGTCTTCCTTAATTGAAAAAAAATAAATTATTCATGAAAACCAATTATAAGGATATAAATTTAATAACTAATTATTAAGTTGTAAACTATAATAGTGAAAATTAAGTTCACAGGTTTTTTATTTAATATAATAAAATAGACTGAAATACAATACATTTAGAGCTTGTCAATTTAATAAAAAGTCGTATGATAATAATATAAATCATATTTACAGTCTAAATTTGATTCCACACAAATATTTGTATTTTTATAAAGGTATTCATTTAAATCATTCATGAAATTTTTTTTATTTATATGAAACACTCTTATTCTTAATTATTATTAATTACAAATGCATAATTAAACAAGATTAGTTTTTTTTGAATCCTTTTGAAAAATAAAAATAATTATTATTTTCTAATCATTTAAATAATATGTAAAGAAATAAGAAAATTCTAATTAATTTAAAAATGATGAAATTAATCTCTAATTCATAATAAAATAATCATTCTTACTCTATTTCTTTTTCATTATTCTCCATACTATTTTAGGAATCATCTTAAATAATTTTAGGATCATTTTGTAATAATTAAGATTCCTATTAATTATCATTTTCACATTATTTTTGATTTACTTCTGGTTCCAATTAGATTTAATTTTATAAAGTCTCTTCATAATTGTTTTACTTTATATCAATTTCATTATTATCAATGGTTTGTGTAATTTCCTCTTCTTATTTTACGTATTCAATATTTCCATCCTTCTATTCAATTTAATTGCTCTATTCTAATCGTTCTTCTAAGATCATGAATTCTTAATTTTGATTATCTTAAGTTTATTCTGGAGATGAATTAGTTAATTATTTTTATTCATCTTCATCATTTAAATTTTATTTTATTTATTAAATTAGTTGAGGTTGTTATTCTGATTTTTAGAATTAAACTTAACTTTAAGATAACTAAGTTTGTTAAACCTTTGGTAAACTAAATATTATTAAGTTTTTATACTTTGTAATTGTATACTTCTTATTATTTAATGAATTTAAAACAATACGATCTTTGATTAATAAATTCCATAGAGTTTATATAGAAGTTTATTCTTTAAATAAACCTTCATTTAATGATTATTTAGTTTTAAATAAATGTTTTTGAAGAACTTTAGCAACAGAAATTCTGACATTTTTGATAGGATCTTAACCTAAATTAATAAATGCTTCAAGAAAATCAACTTGAAATAATTGATATTTCATTAATTTTTCACACATAATGACAAAACTAATATAAAGAATTGAAAATACCTTTATCTTTGATTAAACATATTGCTATTAGCAAAACCTAAGATATTTTATTTTAAAACACTGAAATACAATTCATTTTAATTTTTAGAAAATTTATCATAAAGTTCAAATATTTATTTTGCAGCCTAATTAAAAATGAAAATAAATACAGCTTTTCTAACAGCATAAACATTATCATTGCATAATTTAATTGAGACTGGTAGAATGATAGAAAAAACAGTTTCAACATCAAATACTCTAGCTAGATGAGAAATTTATTTAGCAATTAATTCTCTAATTCTCCATTTTTTTTAATCTTTCTAAATAATCAATAAGATATCAATAAGAGAAGTTCTTTTAGATTCTTCAATAGCATCAAAAAATAAGGCTAAGTTTTCAACAGCTCCATGTTTAATTTCATCATTAGGATCTTAAAGTAATTATTCTAAGACTTTTAGTAATTCTGAATATGCTAATGAAGGTCCTAATAATTTGGCTAAAACATGAAGACTACAAGCCAATGGTTTTTTGACTCTCAAAGAAATATTATATAATAATACCTTATCTTTATGAATAATTAATTTCATAAATAATTTACTAAGTTAAGGCCATTTTTTATCGGTATAAACTTAAAGTACAGCTGGAAAATATAATGCACATTCAATAACAATCTTATTATTATATTATGAATAGCATTTACTTCATTATCTATTCCTAATTCTCTAATATCAGAATCATTCATTTTTAAATAGAATTCTAATAATTTATCATTAATATTTTCAGATCTTGTAATAATTGATATGTATTTTCCTAATTATTTATAAGCATGCTATTTAACCCATTTATTTTAATCACTTTTAATTTAATTGAACATTACTCTAATAATGCAAGTAACCTTCCAGTAATCAAATCAAAATTTTCTGTATCTGTTTGTTCAGCTAATTTAACAATGATATCAAGACAAGCTTTTCTAGTTTACCATGTTCTTTCTTCAGTTTTTCTAAAATAGTATAAATATATAATTATTGCTTAGAAAAGAATGGTATTAATCTATGTTTAATAAAATCTTTAGATAAAACTTTAGCTATATTAGCTAATTATAGAACTGCTTCTTTTCTTATTGGTTATTTGGCATCATCTCCTTTAGATAGAATTTCTAATGCTATAAATGATTCAGATAATTCAGGTCCAAAATCAGCAGCTAATTAACCAAATAACTATAATATATAGAATTATATTAAACTTTAACAGCAATTATTACATTCTCATCATTATTATCATCATGTGCCATCTAAATAACTTAAGTTAAAATTAGATTTCCTCTATCTCTTTCATTTAATTCTTTGGCAACAATACTTATTGAATTACCAGCCAATTCTTTAATCTTAATATAAATGACCGATAGATTACATCAAAATTATTAGATTTTAACAATTCTTACAATGCTTTTACTACATGTTATTTAATAAGTTCTTAACTATTTTATTTTGTTTTCAAAAGTACACAAATTTACTCTAATTGGGCTATAAAATTCTTCTTAATTTCATCAGCATCTTCTAACTATAAATTAAAATTCAAGAATACTATCTATTATATGATTGTATTTAAATTATCAATAGCAGAATCCCCTATCCATGCTAAAAGTTCTCCTAATCTTTTCGTAAAAGCAAGTCTATATTTACTATTTAATTTACCTCTCTTTATAATTACATTCCTTTAATTTCATTAATTTCTCCAAAACAATTTAAGGGTTTTCATCAATAAATACTGCATCCTCCTCTCTTTTTTAAATCTATTAAACTGGAATATATTCCTCCCTATAAATTTCTTAAACGATGCTTCCTGTATCTAAATAAACGATTATATCATCATTGTTACCAATAAGAGGATTTTCTTTGAGAGAATTTTACATATCCTTTAATATATATTTATTTAATTTTAAAATATTGTTAGATGTCCTTCTCTTATTTCTGAATTTCAAATAATCTTCAAATATATTAATTCTTATCTTTCATAATCTTACTTACAATTATAAATATCAATAATATATTAATATCATTAACTTTTATATAATACATCAATCAATCATCATCATCATCATCATCGTCATCTTAATAATCTTAATCATCTTAATCATCTTCTTCATCTAATTCATCTTCATCATCTTTTAAATCTAAATAATAAGTTAAAGATTATGGAATTATTTCTTCAATTATTGCTTCTCCTATTTCAAGATCAGCTCCAATTTATTCTTCTTTTAATATTTCTTCTTTATCTGTTTATGCAGGAGGAATATCATCAAAAAATTTAAAGAATGATTTTAATTTAACTTCAGTCTCTATTATTCTAGTTTAATTTGTTTTCTTATTTCTTTATTTCTTCTTTTTTATTGCCTTAGTAACATTCTTTCCTTCTTTCCAAATAATCTTTGTTCCATTGCATTTATAAGGCAATTCACTTTCTTCATTATTATATATGAATTCTTTCTCTAAGACCTTATTTTCAAAATATTAATTAGGATTAAACTCAAATCTTAATTTAAAGTCTCTATCATTATCACCAAAATTAGCTGTAATACTTTTCAATGATAATAAAACATCCGCATCTTTTTATGTTATACGTGATCCTGTTATCATTGCATTTTATAAAACTTTTGACCAATAATCAGAAATTGGTTCTGCTTCTTTTATTGTTGAATCTTATATTTCTTCTTCTCTTGGTTATCTTGATCCATTAGCTAAAGCATTTACTTCTTATAATTCTGGAAGACAATTTTTCAAATGATCTTTTGTTACTTTATTAACATTCTCTGTATATTATTTTTCCAAATTTGACCATTTTTTTACATAATGAATTAAGGCAACTCCTTTTGATAAATCTTCAGGCTTAAATTTTTGTTTAATAGCTTCAATCAATCCTTAATCAATAATCATAAAAAAATAACCTTAATTTATTTTATAATTGAATTCATTAATTTAAGATCATTAAATTTGTGTAAATATAATATATTATCATCTTTTAATTTATATTTATTTTATTACTTTTATTCATTAAGTAATTTAATTAAACAATTAAATTTATATATATATTTAAATCCTCTTTATCTTACTATTTATTAGTTATCATTTCTTATTACTACTTGTTATATATTTATTAATCCTATTTATTATTTAAAATAGTTAAATTTAACTCTATTTTTTGTTAACTCTAAAAATAGATTATCGATTATTATCCTATTATAATAATATATAAATTTAAACAAAAATGAAAAACTATATAAAACAGAAGAAATTGATTATATATTCTAATAAGTTGTATTTATAATTTAACCATTTTATATAGAGATTTTTTGTGTTTTTTAGTTAACAAATAGATTCTAAAGTTAAGTAAAATTTAAGGTTTTATGTATTATATTATTTAAGTTATGAATAATAATGCAGATGATTAAAAGTAAGGAATATTTTAATGATTTTATTAGTGATATTTCAAATGAAAACCTAAAACCATGTCCTGATAAAAAATTACACCATTTTGATTAAGAATGGGTAAATTATGTAAATAATGCTTCTCCTCACTTCACACCTTCGTAATTCTTTAATGCTCCTATTTCATAAATGCCTCCTTTAAATTTAGAAAAAAGTTCATAGTTCCCTTATATCAAGGTTATGATGATGGCTAAGACAAATAAGGTAAGAAAAATCCCTTTCGAAAATTCTCTGCTAATGATCCTCAACAAGATGGTAATGAAGAAGATCCAAAATAAAATTACCCAAACTATCCACCTTTCTATTAACCATATCCTATGAAATATCCTCCACATCCATCCCAAATTTTTATGCATTAATATCCACATCCTATTCCATTTTGGTATAGACCACCTTTATATTTTCCATAATATGATGGATAACATTATTAAAATACCTTATCTAAAGAACTCTAATCAAAAGTTAATCAATTGGTTTAATACTAAAAAGTCTCACCTTTTGCTTGCAATTGTAAAAAAAGTAAATGTCTTAAATTATATTGTGAATGTTTTGCTAATAATTGGGTAAGATTTTCAACTATATAGGTATGTTCATAAAATTGTAATTGTTGTGAATGCAAAAATAGAATTGATAACCCTAATGAAAGATCTAAAGCTATTGAAGAAGCATTACATAGAAATCCAGATGCATTTACAGCAATTTTAACTAATAATGGATAACAGCCACAAATAATTTAAGGTAATCTTCTTACTATTTTTAGAGGAAAAATCATTAAAAGAATCATAAAAAGATATTAATTCAAGAAAGGGATGCAATTGTAAGAAATCTGAATGTAAAAAGAAATATTGTGAATGTTATAGTATTAATCAAAAATGTACAGATCTATGCAAATGTGAAAATTGTCTAAACAAAGATTAAAAACATGAAAATTCTGTTGAATACGTATAAAAATAAGAGAATCTTAATCAATTTTAATTAGAAAAAGAAATCGAAAATGATATAAAAGAAAAAGATTCTGTCAATTAAAAATCTAAAAGTATTAAAAAAAAAAAGATCATCAATGTTCTCAATCAGGAACATTTTTCAGAATCTGAAAAACCAATAGTCAAAGTCAAATTAACTTTTTCTGAAAAATAAAAAAAAAGAAAATAATAATGATTTTTTTCATCTGTTTTTAAGTCTTTGTTATAAATTCCATCACTTTTATATTAATTAATTCATTCAATATCTTTTTGCTATCAGATATCCTTCATTTTAATTTTGATATTACTAACTTTTTGGTTTATCATCTCTTTCTTAATATTGAGAATGTGATCTCGGATATTGAGTATCCCTATTAATTAGAAATTTTTATTGAGAATTTTAATAATACTAAATCTAATTTACTCCATAATTCTATTATTTTTGATCATATCTTGTAATTGTGTGTAATTAAGGAACTCGATAATTCTTAACATTCAAAGGAGCTCTTTATGGTATTGTTTTTTCATATCTATCTCCATAACTTTCAGTATGTAATCTAGCTTTTTAATCAAAATTTAGAAAATTTTCATCTTTTTCAGGACTTACTTCTCTTGAATCTTCTTATGTATTTTATCTAAATGTGTAATTACTTGATTAATGATGAATTTAATTATATTATTATTAAATTTATTATTACTATTGTTAATATAAAACCTTTTATTATTACTATTATTATTACTATTATTATTATTATTAAGATTATTATTATTAAATTTGTAATATCTCTTAATAATATTATTATTTTTGCAATTCTTGTTATTATTAAATTATCTATTCTTAAGTTAATTATTAATGACTTTAAACTTAATTACATTAATTCTAAATTTAAGAAATTTGTTATTAAATTTAGATTTGTGGTTACTAAATAATTTATTATGATGCTTTTTAATTTAAATTAGAATTTTATTGAACTTGATTATTAATATTAGTTTATTATTAAATCTATTCCTAACAATTCGGTTTTTATTATTAAAAGTTTTTAATTAAATTTTCTAGTCTTTCTTTTTCTTATGACCATATCTTTGATCTTTCATTTAATTCATCTTTTATTTATACATTTTCTTATTATATCGTTTTAATCTATTATTGGAATACAATAATCTGTTAATTAAAATAATGTTAATATTATTAAGCAATTGTTTCTTATTATTATTCAATTTCTTTCTATTATAATATATAATCATTACCAAAAAAGAATTTCTTAATTCACTAATTTGTAGATTATAATTTTATTCTAAATTAGCTATACAAGATTAGTAAGATGTCTGTTCTTAATATAATTACTGCATAAATTATTATTCTTTGTATTAGAATTCTTTTATTGTATCAGCATACTATTATTACTAAGCAATCAAAACTTATTTTTATTATTCCAATACCATACATTTTCTATGATATAGAAATACTATTATTACTCATTAACAGCTTTTATTTCTTCATTTATTAAGGCTATCTAATCATTCTTTTCTAAAACTTAATTATTCAACATATCTATATCATTTAATCGTGTTTATAACATTTCATTTAGATTTTTATTTTCTAATAATATTTATTAGAATCTTGATTCTATTTCTTTTTTATTTTTTGTTTATTCATCAATTAATCTACTACTTAATTATTCATTTGCTTATGTTAGTTGAACTACCTTTTATTAATAATTCATCAATTTTTATTGAGATTCTTATACTAAGAGTGTTCGATTTGATTGATTATTTTGTTTCATAATTTCTATTTCTCTCATTAAACCAGAATTTATTTCAATTAACTTTGAATTTTCAGTGATGAGTAATTAGATTTTAGATTGCATAGAAGTAAGATTTTTTTCATTATTATCAATAGGTTATTCAGCCACTCTAAAACTTGGCTCAGATTCTTCTCTCTTTATAGTTTTTTTTATTGCTAATTATTTTGTGGAATTATAATTATTTTCTTAAGTTGGAGATGTTAATTGTAGATCTTATGGCTCATTAAGATGCATCTGTAAAAAATCTTAAAAAGATTATTTAGATTCTCTCTCATAATTCACTACCTTAAATGAATCTGACATTATTTCGAATTTAAATAAAACTAAATGTTAAAAATTTTTAAATTTGCCAGACAGTTTAATATAATCATTGTAAATATAAATAATTTTAAAGAACAATATGTTTAATGTTATATTCCTATGTGTATCAATATAATCAAATCTATACTGTATTTAAATTTGTATGTAAAGATTATTTATAAATAAGTATTGATAAATATAATAAAGAATATAGTTATATGAAAATGTCTTGTGTAATTAATGTATTGTTTATTAATAATGTTTCAAAGTCCTAATTCTTTGAAATTTGGATTTGGTCTTGAATATTCGTTAGTTAAGAAATATCTAATATGAATAAGAAAAGCTACTCTGGGAAATATTTTTTAGCTAAACCGTATGAAGCATTCATTCTGACACACAATTAGAAATAATTTCTTGCATCTAAACATTCAGGCACATAAGAATCTTCAAAGAGACCAAATTGATTTTTGCAATGTTAAGCCATTCTATCATATAGGTGACAAGCAAGCAATTAATTTGCCTAATTAATAATTTGATATGAATACTTTATATTCGACAAACTCAAATTTTAGATTATCCAACAATTTAACATGATTTTTGGTCAATGTTTAAAGATTAATCATATTTCTGAACATAAAATCTATTTAATTAAATATAGTGAGTACCTTCCTCTTCCCAAACTTCGTTATAAATTGGCATCTGTATTAATTTAGGATATATTTAATTATGAATTAAAAATATGAGTATTAAAAATTAATTAAACAAATCACATTCATTTTTTTAATTTTTTATTGATGATTTATAGTGTTTTAATGTTATCTTTCAGAAAAATAAGACTTGTTTACCATGATTCCAATATTTCCTCATTATCAAACAATAATTCAATCCTACCTTCATTTTAAGTAATGATTGACATTGGCCAATAAACAATACTACAAAAAATTCTTTCTTCTTGACTTAAAATATATCTATTTTATATTTATTTCTTTATTTGAATACTCTACTAGATTGTCTTAGGAATAATAACTCTCATAATTTAATCTAATTATAGAGAAGAATCAACTTGCTAAATAATATTAAATATTTTACATTAATTCTCATTTAATTTTTAAATTCAATTTTATCAAAGTTTTATGACAAAGCGATAATTCTTGGACAATATCCACAGATATTTGGATTTTAACATGTAAAAGGATCAAATTCCATTTTCGTTAAATTTGGTTTAGTTGATGTAAACCTTTTATAAATTAACACACCCTTTAATAAAGGTTTCGTTATCTTAAGTATTTCTTATTCAATAGGAATCAAGAGATTTGATTTTGTTGAGAGATATTAGGAATCTTTTGAATTATAATAGGTTTATCCATTATTAGCTGAAATATTGCAAAATAATTATTTCTACTAGATATCTTTATTAGCAGTAGAATCAAAGGATTTTGATTTTTTGTGTTTTGAAATTTATTCAGATAAAGAATTTTATTCTTTAAATTTAAAAACTTAAGGTTGTTAACTCTTTTATGTTTGAGGATTGTTTGGTTAATTATTAAAAAACAAAGGCATGTATGGAGATGGAATTGATATTTACTTTTGTGTAACTTCATTGCAATTTGTCATTTATAATTAAGATTAACCTAATTTATTTGAGAAGCGCTTTGTTTATTCAGTTAGTGGAACTCGAGTGCTTTAGGATGAATTATCAATAACTTAAACTTAGTTCAGATTTAAATAATTTTAAAAATTTTAATGAATAGGAGTATTATTTATTTTAGTGGATTATTCCATTTTAGATTTCTCTCTTTTTGAACTTAATTATTCTTCAGTAATAGTTTATAATCTTATAAAATCAATCTATTAAGACTAATTTTCTATTGGTGAATTCTTCTAATTAAAATAGTTGTATTAAACTTATGATTATTATGAATATAATTATGATTATTATAATTATAATTATGATTATTATTATTATTATTATGATTATTATGATTATTGTAAAGGCATATTACAATAATTATTTTTAGACTTTTCAGATTATAGTAAGGTTAAATTTAATTCATTAAAATGTTATAATAATGAATCATCAGCAGATAATTGACAGGCTGATGAACATTTAGAATTAGTTTCACCATCTATACTATTAATTTATAAATATTATTGTAATTGACTAAAATGTAAGGAATCATCCTTATTTAAGTGATTACTTAAAACTTTCTTAGTTTATTTATTTATATTGCTTAATATGTTCGTACCACTTCTAAGTTAAGAATTACTATTATCACTTTTTTGATCATCATTATCAATTTGTGATAAGCAATCAAATCCTGTTAGTATCTCATTGTAAATTTCTTCGGTTTTTTATTTATTTAATATTTCTTATTAATAGAGATCTTTTTTCATAGTAATTTCATTTAATTATTATTCCAATTATTGATTCTCTTACTCCAGATCTTCAACTCTTTTTAATAATTAGAATTTAGATTAATCTTCTTCTAAAAGATTGTTTCTAATATTCTGGACTAACTGTTTTTTTTGGTCCATTGTTTATTTTATTATAACAATATCATCATTTAATTATGTATCAACATAATCAATATTTAATTAAATAGCTTTTTCTAATTTCTCATGATTTCTGAGTATCAAAATTATACCTTATATTTTTTTATTATATTATTGTGAGATCAATTAATTGATTTATTATTCTTGTTCTTTTAAAACTTATTGATATACTTCATTACCATATTAATTCTTGATAACCTCAAATTAATGACCTTATATTTAGAAAATAATACTTTACCCCATTGTTACAAATACATTGTCATAGCAAGTGTTGTTTCTTAATTTATTTTTTCCTTTAATATTTTATGTTATTATTCTCTATCTCGTATTAAATCAGCTATGTTGTTTGATAATTTAAAAGAAGATTATTTTTTTAACTATTAAATTTGTAGATCTAACTATTCTATTTTAGTTGCAAAAGCAAACTCAAAATTACTTTATATTTTATGGAATTCTATTAATTCCTCTAATTCTTCCACTTATCCTATCAATTCGGCTCTTTACAATAACTTCCCATTCAAGTCTTCAATTAACATTGATGCTTGCTCTTATAAATTTTATTAATCCTATATTGCTTATTTATACATCTTGTTTAAACTTCCAATAGTTCTATCAATCTTTTTCGCTGTGTTTGGAATAAAATTGGATTATTAATTTGAATTTTCCTTATTCGTAGTATCATTAAGAAAATCACTTATCCTAGAATTTCTTCTTGAAATATCTCTTGATTTACATTCAACATACAATAATGAAGGCTTTTTGGATTTATTAATAAACATAATACACTATTTTAAATAATAAATTCAAATACAAATTATATACTGTTACTTGTATATTAATATTAAATATAGTATATAATACTCTATAACTTATGCTCATTTCAAATTTACATATACAGTTCTCTCCTTTCCATTTCTTAAAACAACCATTGTGTGACTATCGACATTTTCAGTAACACCTAATAATTTTGTAACATCTTTTCCATGTTAGATTTTAATTCCATCTACAGATTTAATTATTTCTCCTAATTTTAAACCTGCCTTCTCTGCAGGACTGTCCGAATTTATTTTTATGATAAAAGCACCTCCTTAATCAGAAGTTTTCAAAGTCAATCCCAAATAAGGCTTTACTACAGATTTTCCTTTTTCCAATCCTTTAAAATATTCAGATGGAACTACTTAAGTCTGATTTTTGAACTTCCCACTTATTATCCCCAATAATTCTCCATTTTTATTTAAAACAGGACCTAAATATTTATATCATCATTTACTTCCTGGACTAGAATAACACCCATTCAATAAAATAAATGGAAATGTTTAATTTAAGGCCTCCTCTCCTACTAATCCTATATCTAAAGTAAAATTGCTATCTGTTATAGGACATTATTCGAATTCTTTCAAACCTTATTCATCTGTTCCTAAAACATATGCACTTTATCCTATCTAATATTTTGACATATTAAATTCAGATTTCTATTGTTATATTTTTAAGATTGCTAGTCCTTCTTCAATTTTTACTATTTCATAGTTTTATAATTATCCATTTATTTATGCAGTGATTTAAGGTTATTAAGTTTCAAATACTTCAGAACTTGTAACTACAAATCCATTTTTCAGCACTGCTCCCTAACCAATTATTCTCCCATTTAGAAAGAATTTTACAATCTAATTTTATGTCTATTTGTGTAAAATTTAAAATATTTCCTCGTTTTTATTCTTTCTACTTCCCCAATATATTAAAGAGGCTGTTGAAAATAAAGCAATCTTTGTCAAATAATTTTACTTAAAAATTCTAGAAAACATTTAATAAAAATATAAACAGAAAAAATAATAAAAAACCTTTTTTTATTTTTTAAATCAAAAATACTTTCTAGAATTTTTTCACATAAATCTTGGGCTTTGTAAAAAATATATAAATTTGCTAAAGAAAAAAGGATTATCCATTAGTAAAACAATTTTATATCTATATCAAGATAATTTAGATGTATCTAAAAACGATAATTTTGGATAATTTTTACTTTTATAAATTTATACAAACAATTTTAAATGATTATCTAAATAGATTTCTTTTAAAAAATTATAATAAATTAATAAAAATCTAATTTAATACAATAATTCTAATCAGACATTAAATTGGATTAATATTTTCTTGTTTGTACTAAGTATTTTTTAACAAAATATAAATATTTTTATACATAAAAAATCCATTAATTATTGAAACATGATTAATTCAAAATTTATAGATTATCTAAGTATATAAATATGTCTTTATTGTTAACTTTTATTATAAATTTGATAATAATAATTTGATTATTGTTTTTATTAAATTAATTGTTGATAGATGGTGTAATTAATGTTAAATTTAAATATATGAAAATGATAAAAAGAAAATTTGAGGCAAAATTGAGTCGAGATTATGATACATGAGTTGAATTTAGATGAAGATATGATAGAATGAAATAATGGCTATTAATTGTAAAAGAATATTGATTAATAAATCTTAAAGAAAGGAGTAATCTAGATAGAGAGCTTTAAAGATTAGTAGATATTATATAAGTATGAAATGTTGGATTAGGAAAATAAGAAAAAGTTAGATAAAAAAATAGATAAAGAGGTATAAAGATGATAGATAGGGAATGAGTAAGAGAGTGAAAATGAAGAAATGTTATAAGTTTTGTTTTAGATTGTATAGGAATAACTATTGTTAAATAAATTTATTAGATATTAAATATTTTAAAAATGAAGGCTCTTTTTTGTTTAGGAGTAGGAATGTTGATGACCTAATAAGACAACAGTGTTCATGCCTGGTTATACAGAGATGATATTGGTGCCTTTTGGGGTATAAAGGGATATGAAGAGCAAGTGACAGAAGTAGGTACACATAGAGGACATATGTCATGGCCTTAATATAGATTTTTAGGGACATTTGATTCAGGTAGTGTTAGAAGAGGGTATTAATTATAATGATAGTTTAGATTTCTTGTATTTTCTAGAAACTGTGCTAATTGTCATGGTATTGTGTATAAAAAATATGATGTTTTATTGGATAAAGTTTATAAGCAATTAGAGTTGGCTGCATTGGTAAGTAATTTCACAATTCATCCTGCTCATCATCACTTTAAGTAATTCTACTATTAGGAATGGGATGAAAGAGATAGATATATTCATGACAGTAAATATAAGAATAATGATTAGGAATCTATCCACCTTACTTCTCATAAGATTAAGCTAAAAATGCAAATGGAGGTGTATGGCCAACAGACTTTTCTAAAATTAGACTTAGACCTGGAGGCATTAATTATATTTATAATATTTTGACTGGATATCATTACAAGCCTTATTAAGGTTTAGATGTTCCAAAGGGAAAGGCTTATAATCCATATTTTGATCACATGATTATTGGTATGGTTAGATAATTACATGATGGTAAGAGTATCAATTTATTTTAAAGGACTTGTTGATTATGAGGATGGTACTCCTGCATCAACACCATAAATGGCATTCGATGTCACTAATTTCATTTAATTTGTTTAAAGAAGAAGTGGATTCTAAAGACCAGATAAAACTGTTAGATATTATATGTTTTTAACTGGTGTTGCTTTAATATATCCATTTGCTTACTTGAAGACTAGAGGATTTTACAGAAACAATCTCTCTCTTAGGTATTATTTTATTCTCATTATTTAGATGGGAAATGTATGCAGTCAGAGATGGCGTCTATTATAATCACTTCAAAAAAGGATGGAAGAACTCCAGAGCTATACAATTCAGAGGTCAAGTCTGGGCTTGATTTATATTCATTATTCAAAAATAATACAAATATTATTTCTAAGTACTTTTCATACTATCCATCTCTCTTTTATCAAATTCAAATTTATTTTATACATATTATCCCAACATTATAATGCAATCACTTTTTGTTAAATGTCAAAAGTGTCAACAAAGACCTGCAACTATCAAATGTTCATAATGCAGATACGCATAAATATATAGACTATGCTATTCTTGTGATTCATAAATACATAATAGAACTGGGCCAATAGATCAACAACACAAAACTGAAATCATTCCATACTAAGGTATCTGTTAATTCCTCTGTTAGAAATGTACTAAAATAATCAAAGTTTAATTCCTGCTCCATCTCAATCTGAATAAAGAAACTCTCAAAAAAAAAATGATTTCAAAGCTCAACCTCCAACTAAAGATTACTTGACTCATGATACTAAAAAATAAGACTACTCAAAAACAATTGATGTTACCAGAAAACCTGAGTATGTTGAAAAAAAATATGATTATTTGGATAGGAAAATTGATAGCCATGATAAAAGATATGATTAACAATACTAAGGTTTTGATAAAAAACAATACTCCTCCAATTAGAAGCCTCAGGAATTTGAAAAATCTTATTCAGCACTCATTAATTAATTAAAGGAAGAGTAATAATAAACAGAGAGATTAAGAGCAGAATTGAATTTGGTTAAAGATAGAGAAAAAGATTTTTCAAAAAGATTGTATCTCAAAAATTATATGTAATTAGATAAAAATTGGAGTAAGATTATGAGCAAAAACATAAAGATGATAGATAAAAGATTCAATAAGTTTAGGATGATAATAAAAATTTAAATCACAAGCTCAACTAAACAAATAAGTAGCTCAATGAAGAAATTAGTAAAGTTAGACAGTATGAATAGTAAATAAGAGATCTTGAATAAGTTCTCAATGAGAAATAGTAGGAATAAAATGATGTAACATTTATAATTTATTAAAATAAGTAAGATATCTAAGAACTTTATGAAGAATCAAACATGAAAGATCAAATTATTGAATAATTATAATAGTAACTTTAGGATAAGTAATTATAAATTCAAGAAATGGCAGAAGAATAATAAAATAATTTTAGAAACACTCGAAATCAGATATCATCAAACAAAAAACTATCTAAAAGTTAGGATAATGAAAAAGATTAAGTTATTTAAGAATTAAGTTAGTAATTGGAAGAAAAAAATGAGGAAAACCATAAATTAGAAGGTTTTTAAACAATTTAATATTACTTTAGATTTGATTGAGAATTTTAAATAATTATATCAACATATGAATGAGGAAAAATAATAATTGCAAGAGGAAGTTGAAAAATTAGCCAACGAAAATAATTAATTTAGAGAAATTTTTAGTGTAAATAATATTTAAAATTAAGTAAAATTTGCATCTATTCGGGATTGACCCAGAATAATTAAATGAAGAAGGTGAAGATGGAGAAGGAGAATATCCTGAAGAGATTGCAGAAGAAAATGATGATTAAAATGATTGAATTTTTTTATATTCTAGATATAACAACTTATGTATTGAAGTAATTTCTCGATCTACATTTTATCAATTATTTCCTTTTTGGAATTGAAAGTTAAAAATTAATTCCAAATAATAATTATATGAATAAATACACTCTAAGATTTGACAATTCTAAAATGGAAGAACTTTATTTTTAAGATCAATTTGAAGAATTATTTAATTTTTATACTTGGGCATGTTGTTTAGGTACCATAAGTGCAATATGTGTTTTTACTATGGAATTTATTATACCATTTGGATTTGGTGCTTGGAAATACACATTAATAATGATTCCAATAGGCTTTATAACCAGTCATAGATTAATAAAATTGTTACCTAAATATTTCAATCTTGTTATGGCGACAATGAACATGTCATTAGGTGGATTAATTTTCATTTTGCTTTATTTCTTCTCAAACTCCAACATTCTGTTTCTAGCAGGATAAACTGTGGCAATGATTCAATACAGTTTACTATTAGGTTCAAATGTCATTATAAACATTCTAGTTTTGTTAATAAACTAGATAGGATTGATGGTATTAAGTTCAATAATTCAAAATTATTTCAATTCTTTATAATTAATGTTTATATTAGCATTGGTACTAGTACTAAAATCAATTTGGAGTAGTGAAAAAATGAAAAGATCATTTTTTTTACTGAAGCATTAAAACATTCAACTACACAAATAATTAGATAATGTTTTTTAATTGAAAATAATTAGATGTAAATTTGATAAAAAATTAAATCAATTAAAATTAGTAAACTTTAATAAATAAGCAGAAAAAATTATTTAAGATCAAAAATAGTTTCTTTAATTTATAAGAAAATATTCAATTGTTTAAATTAGATCACTCTCATAACCATTCTAAATTTTAACATAAAGTTAACGTTTAAAGTAAAAAGCATAAACCTTAGAATAAATACTTTATAATATGCTTGGAGGAGATTATAGAGAAAAGTCTTCAGAAATTTATTCAGAAATTACTAAGATTGCATATAGAATTTGCATATATAAAATTATAGAGAAAAACTCTGTTCATTTAATTATGTTAATTTAAGAAGATAATGAATATTAAAAGATATTAAAATTAAATAAAGAGGTAAGGAAGAAAAATCGTAACTAAAGATTATTGATGGCTTGCCTGGAAAATGCAAAAAGATCTTTATAATTAGTTAAGTATCTATCATCGGAAATTATTGATAAAAAACAAAAAATCCATCTAAATTCTGTATTAAATATACAAACAATTAAATTAATCTCGAATACATAAAGTCTATTATTTAAATCTATTCATGGATATTATAATGTTCTCATACTCAATAGTATGCATTAAAAATTTCAGGAGACTTGTTAATTTAACATAAAGAGTTTACTAAATGATTTATAATAGTTACAGTGCATTTTTTGTAATGTAAAATAATTACCAATTCATTTTGAAGGAGAGAATATTGAATGTGAATCAAATTATGTATTAACACTTTAACTAATTTTGAATGTACTTTAAGACTCATCTTTTGAGAATCCATATAAGAGCATTTTGATAAAAGTATATATTTTAAGTATATTTTAGACCTAATTATTACAGTATTTATAAACAAAAGTGATTAAGTATAAAATACATCTTTTTATTAATGAAAATATAAACACAGAGAGTTCGAAAAATAGAATTAGTGCAAATTAATTTTAATATCTGAAAAAAGTAAACAAGAAGATTTTAAAAATAATTGGATGGAATAATTAAATCACGATAATTAATGAAAATAATTTTATCTTAATTGAATATAGTCTTATTCATTATCTTAAAGAGTTTAAAGAGGCAATTAAAAACTGATTTATAGTTTGATTTAATTTTGAATTTTAAATTATATATATATTAATAATTATACTTAATATTTAAGCTTTAGTTTTACTATAAGTGTATTTTAGGTAGTATTAGATGAGCTGGATGTATAAATGATATGAAATATTTGTTAATTAGATGATATTTTTTTTAATTCAAATCTAAAACATATATTAATTAAAATAAAATGTCAAGAGCAATTCGCAGATATGTGAATTCAAAAGAGGAAATGGAATATAATAGAGGATTCAGTGCTGAAGAAATGTAGGCAGCTAAATTAAGAAAAGCTTTTGTTTAAAAATATATTGCAGATTTTGATACAAACTTTTATAAGACATAAGAAGAAAGAGATTGGGGATATGTAGTCAGAAGAGAGTACATTTTTTCACTTAGGACCATAGGTATCGATATGATGTAACATATACATCACTTGTTGATGGATGGGCATGTGCTGCTGCAGTGTCTATGGTTAGAATGTTTTAGACAAAGAGATTCTCTTGGGCACCTTATTTTGTTGTATGGCCTATTGCTTATCTCTACTTTTAACCAATTAAATTTTTGAAGCACAATAAAAAATATTTTGATATGTGCAACTTAGGTGATACTTATTATCTTGGAAGAGAAAGAAATAAGGTTTTAGCTGAATGTAATAGAATCTTGGATAGAGAAGATTTCTGATCCTTAACATAATATACAAATATAAAATAATCTGTAGATTATTAATATGATTTATATTATTGGTTTTATTCATTCTTTCTAAAGAAATCTACGAGCTTCTGTTTCTACTAATTTCTACATTGAAATATTTGAATGAATATTTCTTAAGTATTTATTTTTTTGAAGAATTTCTTCTGCTATTTTTTTAGCTACACTTTCCAAATTTGTTTCTTTTTTTTCTAGATTTTTTTAAAGCTAAAATTATTAATTTTTTATTTTACCTATTCTTCTTCTTATATAGTAACATGTTTTTTGATTTGTTTTTGTGCTGGATTGTTATTATTCTATTTTAAAGCTTTCTTTGTTGCTTCCTTTTATGATAATTATGGATTCTCTATTCGTATTTCTTCTATTCTCTTTTTTAAAGCTTCTACTACTGTTTTGACCTACTTTGAGTAGTATTAATACTTCTAAATCATTTATATATTATTCAAAATCTAGGTTCTTAGTAAAATCTAATAATTCATTCAATTCTTAATCATCAATTATTTCATCTCCTAATTCATTTTTATTTGTTTATTGATTTAATTATTCTTATTATATTTCTTCAACTTTTGTTGATTAATTCTGATGTAACGATGTTTATTGAATTTTCGTATCATTCTATTAATTTTAATTGTCACTATTTGATTGATACCTATCAGGATGTAAACGAGATTGAACTTAAGAATAATGTAATGCTGTTTTTTTCTCTTTAGCATGTTTTTGGAAATTTTAAAGCCATTCTTTATGTTGACTCAGTATTGGTTTTATTTCTTGATTTATGAAATAAGCTACATACATTTAATTGGCTAATGAATTTACAGTTGTTTAACTGGATTGTAACCGAGAGGTTCAGCATGTGTTACTCTTGATACAAAAGGTCTATAAATATGTTGAATTTAATTTACTTATGATAATCTAAATTAATAGATGCTTATGGCCTATTACAAAGCATTATCCCTTTATAATGTTCCATCATGTTACAATAATTATTATAATTTATTTTATTAATAACTCTTAAGTTATATACTATTTTCAACAAGTAATGATTTGATCATCTATTATTTAAAAGAAAGGATGCTCTACTTTAAATTCTGATTTACTTTATGATGTAAAATCAGAAATTATCAGATTAATACATATCTAATATCACTTAAAAATATCTAACAATATATTTAAATAATCTTAGTAGATTTGAGAGGATTAAAATTATTACTCATAATGTATTTTTTAATCCCATTAGTATAATAATAAAATTTTATATATATATTTATTATCAAAATTATTAAAATCTATATTCTAAACTGAGAAGTAAAATTATATTTGTAAATTTAAATTATTTATTTGAAAAAATTTAGTTTCAATTAACACATAGTTAAATATAGAAGTTTTTAATATTCCTTTATCTCTTTCTGCAAAATCTTATTATATATTTAATTGAAAAGTTTTTTCTTGTTTAAATAATGAATTGTATAATTGTATAATTTATTTCATTTTGAAATAAAAACAAATATTCATTGATTTTTATTTATAAATTTTAGAAATAATTTAACAGCAATATTATTAAATGATAGCTTATCGTAATGGAATCTATTAAGGATCTTTAGAAAATGGTATAAAAGATGGAATAGGAATATTTTGGTGGCCTTAAGGTGCAATTTATATAGGTGAATGGCATAAGGATATGATTCATGGGGAAGGAATAATAATGATAAATGATAATGTTATAAGGGCTTAGTTTAAGAATAATAAATTTCATGGTTTATGTGTTAATTATACGTATGAATATAAGAATAAATTAAATAGTTAGAGTGAGTTTTATAGATTTGAATATGGGTAATTAAATGGAAAATGTTTGAGAGGATAAACAATTTCAATTTATAGAAGAGGTGAATTGATTGGTATTGAAAATAACATAGATTCGATTGATTTATTACTAGGTAATACTAAATTAAATTAAATAGATGAATATTAAAATAGGTTACTTGATTTAGATGAGATATTAGATAGAAATAAATGTACATCAATAGGTATTACAGAAACTCATCTTGGTAAAATGAAAAGAGGAAAACCATTTGGATTAGGAATTGAAAATATGTTTACTTCAGATAAAAGAATAGGGATTTTTAATGATTAATATATTTCAAATATTGGATAGATATGGAAAAATGGAGATATTTATACAGGTAGTATTTAGGAAAATAAATTTCATGGAATGGGAACTTATTTTATATCTGTATAAATAATAATAATTCTAGGCTGAACTTAAAATGATTCAAGGTATTTTCGATAAAGGAAAATGTGTAGAAATCTTAAAAACCTAATATGGAGATTTAGAAACATATAAATTATTGGCAGAATAAACATTTTAAGCTGTCTAAACGAATACAATTTAATCTAGAGTAACTATTCCTTTTCTTTAATTTTGTTAATTTGAAATTCTTCACACTTAAACTTCAAATAGTATTTCATAAATTCCTACTTAAATGTAAGAAAAAGATTAGACACTTTTAGATGTTGATTTAGATATTCAAAAAGAGTTAGAAAAAATATCTAAGTAAGATTTATTTTAATTAGTGATTAATAAACAATAGAAGCAAAAAAGGCTCTCTATGAAATAGTTAATAAAAATTATACAAAAGAGAAATGTGTGCCTATTTTATAACTCGATTAAATCTAAACATTTCCTAATAACCCAGCTGATCCATATTTTTATGATGAAGATGAAATCGAAAATTTACACACAAGTTACTAAAGTAAATAAATATCAGGACACACATAAAAAACTGAATACTATCATCTTTCAGATTCAAAATAGAATTCAGATCATCAATGTTAAAGATTGCCTCTTTAGATTTTAAAGAATTAGGAAATAAAAAATCTTAACAATGAACCTTAAAAATATATTAAAGTGATGACTATTAGTGCAAGATCTGATCCTTACTCATAAGTTCTAAGTACAACAAGAAGATCTCTTTATAATCAATGATGATATTTTTAATCAAATAATAAATTTTATCAATCCTTTAACTCTAATTCTCTTGTAATTCTTTTTCAATTTATTAATATTCATAATCCAAATCTAAATTTTTTAATTTAAATTCTTCTTCAAAAGTGTCTAAATAGTAAATTAATTGTTATTTCAACTTTTCATTTGCTACCATCATTATTTTACTATAATGTTTAGATCCTAATCTCAATTACTCTTTCTAAATTATCAACTTTATAAGACTTACTTTTTTGTCTTTGATTTTTCATTACAATAAAATGTATTTACTCTTATAATGGTCCTTCAATATTTGCTTTTAAATTTTCTCTAAATTTTTCTATTGCTTAATTACCATACCCATCAACTATCATCAATAAATTAAGTAGAAGATTCAAGTGTTTTCTTCAACTCAACATCTATGTCTCTTAAAAAGTCAAATAATTTTAGTATCTTTTATTCAAATAAATAAATATAAAAATTTTATCAAATATTTCTCACCTTTTTTTCTGTGATTTTAGTTCATTCAAAGTACAATCTTTCTACTTCAAAATATATTGAAAACCATCAACTCTTCATTATTTCATAGATATTAAACCCATTTCTTTTTATCCAAAGAAAATTTAATCTAGCTATCTACCTATACATGAGTTTTAGAATAGATCATTAAAATCTTTAAAACCATCATGATACATAGGATTGGATTTACTTTTAGAAATGAATTTTTAAACCACTGGACATTTAATGGATCCTACTTCTGTTTCAATCCAATATCTAAAATGTAGACCAAATGTATAAGGCACATTCTTGTATCGGCCTTACTTTTTCTTTTTTATTAAAGGACTTTTTTTGTAAATATAATAGGATTTGATGTCAACCTCAGCTTAACTGTGATTGGATAGCTAAAATTCAACTTAATCATACTCACTGTGTTAATATAGATGCTCTTCTTCACTAAAACTATCTCTTTCAGTAATGAACACACTGTTTTCATTTCAATAAATTAAATTAATGTAGAATTTAAATTTATATCATTTTCTAAAAATAGAGGGCATCTATAAAATTTTATTCATGCTGTATGAACTATCCAATACAACAAATCTTAAGAAAAAAAGAACCTAAATTCCTTATTGTAAATAATAAAAATAAATAAAATATTATTGAAATTAAAAAGTGGCAAAAAAAATAAACAGTTATATTTAATCAATTAAATTGATAATATAATAATTTATTTAATATAATAATTGTAGATGTATGACTAATAATATATAGAGCATCGCAAATCGAAATAAGATAATTCTATCGAACTAAAATCTAGACATCTTATTATGATGAATTAAATAAAGAAAAAAGTACATAAAATCTAATTATTTATAAGGAAGAAAATTGGAATAACAGGTTTTATGTTTAAAAATCAATGAATAATTAATAAGTTGATTAATCTAGATCATCAATGAATCAATATTTTGCAAAATTGATTGAAGTTTAAGATTATCACAATATTCCAGAATTTCATAGGTTATGTAACTACGAATATTTTTTTAGACAACTGTTCTAAATGTGTCTTAGAACCCTCCCAAAGATTAAGTAGGCTATTTAATCTGAAATTGAAGAAATATAATTAAAAAAATCACATATTTAGGTAGATTCTCATTAATATTATAAAAGTAATGTATGCAAGCAATTGAAAATAGAGAAAAATGCTTCAGTTTTCTATTAAATCATATTTAATTAATTCAAGATAATCCTTAAGATGAATAATTAATATTTAAAAGTGCAGAATTAATTACTCATTTAAGAATACTCTCTATAAATGTAGTAGAATCAATAATTGGTTGGAGGTAGTACCTCATGAAGTATTTGGTTAATATTCATACTTTAGACAGCATTTCACTACCCTACACTTATTTTAATGAAAATTATTTAATCAAGGTGCTTTAATTATTTATCAATAGATGAAAAAAGATGCATTATGCATTTAAAATTCAGTACTTTCAAAATTTTATTAATTTTCAAATATATCTGACCCATTTTTTGTTTCTATTACTAAACCAACTAAGGATCCTAGTAAAATTGTTTAATTCATATCTAAACCTCTTCTTAATAGAATAAAGAATATTGAAAATCTTATTGAAGAAGAAGTATCCTAAATTGAAAAAGAAGAAAAGTTATTATTTAAATAAATGAGCTAAAAAGATTAAGCTAAGATGAATCCTAGGAAAAATTTATAAATTAATCGTCTAAGGCCAACTAAAAGACCTGAGTTCAGTTAAAATCAAAATGTATAATTTAAATCAATAATTTTAGAGAGGTATTATCAAATAACTTGATCCAACTGATTTTAAAAATTTTAACTCAGGTTCTTATCCTTAAATTATTCCATAAAAATAATCTAATAAATAAAAAATGGATAATCCTGAAAAATAGGATTTAATAAAAATTTAAAACGATAAGAGTTAAAATAATTAAACAAAATAAAAATAACTATAAATTTAATCTAATTAATAAACTGAAGATAAATAACAAAATCATTGCTAGATTAATCCTCCTGCTTTTTCAAATTAAGTTATTTCTTAAAATGATCATTAAATTTAAATATAAAAATGCTATTTAAGCGATAAGATGGTAGAAAATTATTTAAAAAATATCAATGATGATTTTAAAAAATCATGGAGAGGAGAGATTAAATAAATGTTGTTGTAATATGAATAATAAGAGGAAAGCTTTTGTTTAGGAATATATGAAAATAATTAATTGTTAGGATTAGGATAATGTTTTTTAGAACAATCTTTGTAAGAAAGGAAATTAATGTTAAGTCATTTTTCAACTGCAGATCCCTCAAAATTTTAAGATCATCTAAAAATGATATTATAATTTATTTGGAATATAGATTCTTGTTAAGAAATCCGAATGCCCTTATACCATTATAATTATAATGGTTCTTTTTAAGTGAATAAAGAAATTACTTCAAAATTAAAAGAATTGAATTTTCAGTGGAAGGTTGTTTAGAGTGTTAATTCTGAAACAAGATTTACAATAATGGGTATTTTAGACGTTTATTTTAGCAATCAGACGGCCTTAAGAATCTAAAATTTCTGAATAAAATGTACCAATATTTCTTTAACATCTTTTCTTTACAATAGGAATAAAAAATTAAATATAAAATGAAAACTAGTTTTTTTCACTTAGTTGTTTGACAAATTTAAATACATTGGTTGATTTTTAAGATGATTATATTAATTAAGTTAAAGACATTCTTGTTCAATCAGTATAAAAATTTAAATTATAACTTAGGCATATTAATTTAAGGGAATTAAATTATAGGAATAAGATAAATAAATTTTTCATAGTTATATCTAAGAATCTTTTGAAAATTTGAATGAAATTAATCCTTATAATAATGATATAGAACAATTACCAGAAAAAGTTATTAGTAGTTTTAGCAAAGAATTTTACAGATGGCCAAAATTTAAATTAAGCCATAATAATAAAATGATATATAATTGTTTTCGACCAGAAAAAAATATTGAAAATACTGTTGTTTTCATGTCAGAATCTGAAGAAATTAAAATTTTTTTGATAGCTGCTGACTAAAGCAATACCACTATATTTATTTTTGAATGTATATAATTAACTTATATTACAAAGATGAAGGTGAATTGAATTTTGAAAGAGTATAATAAATTTTAATGTAATGTAGAACATCCATTCCTATTGATTAAAATCTGAATATTCCTCAATTTACTTTGAATTGCAAATTCTAAGTATAAGAAAGCATTTTGGGAATTGGAAGATTTAGTACAGCATATAGACCAAAAATGATGGATATTGAAAATGTAGAGGGTTTAATAATTAAACCCCCATTTGTATTCGGTAATTTATATAAATGATATAAATAGGAATCATAAATGAGGATTTTAATGAACTTACTAATATGCCTAACTTATTTTTTAGGGTAGAAGAATAACATTGTCTATAATTTTGATGAATAATAATATAATATATTCATTTTGATTAGAATTAATATAAATTACTAGTATAGATAAAAAAATCATTCTAATTCAGATTTGAAAATCTTATTCAATCTTATATTTCTTTTCATATTATTTTTTCTCTTTCCTAAACAATCAGCTCCATCATTTTCTTCTTAATGAACACTCATAAATTCATTGAAATGTTATTTAAGTGGTTTTTTTAATATTTTTTCCATGTCTCTCATAGTGTGTAAGCAATCTTTATTTTCCATTCTAAAAAATGTTTAAACAGCTTTAGTGTTTGCTTGAAATTCTCTAAGTTAATCAATACTTTTATGAAAATAACTAACTTATGGTTAAGGCTAGATTATTTTATTAGGTTATTCTTCTTTTTCATTTTCTTATGGAGAATTTAAAATAGTTTTTGATGTTGATATAATTTGATGATCACTTTTTCTTTTTGGAGCAATATTTCTTTAGGTGTAATTTTATTATTATTAAGATGATAAGAATTCTTCAGACTTTTGTTTGAGCAATTTACTTGGAGTTAGTTAAGGAGTGTTTAGAGTAGTAGAAGAAACATTATTACTTGTTTGATGATTGCTGTCTAATTTCTCTATTTTTTTTAAATATTGATTTGTATGATATTATTAAGGGTTTAATATTTCTGGTGATATGGATGCTGATTTTGGACTAGAAATATGAATTTATTTAAGTTATTTAAGCTTTGTTGATTTAATTAACTTATTTGCTTATTAAGCGTAAAATTTGGAATATTCTTGATGTGGTACTTTTTCTTTTTTTTCAATTTGAATTCCCTTGTGAAGAAGATATTTTTTTAAGAGTTCAAACTTTTCATTTACTGATAATTCGCAATTTTATTATTAATCTCTTTTTTAGTTGAAACTTCTGAGAGTTTCTTTATAGAAATCTGAGGAATCATTATTTACATCCTATATAAAATTAAGACTATTGATTTAATCGAGAACTTAATTTTTTTATTGTTTTCTAAGGTTACGTTTATTGATGGTTTCTAAAATTCTATGCAAATTGTGATGTGTTTCAAGTGTCATAGAAGATTCTTGTACCATGGTTGCAATTTCATTAGGTGAGAAATCAAGTTAAAGAATATCAATGATTAGGTTTTATTTTTCTTCATCATTTTCTATATTATTAAGCATATCAATTTCTAATTCCAATTATTTAGAAATTGCAATAATATGATTTTTTTCATCATCATCTTTTTTAAAGAATTATTTTAGTTTTGCTTATTATTTTAAATGTTGAATAATGATTTGAACTTATTTAAATTAAAGTGGATTGAGTAATTTAAGTCTTTGAGTTAAATCAACAAATGTTTTGATTTTTTGCATTGATTTCATAGTATGTTCAAATCTTTTTTGACGATTACCTAATCTAATATAAATGAATAGTGATTACAAACTCTTAGCAGCTTATTGATTAGACTGAAAGAGCATTAATAAGTTTTAATTAGTATTTATAATATTTGTAAATAGTAAAGCAGTTATCAATAAATAAAGAAAGATTATAATGATATATAACAATTGATAAAATATGATATATGAAAACATCAAATTTGATATGGATTAATCTACTAAAGAATTTGTGGATTAAATGGTTAGAATTGCCATTATGATGGATAATGAGATGGTTGATGTTAATGTTAATTTTGATGCTAATGTTAATTTTGATGCTAAAGGAATGTAGGTTAAATATGTCTATTTCCTGTATTATTCCATCTTCGATAAGGATTGTAATTATTTCCTTTATTATTCTAATCAACAAGACTCCTTAAATCATAAGGAACATCGTTTTATGATTCTTTGAGAATATCAACAAGATCTTTAGCCATTCTTGCATCTTCATCTGAAGCAAAAAAAGATATAGATTAACCTATAGCACCAGCACGACCTATATATATATAAATTGAAATGAATACCAGTACGACCTATTCTATGGACATAATCTTCAATGACTTTAGGCATATCATAATTGACGACTATCTCAATATCTTTAATATCTAATCCTCTTGATGCTACATCTGTTGCTATTAAAGCAGTGGATCTTCCATTTCTAAAATGACTCATTACGTAATCTCTCTCCTATAAAATTTACATTAAAACTTTACGCTTTATTTCTTATCTCCATGTAATGCTAGACATCGGATACCTTCTCGGTCCAGAGTCTTTTAAAGTTAGTCACATCCTTTCTTGGTGGAACAAAATATTAATATTTTTTTATGTGCGATCTCTTTCAACAAATAAAGCAACCTTAATATATATTTGAAAAAACAAAGATATTGATGATCTTGTATATATATTTTGAACCATCAATAGTTTGATTATACCTTTAATTTTTCTCAATTGCTTTCATCACGTATACTACTTGTTTAATCATTTTGTTCGATGTTAATTCTACATTTCCTATTTAGATATGAACTGGTTCTTATTTACAAAAGTCTAGTGCTAACTTTTGTACCTCCTTTGGCCAAGTTGCAGAAAAAAGCATAGTTTATCTTTATGGACGTATTTAATCAACAATTTTTCTAATCTATGGTTCAAAACCCATATCAAGCATTCGATCAGCTTCATCGAGTATTAGAAAACTAACCTATTTGAGGGTGGTACAACCCTAATCCAATAGATCAATCAAACGACCTGGACAAGCAATCAAAACTTAAGGGCCTTTACGCAATTGACTTTTCTATATGTAGCGATCTTATCCTCCATATAGACATGCAGCATAAAGTTAAGATCCCACTGAAAACTTTTAAAATTGATCATATATTTGTAATGTCAATTCTCTTGTAGGAGCCAATATCAAACATTTTGGATCATGGGATCTAACTTATGCTAAAATGTGGACAATCGCTGGTAAAAGAAAGGCAAGTGTTTTGCCAGAACCTGTCTGCGCTATTCCAATTAGGTCATGTCCTGTTAATGCAATCGACCATCCTTGGGCTTATATGGCAGTAGGTCCTTTGAAACCGGCCTTCAACAGCAAGTCCATCAATATCTGTGGGAAACATTAAACATCCTCAAATCTCATGATAGGATCTGGGACATTTACATGTTAAGAACGAATAAAGATATTATGTTAGGCCCTATATTCTTTGATTGTCTCTGCGCTTGATGTGGATTAAATGGGCTAACAATACTAATTTATTTATACATTCATAAACACCTTCTTTATTGGACTCGATGAACGTGGCCGAGGAGATCTTGAACGACGACTACTATGATTCACTCTTCTTCTTCTTTAATGGTGGCGCTCTGACGATGAATCTGAAGAAGAAGAAGAAGAACTTGAGTGTCTCCTGTGTTTCTTACTATGCTTCTCTATACAAATTCAATCATTTAAATTTACTTCTGTGGCTTCTACTTGAGCTAGAAGAATGTCTGGGCATTATTTAATAATTTAAATTCTATAATATCATCCAATTATTAACGCTTCAAAAATACTGAATATTTTAACACTCCTCAAGACCATTATTTAATCAAAGTCATTATTTAAAATTATTATATATATATAATACAATTATTAGAATATCATTACTAATAAAAATTTTTATTCAACCAAAATATTTATAATTTAAATATAATTATTATTGAAAAATTAGAAATATAATAATTAGATTACTAAGTTTATCAATGTTTGAATTAATTTAGAGTAGCTCTTATACTTTCTTATTTCTGACTTAGTAAAATATCCTTAAATTCATCATGGTGCTTTAAATTATAAGAAATAGCACTTCCTTATTCTTTCAATCCACTTATATGATCTTCTAGATTCTAAGAAACATCTTATCCTATTTAATCAGACTGGATTTTCCAATTATTATTGATTCCAAAAAATATTAGATCAATAATAAGAGCCAATACTAAAATTACTAATAACAAAGTAAGTGGAATTACAGTGCTTAGTCTGTATATTAATTTATTAGATGCATCATTCCAATCCGATGATATCCCCATACCATTTTAAGTGTAAATGAATGGATATCCATATATCAAGACACTAAAGATTAAATGTAACACAAGGAAAAAGTGAATAAATTTCAAAGTGATAATTCCAACTGATTTTAGTTATTCCTATAATTTTTTCTATTGTTTCTCGTTATAAGAATGATATCGCAATAACATACTTTTATCATAAATATACAACAATCCTATCTGTAAGGCTCCTAATAAAGGTAATAGAGGCAGTCCTGCTGATAAAGTAATTGATAAGAAGATACTAAACAATAATTTGGCATATCTAAGTCCAGTTTTAAAAGTTGGATTACTGTTGATTAAGGGAGAGTCACGTCTAAATGATTTTCCTGTTTTCACATCTAAATTTTATCTTGATTGAATATTGTAGTTTACACTCTCATCTAAATTTAATAGAAAAAGAGTTTAATGAGATTAATTATTATTATTATTATTAGATGTAGTTTTTAATTAACCAGTTAACCTTTATCTTTCTTCGTCACCTTCATCTGTCAATAAAGAACCTATTAATTATAATTCCTCTTAATCTCTTATTCCACCTGTTATGCAATGACATCTTGATGAAGAACTCAAAATTATCAATTTAAGAGTGTAAAATATAGATACCCATAAAAATATTAAACCATGATTTATAATCCATTTTCTATCTAAATCATCACTAAAAATTAATGACTTCTCTGTTGAAGTATAACTTTAAATGACTAATACTATGTTTCCTATAGTTTCCCAGGAGATTAAGATTGGTACAAGCAAGGTGTAACATAGCAAATAGACGATTATTCTAATTAATATCACTTTTTATTCTTAAACTAAATAGATTTGCCTTTCTCTATTAATTATTAATTCTAGAAAGACCCATCCTAGTACATCTGCAATCAATATCCAAAAACCTGTTATTAGATAATAAACAGTTCTAGTAAAATCATTATCTAAACAATTCTCAGTGCATTTAATTGTATTGTTCCTTGCATTCTTCAAAGCCATATTTTCAAATACTATTAATGGTGCTAATAATATTAGAGCCATAACTAGATGCATTAGAATAATTTGAAAATTATTTCTTTCTTAATAATCCATATTTTCCCATTTAATTTCATTGGGATCAGGGGCTTCCGTCACTCTTATGGTATATAATCCTCTCAACTTCAATTCTTATGGTTAATTTTAGAATAAATAGATTCCATTTCTAACTAAACAATCCGAATTATATTTCTCATAAAAAAGATCACGATCTACTTTGCTCTTAAATACTATAAAAGCTTTAATTGATTCTAAATCATCTGGAGCTAAAAAGATATTAAATTTCTCTGCTAATTCTTTGGTGATATCCTTTTATTCATCAGACAACACTCTGATGAAGTCTTATCTTACATACATATCTGCTTATGATAATCTCTTAGAAAATACTTCTAACTTTTTCTTTTCTAATCTNTAAATATAATTATTATTGAAAAATTAGAAATATAATAATTAGATTACTAAGTTTATCAATGTTTGAATTAATTTAGAGTAGCTCTTATACTTTCTTATTTCTGACTTAGTAAAATATCCTTAAATTCATCATGGTGCTTTAAATTATAAGAAATAGCACTTCCTTATTCTTTCAATCCACTTATATGATCTTCTAGATTCTAAGAAACATCTTATCCTATTTAATCAGACTGGATTTTCCAATTATTATTGATTCCAAAAAATATTAGATCAATAATAAGAGCCAATACTAAAATTACTAATAACAAAGTAAGTGGAATTACAGTGCTTAGTCTGTATATTAATTTATTAGATGCATCATTCCAATCCGATGATATCCCCATACCATTTTAAGTGTAAATGAATGGATATCCATATATCAAGACACTAAAGATTAAATGTAACACAAGGAAAAAGTGAATAAATTTCAAAGTGATAATTCCAACTGATTTTAGTTATTCCTATAATTTTTTCTATTGTTTCTCGTTATAAGAATGATATCGCAATAACATACTTTTATCATAAATATACAACAATCCTATCTGTAAGGCTCCTAATAAAGGTAATAGAGGCAGTCCTGCTGATAAAGTAATTGATAAGAAGATACTAAACAATAATTTGGCATATCTAAGTCCAGTTTTAAAAGTTGGATTACTGTTGATTAAGGGAGAGTCACGTCTAAATGATTTTCCTGTTTTCACATCTAAATTTTATCTTGATTGAATATTGTAGTTTACACTCTCATCTAAATTTAATAGAAAAAGAGTTTAATGAGATTAATTATTATTATTATTATTAGATGTAGTTTTTAATTAACCAGTTAACCTTTATCTTTCTTCGTCACCTTCATCTGTCAATAAAGAACCTATTAATTATAATTCCTCTTAATCTCTTATTCCACCTGTTATGCAATGACATCTTGATGAAGAACTCAAAATTATCAATTTAAGAGTGTAAAATATAGATACCCATAAAAATATTAAACCATGATTTATAATCCATTTTCTATCTAAATCATCACTAAAAATTAATGACTTCTCTGTTGAAGTATAACTTTAAATGACTAATACTATGTTTCCTATAGTTTCCCAGGAGATTAAGATTGGTACAAGCAAGGTGTAACATAGCAAATAGACGATTATTCTAATTAATATCACTTTTTATTCTTAAACTAAATAGATTTGCCTTTCTCTATTAATTATTAATTCTAGAAAGACCCATCCTAGTACATCTGCAATCAATATCCAAAAACCTGTTATTAGATAATAAACAGTTCTAGTAAAATCATTATCTAAACAATTCTCAGTGCATTTAATTGTATTGTTCCTTGCATTCTTCAAAGCCATATTTTCAAATACTATTAATGGTGCTAATAATATTAGAGCCATAACTAGATGCATTAGAATAATTTGAAAATTATTTCTTTCTTAATAATCCATATTTTCCCATTTAATTTCATTGGGATCAGGGGCTTCCGTCACTCTTATGGTATATAATCCTCTCAACTTCAATTCTTATGGTTAATTTTAGAATAAATAGATTCCATTTCTAACTAAACAATCCGAATTATATTTCTCATAAAAAAGATCACGATCTACTTTGCTCTTAAATACTATAAAAGCTTTAATTGATTCTAAATCATCTGGAGCTAAAAAGATATTAAATTTCTCTGCTAATTCTTTGGTGATATCCTTTTATTCATCAGACAACACTCTGATGAAGTCTTATCTTACATACATATCTGCTTATGATAATCTCTTAGAAAATACTTCTAACTTTTTCTTTTCTAATCTGATCTATCTTTCTTTGAATGCCTTATTCTTCATGATGCTAAGAGTACCCTAAAAGTTGCGCACTAAGTAAATTTCATGTGTATTTGATTAGACAATTGATCGAAGATCTTCTGGATCAATAGTGGCTGATGGAAATCCAGATAGTTCAACACTCCAAGGTGAAATACTTGATACTTTAAATTAGGAATCCTTATTAATAGCTTTATATCGTAAATAGAGCAATGATAAAAAGTAGAGAAGAGTTCCAATAGCATCTCCCAAAACTCCGGTAAGAAAAGCTGTTTCATTTGAAATGTCTATATTTGCAACTGTTAATATTTCTAATTGTAATTAGAATTGATCGAATATGCTATTTCCTGTAATGCAGAATATCAATTGTGGTATGTGTAGAAGACCAAAAATGAGCATTAGGAAGAAGTTCCATTTGAGAATTCTGAAGTAGTAAACAATAGAGTGATCAAAGCAATTGTCAATTGATGCAAATATGGACTCAGGTGGTTATTCCATTATATTAGTAATAAATATAAATTAATTAAACCTTTTAATGTTGAAAAAAAGATCATAATTATAACAACTGGATCTAGCTGCTCCTAAAAAGCAGACTGCTCCTTACAAGCAATTCTTATAAGAACAATTAGCAATATAACATCTCAAATATCCTCAAAGATCCACAGATGAATTAACTAAATTGATAAATCTTATGTGGAAGGTGAGAGAAAAAAAGAATAATCAATTGTATTTTTAGCACAATGGATACGTGAACATCAGTGAGACAGAAAGGGTGCCTGTTCCTCAGCCCCCTCCTCCGGTGTTGATAATGTTTAAAAATTATATAATGTGAAAAAGCTTCCAATAAAATATGAAACAACTCCTCTAGTTGACACATCCAGAGTATAATGTAGAATAGGTGGATCATACCATTAAATTCGAATGGACTTTAAATTCCACCCAAAGATAGAAAGCAGCTGAGGAATTCAGATAGTTGAGATAAGTTTAAATTAGTATAACAATATGATTAGGAATTCGAGAAGGAAAAGAAAGAATTTATTAATAGGTATGGTTTCTGGCCTTAACATTAAAAATCTTCAGGTGAGTTATTTGATAAGACCAAATAATCTAGCCCAAAAATAGATCCCCTGGCTTTAAATCTAATGAAAAAAGTCAAGCTTGAATGAAATTAATGAAATTGAGATAAAAAAATACAAAACAAAACAAAACATACTTAGTAAAAAATTTAGAAAAAAAAAAATACAGAACTTTCATCAGTTCTCCTTCTCCCATATCTAGATATTTGGAATCACTTCATCTAAAAAAAAACTTAAATTTTTTCTTTTCACCATAAAAAGAGCGGGAAAATTAAAACTATTAAGATACTATCTTATCTATTTATTCTTACAAATTGGATGACGATATTTATGTGTGTTTACTGTTTTTCACATTACTTTAACCTCTTTTCATTTTATTTGTTGTTTTATATATCATCTATGCATAAACTATTTTATTTTATTATATTTAGGATCCTCACCATTGGAAGAATTCCCAAACCTCCATAACCATACCAACCAATCCATCCACCATAATTATGTACATTAACCACCCAATTACCATCTTAAAACCTTCAATAAATGCATAATATCATTCCAATTACGTACATTTTTATTTTTAGAATAATGTAATCAACGCATTGAATGTCAACTTTTCAACCATTTAACTAAATCCAAAATCACAAAAGATCTCTAAATTAAACACTTCATTTCAATAAGTAGATTAAACTACTAATTCAAAGTTTAACCTCATGTCCAAAACGAATCCGATTTGAGTCTTAAATATTCTAATTTAGCTTCTTTGTTTGATATTTCTATAAAATCATATCCAAATTTTTGATTCTCTCCTTCTTTATTATTAGATTTTTGAAATTAATCTTGCAGGATTAAAAATATAACCACTTAATTAACCACAAGAAATTTCATAAAATCTATTTTTTGTTATTTCACAACTATAATTAGGTTACCTTTTGAATTGTATTTTAAAACACTGTCATCAATATAATTAATTTACTCATCATCCAAAAATTCAATCATATGGTTCTCAATTATTTATTAGACATTTCTACCAATGATCTTTAACTTCATCGTAGGTGTTTGATTTTTATTTTCTGGATCCAAACTAAGAATAAACTTTTTCAAATTTTATTAATTGTATTAAATTAATAGGATTTTAAATAAGCATAAGCTTATTGAGAAAATATTTTCTGTTCACTAATATTATAATCTTTTTCTTCTAATCATGATTCAAAATAAGATACAATAAGGTCCAGAATAATAATAACTTCTAACAACTAATAATTTAACGATATACTTTAAATATTTGTTCAGGTTTATCATAAAAAAAGAATTCGATATTTATACTTTCATCCTTAAATTTTATTGATAAAAGTAAATTCTGAAAAAGAGACGATTTTCTCATCTAAATAGTAATTTTGATAAATTATCTTATTGATATTTTTTAATTCTATTCATAGGTGAGATTAAAAAGTTCTTTAAGAACTCCAGGTAGGAGGATGCCTTAATAATTAAGATCATTAAATTATAAATGATTTATATCTTTACTAAAATTTCTAAAGACTTGAAGAATAGTATCTAATGGCATCAATTGATAATAATATTTATAGTCTAATAATCTAGATCTACTATTATAAATGTATATGATTTAAACTAAATATTTAATTGGATATTAATTTTGATAATCCAAATGAGGTAATGTAATAAGAGTATTTTTCTTGCATTTTACATAAGTATAAGATGTCTTAATTTTTAATAATTGGTCATTGCGAAATTTTGATTATTCACTTGAGATAAATAAATAAATTCAGATTCGAAAAGTATATGGTTTGATGATTTTCCTATAAAATCTTATCTTATGTAATTTTATTATCCTTAATTTTAGAACTGGGTGTACATAATAATTAAATAAATGTTCGTTAGAGCGCAAGTTCCAAAAAGTCGAACTTCATTAACTCCACAGAATTTCAAACCAATTTGTATAGAATCGAGGGGAGATTGTACCCCAACAAGAAGCAATAACATTAGTTACTATGAACACAGTATTCTTATTTAAGAACCATCTCAATAATCCTTATAAAATTATACTGGAAGAGTTGAGGAGAAGCTACAAAAGAAAGTAATCAATTCTAGTGGTTCTAATTTGAGAAGCAGGTATGTTTCAGATAAGGAAAATTTGGTGAGGATTCCAGGACAATCCTTTGGAGGAAATCAACCATCTAATAAAGAATTATAGAATGCAATAAATAATCTAAAAAAGTAAAAGGAAGACATATGTTAAACTCTTTCTGAGACACTAAAAAAAAACAATCAAATTCAAGAGTAAATTTAAGTAATGAATTGAAAGTAATTTAGATTGTCAACAAGGAAATGGAACAATAATCTTTTAATTATTAATAAAATTTAGATGAATTTATGAATGAATTTAATGAACTCACTCATAAAATATAATAGTTAGAAGAACAAAATACTAAATTGTTTGAATAAAATGAGCGTCAAAAATGGTACTTGTAATAGATATAATGTTAATCATCAAGGTAATTTTTATTCAATATTGTATAAGATTTAACTAAACACACAATTTTGGAACAGGTTGATTTGTAATATAATCTAAAAAATTTATATTAATTTTATTAAATTTAAATGGCGAGTTTCACATCTAGAACAGGTTAGAAAGTAAGAAAATCTTCATTTTTAGATTAAAGAATGGTGGGGAGCAAAAGTTACAGTTGATCCTTAGTTAGAAACAAAAAAATAAAAGATTAATGAGATTGATCAATATATTAAGGGATTGTCATAATCTTTTAGTAATATTTCAGCGTTATTTTAATGTATATTAAATAATTTGATTTAGAAATGCATGGCCATATGGGACGTATAAGTTCAATTACTTAAAAATTATTTGAGAAGGAAACTGATACTAATAAGAGAATAGGAATTGAAGTAACATCCATGTTTGGAAACCTTTCAGAATTGTTTCGCTCAAAAGTATGTGTTAATGAAATAGTTAGACTGAACCGACATCCGAATTAAATAAAAATTATGGTGAATGGTTTTAAACAATAGAAACTTTAAAGATTTAGCTCACGAACTTCTCTGAAATCAGATTGATTTATGATCATTATAAGCTGAAGATTGATGAATTAGAAAAGGATAGATCTAATGCACTTTCAAAAGGATAACCTGAAGATTTTAAATTGTCAGAAAAAATTAGGAGAGTATCATTTTAAATATTTTTAGAATCAAAGCAAATTGTCAAGTTCTGAATCAAATTATAAATAGAAGTTATCTGAAATTTTAAATAACATGAATAAATTACTTGGAAACTACTATAAAATGATAAATTAGAGTCTTGATTCTGTATGATAATACTTTATCTTTAGTTTATAACTATCAATTACGATTTATATATGAATGCCAAATCAATTGTGAAAAAAAATTAAAAAGCATTTCATAAATTTAAATATCCAGAATTGGAACCTATAATAGATCTATTAAGAGAATAAAAAGAAATGACAACTTTATTAGAAAGAGAACAATAAAAAGAAAAAGAACAAAAAGAAAAAGAACAGAAAGAAAAAGAACAAAAAGAAATAGAATTAAAAGAAAAAGAATTAAAAGAGTAAAAGGATAAAGAAAAAGATGGAAAATTTTAATCTTAAGGGCCTTCTTAATAGACTCCTTAGTGGGAAAATAATAAAAAATTTAATCCTTTTGATCAATCTTAATAAGTAAGTCAATCTATGGTTAATAATCCTTAATTACTAAATTAATCCATGGTCAATAATCCTTAATTAGTAAATTAGATGAATCCTTGGACTGAATTCGGAGGTTTTGGAGTAAATTTAGCATCTTCATAATCATAAATTAATCCATAGATGACTTAAAGATCATCATTATAACAATAGGGTATTAATAACAATTTAATGAATAACTTTTAATTAAACTAAAATAGAATAGGAATGTTTGATGATGTTGGATAATAAATGATGAGCGACTTTAGAAACAGTTAAGTTAATAATTGGCAATAATAATATTTTGCGTAAAGCTAAATTATTAATCAAAATAATTTTAATAGCAATAATCCTTTTATGAGTTCACAGCAAGTGGGTCATAGATCTAACATATAATAAAATTAAGGATTTTAATAATTTGATTAATAAATTAATAGAATTCAATAGCCAAATCCTTTTTTAGATTTGGATAGTGAAACTTAAAAAAGAGCAATGTATGATAATCCATATACATATAATCAATAATTTTAAGATAATAAAAAGACTAATCCATTTGAATGATTAATGTTATATATATTAGAAATATATTAATTGTTAAATTTGAATCAATAATGAAATAAAAGTTATTAACAACTAAAAAGTCGGATATAGATTTAGGAAATTAAGATTAATTAAACCATATAATTGAAATTCTGTAAAAAGAATAAGGTATAAGGACAAATCAAGAAGTTGACATGACAAGGAAAGCATTTATTTAATTCAAGTTTTTTTAAGATTTAGAACAATAGATGGGTTCAGAGATGGTGAGTAATTTATATAGACAATTATCTCATGAGATGATAAAAGCGAGATAAGTTGTTTTTAATTTAGGTGATATTGGTAAGAAGTTTTATATAATACTTTCTGGAAGTGTTTGGGTTCTTATACAGAGGAAGGGACTGTAGGATGGAAATTAGTTAGGAGAAGAAGAGAAAAAGAGAGAAGAAACATTAAGAAGGCAGAATACAAGAAAGGCGACATTAAAACATTAATAAAGTATGATGAAATCTAAGAGATTCAAAAAGCAAACAACTTTTTTTACTGAAACGAACTAAGTACTTTTGGATGAAGTTTACGCAAAAATGACAGATGCAGAATTTCTTGAATGTCAATATCCTACACTCTAAAAGGTAGGTTAAATGAAAGCAGGTGATAGTTTTGGAGAAATAGCATTAACTAAATAAGTTCCAAGAACAGCCACTATTGTTGCAGCAGAAGATACAAATTTTGCAACTGTATCTAGAGAACAATTCAATAAATTATTATCATCCTATTATGAATACATTCAGTAACAAAATGTTGCATTTTTATAAAAAGTACCAGCTTTTGCAGAATGGAATGAATAAATGTTAAATTAAATTTATTATCATTTTACTTTTGAAGATTATAAAATGTTTGATGTGATTTATAAGGAAAATTAGCCTTCAAAGTATTATTATTAAATATGGTAATTAGCAAAATATACATTGTTAAAAATGGAGAAATTGAAATATCATAAAATATAGAGGTTGGCACTTTGATAACTGAAAATAATTTAACAGTTTAAAGATTCTTTAAAAAAAATGATAAAAAGTATGAAAGAGTGAGAACTGGAATAATAACATCAGGATTGGTTTTTGGTCATGAAGAAGTTATTAAGGATGTGGTAAGAGAACATAGAGCTATTTGTTTGAGTTAAAAAGCAGAAGTATTTTCATTGGATAAGGATAGATTTTTATAATATTTTAAAAAAGGAGGAGCTATATAAAAATTAATAAAACTTGATTAAACTAATTTTTCTCGTAAATCAAAAAGTGTTTCATTGATAAAGGAACTTAAATCATTCTCTCCACCAATACCATATAGAGATATTCCATTTTTGGAAGAAGATGATAAAATATCTGATTTTGTAATTAAGAAAGCAAAGAATGCAGTAGATCGTGTAGGAAATGAACCAAAACGTAGTGGATATGAATTTTTATAAGGCAAAGGTCATATAAATAAAGCACATTACAATTTTCAAAAGAATTTAGAAACATTAAAGAGGAATCTAAAATTCAGTGAACCTTTAAATATAAATACAGGTTTATTTGATTTAGATACTAATAAAGGAACAGCAATAAGTATAATGAATAAAGTATAACTTATAATTGTAAATAAGGTGTTTCCAAGTGCGAGTCGTCCAAAATACGAAATACCAAATTACTCAATGAGTCCAAGGACTGTAATAAAATCTTTAAAATTGCCTAAATTACTTAACGAAGTTGATGTATTGCTCTTTTCTAATAAAGAATCAATGATCTCAAACTCAACAACCTATAAATAATAAGCAGTAATAAAAGATGATGAGTGATTTCATAGATAAATATGTTGAAAATTTCAATTTTTTTTAATTAATTTTCTAGTTTAATATTGATGATTGTGAACTACATTTTCATCATTATGTTTAGTTGAACCATCTACACTAATGATAAATATGGATGAGATACCTATTTATTTTTTGATAGGTTAATCTATTTTCTTTAATTCTTCATAATCTTGCTTTCTATAATTGGTCTTGCAAATTTCTACTTCCTATTTAATAATAAGAATGTATTGATACTTCAAATCTATTTATTTTTTAAATTAAATCTCCTTTCTCTTAGAGAAGCTCTTTAAGTTATTGAGTTAACACAACATTAGCAATATAGAGTCTCATGTATTCATGCTGATAATTTATTCCTCTTTTCTATTCAAAAGACACCACAACCTCATCCTCAATATGTTCTCCCATTGTTGGAGTATATAATAAGCCTTTTCTAATAGAATCACTATCTAATAAGGTAAGAGTTGTACCAATTATCAAGCATTTGAATTCAAATTTATTATTATTAATGATAATGCATTCATATACCTAGTTTTTTAATTACATTATATTTTAATAATATTGTTAATGATTAAATTCAGACAAATCTTTTTGATTATTCTTGCAATTATAATTCCTGTAGTTCGAGGTTAAATGGAAGACATCAGTTTTGGAGAGAAGCACATATACATTAATACTTTCTAGTAATATATTGAAAAGGTATTCTGTTTTACTATGAAGATGATTTTTGGATCCATCGGAGGAATCATGCAATATTTGATTTGTTGTACAATTGTTGAGTATTACAATCCTATGCCAAAGAATAAATTACGTCTTTAAAATATTTTTAGAGAAATACGATATGGAATTGTGTAGCTAATATTTGGATGTTTTGTATCAATGGTATATATAGAAATTATTACATAAAAGTCCTTTTACTATTATTTATATCCATACACTCCTTATTACAAATATTTTGAAACTCATGATTACACAGTGTTTCATTTTCTGTATGGAATAACTTTTCATTGGTTATGGACCACATGTATTTGAAATTATTTAATTCTTTTCTTATTTAGGTATTGGATATTGGACTCATAGAATGCTTCACTTGAAATATTTTTATAAATATATTCACAGCGTTCATCATTCATTTAAGGAACCTACTGCCTTTTGCTATTGTGCAGCTCATCCTTTAGAAGGATTCATTGAAGGCAATCTTCTTCTCCATACTGCTGAATTGATTTTACCAATTCATCCTATGTAAACAATGATTTATGGAGGACTTATGGCTTTCAATGATCTCTTTGCTCATGATGGAGGGTATCTATTTTATATTTATTATAGAAAATATGATCATTCTGATCACTATAGACATCATCTCTATTATGTTGTAAATTATGGCGATGCCAAGATTGATCGATTCTTTGGTACTGCATATGATCCAGTATTTATATTATATATCAATTTAGAAAAACTATCCAGTTAAGGAAAAATGCACATATTTACCTGATTTCAAAGATAAAGATCATCCATTATTTTAGAGGTATAAATGATTATATATATTAATATTAAATATTTATTTTATATATGTGTATCGAATTTGCATTCAAAAGAGGTGGAATTACACTCATTAGAAATTTCCTTCATTCAGCAGAAGGAGTCAAGAAGTATTCAATATTTATATACAATTAGTGGACTTCCAACAGCTGTTCAAAATAGATTATCCATTAATTACAAGCTCAGAACATACACTTAAGGAAAAGTCACTGATGTTAGATGTAAATTGTATGACTTAAACCATTAGTTATCACTGATCCAGTTGCTGGATATTAAGCCAAAGGAGACAAAAAATGATTTATTATCAAAATAAACAAAATTATCACCATTTCATAGCAAATTATAATCAACGATATTTCATTATAAGAATCTATTCATTTTTATCAGTCTCTCTTATTCTCTTTAATTTCAAATTCAACTTAATCTTATAAACATAAATTTTTTTTTCTCTATTTTTCATTTATCAATATTTCTCTTAAGAAATATTATAATTCTTTATTATCACTTTCTCTCAAAACTCTTCTAATTAGAAATTAAATGCTATCTAAATAAACAATAAATTTATGCCATTTAAATTACCTAATATCTATTCATAAATATATTTTCATTTTCCTAGTGTATTATATATGCAAATATTAAGAATTTTTTTAAAAGATCAAGTCTTAAGAAGTGTTTAATATTTTTTTAAACAGTAAGCAAACTTTCACAAAAATTCTAAATATTTATTCCTTGAAAATACTTATAATATTTTATCAGAACTTTACTAAGAAATATCAAAATAAGGTTACCTTAAGGAAGTTATTGATAAAAAAATTCAAATTCAGGATTTTTGAAAGTTATATAACTTTTAATAAACAATCTAATTANATTCATTTAAGGAACCTACTGCCTTTTGCTATTGTGCAGCTCATCCTTTAGAAGGATTCATTGAAGGCAATCTTCTTCTCCATACTGCTGAATTGATTTTACCAATTCATCCTATGTAAACAATGATTTATGGAGGACTTATGGCTTTCAATGATCTCTTTGCTCATGATGGAGGGTATCTATTTTATATTTATTATAGAAAATATGATCATTCTGATCACTATAGACATCATCTCTATTATGTTGTAAATTATGGCGATGCCAAGATTGATCGATTCTTTGGTACTGCATATGATCCAGTATTTATATTATATATCAATTTAGAAAAACTATCCAGTTAAGGAAAAATGCACATATTTACCTGATTTCAAAGATAAAGATCATCCATTATTTTAGAGGTATAAATGATTATATATATTAATATTAAATATTTATTTTATATATGTGTATCGAATTTGCATTCAAAAGAGGTGGAATTACACTCATTAGAAATTTCCTTCATTCAGCAGAAGGAGTCAAGAAGTATTCAATATTTATATACAATTAGTGGACTTCCAACAGCTGTTCAAAATAGATTATCCATTAATTACAAGCTCAGAACATACACTTAAGGAAAAGTCACTGATGTTAGATGTAAATTGTATGACTTAAACCATTAGTTATCACTGATCCAGTTGCTGGATATTAAGCCAAAGGAGACAAAAAATGATTTATTATCAAAATAAACAAAATTATCACCATTTCATAGCAAATTATAATCAACGATATTTCATTATAAGAATCTATTCATTTTTATCAGTCTCTCTTATTCTCTTTAATTTCAAATTCAACTTAATCTTATAAACATAAATTTTTTTTTCTCTATTTTTCATTTATCAATATTTCTCTTAAGAAATATTATAATTCTTTATTATCACTTTCTCTCAAAACTCTTCTAATTAGAAATTAAATGCTATCTAAATAAACAATAAATTTATGCCATTTAAATTACCTAATATCTATTCATAAATATATTTTCATTTTCCTAGTGTATTATATATGCAAATATTAAGAATTTTTTTAAAAGATCAAGTCTTAAGAAGTGTTTAATATTTTTTTAAACAGTAAGCAAACTTTCACAAAAATTCTAAATATTTATTCCTTGAAAATACTTATAATATTTTATCAGAACTTTACTAAGAAATATCAAAATAAGGTTACCTTAAGGAAGTTATTGATAAAAAAATTCAAATTCAGGATTTTTGAAAGTTATATAACTTTTAATAAACAATCTAATTAACTAATCTCAGAATATATTTTTATTAACAAAAATTACCAACAAGAATATTATATACTTTGAATAAAATTTTTATCATTAAATGAGATAAATCTTCAGAAAGAAATTTAGAAATGAAATTATCCATTTAACTTATGAGTAATAAGGAATAAATTTATAAATATAATGTAAAAATAATTTATGATCTACTTGGAAAGCAGAGATTAATATAATATAATAAATATATAAAATAAGAACATTAAATATAAATTGATTGATAGGAAATGTAAATGATTTAAATTAATTTGTTATGTATAATTAGGAATCATTCAATTTTTTGGACTTGAATTTGATGTTCCTTGACAATATGTTCAAGACCAGCATTCTATATAAGAACAAAGTCAGAATAACCATGTTTTAATAGAATGGTAGCTGCAGTTTTAGCTCTGGCTCCTGAACGACAGTAGATATGTAATGTCTTGTCTTTAGGAATCAAATCAAGCTATATAGAATAAGATTAATGTATACTTAATTCTCTATTTAGAATAGAGGAATCATTAAAGATCCTGGAACAATTCCCGAGGTTTTGAATTCAACAGGATTTCTACAATCAATGAAAACATGATTTTAAGGTTGTCCTTTTGTATCTAAGAAATCTTTCAAATCAACAATATTTAATTGTTAAACTTCTCCTCCATTTCTAACATAATTATCAAATCCTCCTTCTAGATATCCAAGAATATTTTCATATCCAATTCTAAGTAATCTGATAATAGTTTATTCTTCCTTGCCTTCATCTGCAACAATAATGATTTTTTGATCAGGCTTAAAGAGAATACCAACAAAGGAAGCAAGAGTGGCAACTTAAGTGATATTGATGGATCCTTTAATAATTCCTTTGGTAACAATATCTCTAGAATCTAATATCAAAACACCTTCAGCAGCAATTTAAGTAAATTCTTAATAGCTTAAAGCTTTGGTAACTTTAGATTTAATATTTTAAAGATCATTAGCTCCTTGACGATTCTAAGATATGGATATATAAGATAATTACTAATTAAACATCATGGAAGAAATACTGAGGAGGAGCAGGTATATCGGTTGATGTTGTAACAAACTCTTCCTCAGTAATATTTTATAGTGCCCAATTTTTGAGTTTCTATTCACCAATAGTACTAACAGTTCCTGCTCCTATAGCTTTTCCACAAGCAGATCCTGCTCCATGTCCAGGATAGAGAATGACATCATCATTAAGTTTAAGAATTTTATTTCTCAGAGAATGATAAAGTAATGAGGCTAGTTATTGAGTTGTTAAACCTGAAGATTTAGATGCTAAATCAGGTCTGCCTACTTCTTCAAGAAATAAAGAATCTCCACTAAAAATTGCATAGTCTTTGCCATCTACTACTAAAACAAAACAACTAGATTCCATAGTATGACCAGGTGTATGTAAAACTCTAAGAGATGTGCTTCCTAAAGGTAATAATTCTAAATAATAGTTCAGAATATTATTTACCTTCATCTTATGCAATTTTTGCTTAATATTAAGTAATAGCTTAGGGACCCAATACTATTTGAGCTCCAGTAATTTTAGCTAAATCTACATGTCCTGCAACAAAATCAGCATGAATATGAGTTAAAATAACATATTTGAGAACAGAATTTCTTGTTTCACAAAATTTACTAATAAATATTAGGGAAAATATAATACATGTATTCTTCATAGTCTCTCATAGGATCAATGATGGCAGCTTCTTTGTTGGATTCAATGTAATAGGAGAATTAACCTAAACAACTAACTTAAAATTATTGGATGAAGAAATTTTCTCCAACCAATTAAGCTTTTTGAGCATTGACATATGCTGGTGTGGCAGTACATGTATTCATTTTGAGATTTTACAAAATATTTTATTTAAAAAAAAGATTTAGATTTAGAAATCCTTTACATTTCAATGCAAACCCATAATATTAGGAAAATTAGAAATAAATAAATATTTATATATATGAATATTTACTTTACCTATTTTAATTTGTATAAAATTAGATAATTCAAACATCTAATAATATTCTTCTTGGGTCTTCAATTGAAGTAGCTAATTTCTTAAGGAAAGTAGCAGCATCTTTTCCATCAAGAATTCTGTGATCATAAGTTAATGCAAGATACCTGTATAATCTAATAAAAATATTTACATCATTGGACGTGCTACAATTTAATCATTTCTAACAACAGGTCTATTAATAATGGCATGCATTCCTAAGATAGCAGATTATGGAGCATTGATAATAGGTGTTCCCATTAAACTTCCAAAAACTCCACCATTTGAAATAGTAAATGTTCCACCAACCATATCATCAGCTGATATTTTTCCTTATCTTCCTTTTTCAGCTAGATCAATAAGAGTCTAAAATAATGAGATAAATATACTTTCTCTATATCTGCAAAACTGAGTCGTTCACAATTTCTAAGTACTGGTACCATAAGACCAGTAGGTGTTGCTACAGCCATTGAAATATCTATATAATTTCTATAAACAATATCATTGCCATCAATAACTGCATTAACAATAGGTTGTTCTTACAATTATTTTACAGCAGCCTTAACAAAAAATGAGTTAAAACCCAATTTAACATTATATTTTTTTTAGAAATCTTTTTACATAGTTTCTCTAGCTTCCATAACAGCACTCATATCACATTCTTAAAATGTTGTAAGTAATGCATAAGTATTCTAAGCATCTTTTAATCTTTATGCAATACGCTATCTCATTCTTGACATAGGTTCCTATAATTGGTATATAACTATATATACTCTTCTTTCTGTTCTCTAAGTTGGATTTGTAACACTTGGAGCAACTGTTTTCTTTTCAGCAGGCTTTGTTGATGCAGCAGGACTACTCTTTTAACCTGCAGATGTTTCTTATTTTTATTCTTATTTCACTTCTTATTATTTTTATTCTTTCTTTTCTTCCTTCTTTGTTTCTTAACTTCCTACACTACCAGCTGGTTTTGCTGCTGAAGTATCAATTTCATAAAATGGTTTTCCAACTTCTACTTTTGCACCATCTGATGCAAACATCTAAGTAATTACACCAGAATCTGCACATCTTATGTCTATTGTTACTTTATCTGTCTCTATTAATGCAATCACATCATCTTAATTCACATAATCTCCAACCTCTAAAAATATCAAATCTAATTTATTTACTCTTTTATAATTCTTTTACATCTCCTTCTGTTATTGAATCACCCATTGTTGGTACATTCACTACCTTTTCTAATCACCTTATATCAAACTAATTACTTGAAAAATTGAATTTTGGTATTTGTACAAATTGTCTCTACGAAACTTTTAACAAAGAGATTGCGAACTATCTCATATCTTAATTTAAAATTTAGAATAATTATTCTCTATTTAATATAATATATTATATAATTCATCATCATCATCACATCTAATCTCTCTCTATTAACTTTTTTGCCCACATATCTTCAAATCCCCCATCTTAAGTAATCATTATACTCTCAAATCCATTTCTCACTAATATACTCATTGCTATTTTTGCTCTCCATCCTGATTTACAATATATATGTAATTTCTTATCTCTAGGAATCTTATCTACATTCCCTTCTAACTCAGGTAAAGCAATACAAATTGCACCCTTTACAAATCCAGTCTCTCTCAATTCTCCTATTCCTCTAACATCTACAAATACATGATCATCTAATTTATTTATATTACTTCTTTTTACCTCTATTATCATCAATATTGCATAACTCTTCCACTCCAACTATTTATACTTTTGTTGCCAATTCCCCTCCATTATTTTTATATGCTTCAAATCCTCCTTCCAAATATCCAAATATATTATCATAGCCAATTCTTAATAATCTTAGAATAGAATCTTTAGCTTCTCCATCCTTTCCAATAATAACTAATTAAGTATCTGGTTTAATAATAGAGCCAACAAAATTTACTAAACCAGACATAAATGTAACATTAATAGCTCCTTTAATTACACCTTCTTAAATATTAGGTCTTGTGTCTAGAATTAAAGCTCCCTACTTTACATAGTTCATAAATTGTTCAAAAGTTAATGCTTTTTGCACTTAAGTTAGAATTGAAGAAAAATCACTTGGCCCACTTTTATTCTATATAATAATTTTCTAAAATTACTAATTTAGCATCATGAAAGAAATATTGTGGTGGTTTTGGCATTCCTGTAAGAACTTATTAAATAAATTGCTCTTTCGAAATGTCTTAGAGAGCATAATTGTTTTTCTTTTACATACCTATTGTACAACATTTCCCAGCTCCAATAGATTTTCCACAAGATGATCCTGCTCCATGTCCTGGATAAACAATTACATCATCATTTAGTTTCATGACTTTATTTCTTAAAGAATCATAAAGATATGTTGCTAACATTTCAACAGTCAATTCTCCAACCTTTACAGCTAAATCTGGTCTTCCAACTTCACCTAAAAATAGTGTATCTCCTGTATAGACTGAGTGATCCTTTCCATTATGGACTAAAACAAAACAACTTGATTCCATTGTATGACCAGGAGTATGATCTATTCTTATTTATACATTTCCTAAAGGAAGTAACTCTCCATCTTTTCCTTCTTTTATAGGATAGTTCGCAACCGCTGTTGGACCATAAACTATTGTTGCCCCTGTCAAATTTTACAATTCTCTGTGTCCACTAACAAAATCGGCATGGAAATGTGTTTCAAGTATCCATTTGATTTAAGCATTTCTATTTTTCGCCAATTCACTTATTTTTTTATTGAACATCATACATATATTAATGGATATCTCTTAAAGGATCTATTACAGCTACTTCACCTTTGGATTCTATATAATATGAAAATGTAGACAGGCACTCAACATAGAATTACTAAATGAAAAAGTCATCAGATTCATTCTTTTCTGCCTAATGATTCTCATATATCTTAGGAGCAGCTATCATTTTTTATTATATATTAGAAAACAAGATTTAGTTCCAATTTTTATAGTATATATTAATACGTAATAATTAAAATACGAATTATTTAAACATACGCTAAATAATTTTATTTTTGCAAATAAGATAATTAATTTTCAAATTATCTTTATATAAATAACATATATATATAAAACCAATCCCAAAAAAATCTTCTTTTCCTACATCAAAAGTAATTAATTTCTATTTATCATAGATTAATAATATTTATAAAATTATTTATTTGTTTTTATGAGTGGAGTAGAAAGAAGGTTAATCTAAAAAAAATAAAAAAATTTTATCATAAATGAATTTTAACAGATGCCTAAATCTCCTAGGAGAGTCATATAGATTGATTTTTAACATTAATTTTAATAATTCAATCCTCATGAAAATTTCATGGTTTATTCATAATTGGAGATTTAAATAATTATGTATTGATAAGAAGAAATATAAAAAATTTGGAGTTTAATTACAGCAATTTTCAAAGCCTATTTAATAGTTCTTACTCGAGGTGTTTTTATTTATTAAATAATGAGATTTTTAATTAGTTACTTTAATTTCTTTATACATTATATTTAAGATACTATTCAACTGATTATAGAATTGTATTTAAAATGTTTTCAACACTTAATTATATAAAGAAGGTATTAATTTTAAAAACAGATTTGTGGAAAATTAGTAATAAAAAGCCGAATTGTATTGATATTAAGTTTGAATATATGATTATATGATTATATTTGATAATAGATTAATATAAATTTTTCAATGTTTAGCCTTTCCAAATCCAACCATATTAACATCTCTATCATAGATACTTAAGTATTTGGTTAAGAAGATATCTCCTAGAATCCATGCTGGTCCTTATGGGTCAGGAATGTCTAAAGGCATAAATGCTCCAATGCATTGTTTAGCTGATCCTTCTATAAAGGCAGAAGCAGAAACTTCATTACTAAGAGGGATTTCAGTTCCATCATCTTTCAATTCCATAATATAATCTTTAGCTTCAAGATCATAATTAATTCCATCAATTTTGAATGTGAGAGTTGGTAATTCTTTCAGATTTGAACAATTATCATTAATGTTTGTAAGATCTAAAATAAATAAAATAAAATGTAGTTACCTAACAATTTCATTAAATCATCATATGGACCAGTAATAAGGGAAGTACCAGTATCAGCAACAACTTTGCATCCTTTAGGACAGAATCCTTAATCTTGGCCATTAACAAGGATATTTTCAGCTTTAATCATCCAATAATATTTATCAATAACAGGATGATAATGAACAGGACCATCAAGTTTAGTTACATCATAACCACCAAAAGTTAATTATGATTCATAACTGTTAACTTTGTTACTCATGTAGAATGAGAATTGGTTAGATTATAATTTTTTTTATTTCATGACATTATCGAATAAAGGATTTAAGTTGTAAGCAGCCATAGAAGGATATGCCAAACCTACAATACCATCAAATCCAGACTTAGATAATCATTTTATATTAATACATTTTAGAATACAGCTCCGTTTTCTTCAACTATCTCAGCAATATTTTAATCTTCTATTTCAATTTCTCCTAATTTTACAACATCTGAATTTACTTCACCATTCAGATCTCCTGTACCAAATTATACATTTAAAGCATAACCAAGATGTTTTGATCTGAAACTTGGTTTATATTGTGTATGCTATTTGCATCCTTCATTTTTGCATTTTATAGAATCTATCCAAAAATTTGCAGATCCTGTATCAAAAATAACTTAGAATTCTTAATCACCAACAGTAATAGGTCCTGTAAATTAAGTATTCTTAAAATTATGTAATTTAAGATCTGCCTACTTCTTTTCAATATTCTATTATGGTTTTGGTACATAATCTCCAAATTCAATTTCCTAAATATCTATTGGTGTTTATTATCTGAAATATGTTTATTTTGTTGTTAAAAAGTCATACATTTGTTTTGCTGATACCTATATTTTGTATTTTGTAAATTGAATACAATAGTATGAGTCTCTTTTAACTTAATTGTATAAAGTTTATTCTCTTAAGGTGTTGTACTTGATTCTTATAGGAAAGTACCTTACTCTTATCCACAAAAGACTAAGAGAATGAAAAGAGAGTATAGGATAATGTTCATTGTATAAAAACGATAATAAAAATTAATATGTAACCACTTTGTGATCCAGCATAGGATAGAGTAGTTAAGCAAGTACCTTTACCACCTCATCGTCCTTTAGATAATGATCTAATGTTTCCAGCTAAGAATCAAGGTAAATGAAATATGATTATATTAGGGAAACCTGACTGGAAACTTATAAAGGAGCATTTAGAAAGAGAGGGGAGAATTGCAAAGAAGGAAGTAATAAAATTAGTAACAATGGCAAACAAAATTTTTAGTAAGCAATCGTTATTATAATAAAGAGAATGAGGGCAGTTTGATACATCTGTCAGATCCATTGACAGTAGTAGGAGATATTCATGGGTATAATTTTGAAAATAATAAGTTAGATAATTTTATGATTTCCTTAAGATTCTTGATGTGGGTGGTAATCCAGAATCATAGAAATATGTGTTTTTGGGTGATTATGTTGATAGAGGACCATTTTCAATAGAGGTGTTAATTTTGTTGTATTCTCTAAAAATTAATTATCCACGAACTATATATATGCTTAGAGGAAATCATGAATGTAGATAACTAACATCTTTCTTTAATTTCATGGATGAATGCAAATATAAATATGATTAAGAATTGTATGATGTTTTCATGGATTCATTTGATAATCTTCCATTAGCATGTATTATTAATAATCAATTTATTGCACTTCATGGAGGAATATCTCCAGAATTAAGAAATGTATAAAATAATTTATATGTAGGTTGCTGATGTCAATTAAGTTGAGAGATTTAGAGAACCACCAAAAAATGGATTATTTTGTGATATTCTTTGGGCAGATCCTGTCGATAATGATGATGGAATATGTGAAGGATAGTTTAGAATTAATGAAGTCAGAGGCTGTTCTTACTTTTATGGAATGGAAGCAGTCAGCAGATTTTTGGAAAGAAATAAATTGATATCTGTTATAAGAGCCCATGAAGCTCAATTAGAAGGTTATAAAATGCATAGATGGGATGGTGGATAAGATTTTCCTATGGTAATAACTATATTTTCAGCTCCTAACTATTGTGATGTCTACAACAATAAGGGAGCTGTTATTAAATTTAAAGTATGTATCTTTTTTTAATAATTCTAGAATAATGATCTTAACATTCAATAATATAATTATAGTTAACATCCATATCTATTACCGAATTTCATGGATATTTTTACATGGTCTATCCCTTTCGTTGCAGAAAAAGGTAACTCTAAATACTATTATAAAAGTCACTGAAGTGTTATTCCATATAATCTAACCTAGAGATGGTGAAGCTATAGATGAAATTGTTGATGAAGATGATATTGCAAAATTCAAAGAATTAGTAGGAGATCAATAGCATAAAAATAAAGATGTTTTTTTGAAAAGCAAAATAAAATTTGTATTTAGAATGATGCAAATTCAAAAAGGACTAAGATAACAAAGTGAAAGTCTAGTCTAAACTAAAGGTGCTTGTCCAGATAATCGTATTCCTAAAACACTTCTAGATAGCATAAAAGATTGTAATATTTATTTTTAATAATAATATTAGCGAATGGAGCATTTTAAACTGCTAAAATGGCTGACTCAATCAATGAGAAAAGACCTGGACTCAGTTAATGATATTAGAATCATATAAATAAACACTCATTAATTTCAATTCAAACTACTCCACTAAAAGGTATTGGAATATAAAAATGATCTATACTATCTACTGTCTTAGTAACACTCTCAGTTAATACCCATTATTTCATTCTTAAATTATTTAATCTCTCTGTATTAACTTCATTTAATTATTTTTATAAGATAAGTAAACTCATATTTAGCTTTCTGATTACATCTGTATTTTTTAATAACTTAATTAAATCAATAAATTCTTACAACTTCATTTTAAATGTTAGTTATGAAAAAACGATCTGCCAAATTATATAGAGATTATTAATACTTTTTCAATTCCTAATCATATTCTTCTCTCTCCTTTTTTATTTATTTTTAATAAACTCCAAATTATTGTTAAATCTCTTATACATCAAAATTATATGGAATCTAATTTAAATACAAATTTAATATACACTAAAATATCCTGGTATGTCTGATGCACCATATCTTTTAGTTACATATAAACATATTTAAGGATCAGCCTTTTCCAATCTTTTAAAAAAAGGAGATAATGCTTAAACACTTATCAAATTTGTTGTTTTAGGTATGATTTTTTCAACAACTAATTTTAATCATAAATTATTATCCATACATATATCACTTTATTCTTTAGTTAATTCTTAATCAAAAAATATCAATCTTGGATCTATCATTTAATCAAATATTTGAAATAAATTAGGTATCATCTCACATTTATCTAGCATTATACTAGCCCATAATCTAGGCTTTATTTAAGGCATATTTGCTTGTCTCATTTATTAATTAGCATTCTTTAAAAATTTATCGTATTCGGATTGCATTTAAGCTGAAAAAATTGATGCTCTTAATGCTAATTACTCTGTATCTTATGTTGTTGATCTTTTCTTTAATGATGTTGTTGTATCTAAAAAGTTTTTCTTCACTTTTTCATATTAGTTTGTGTAAGTAACAAATGGATTACTTTGCTTATCTATAAATTCCTTTCTGATTTCATAATATTTCTAATTTATCTATTCCTTTATTTAAGTTGTAACTCTAAAATTAATTTATACATATATACTTATCGATTGCACCTTATTAATCTTTTCCTAAATATGCGTCTAATACAATTGTAAATGGTAAAAACTTCCTTGCTTTTGTATTCTGTTTTTCAGCCATATAAAACACCAATTCTTATGGTTCTGTACGTTCATTCTAAGACACAGCATCAAAATAATTATTAAGAATCTTTAATGATCTAGTATTCTCCATTTTCACATTGTCAGGTGCATTTTACAACATATCTGGATGAATTGCCTTATAAAATTCTGTTAGTTTTGACTTATTCTTAAAAGTATTAGCTGTGGAACTAAATGCCACAAATATTTTTGATAGCATTTAAAATAATAGCAAATTATAAAAAACTTATTATCAAAATGTTTCTCAACTTATTTATTCATTTCTAATAAATCAATTCATATTCTTTTATCTATGCACATTCTTAAATACAATATTAAAAACAGAAAAATGTTTAAATATCTTTATTCATATAGGATTTTGAATAAATCATTTATCCACATATAATAAGCTTTTATTAACAATTAACTAATAGAACTATCTAACATCCAAAATTATATTAAAACTTCAGGATAATGAATATAAATTAAAAAGCTTGTTTTATTAATTGCTCGATTCTGAATAAATCTTATAATAGAAAAAAGTGAAAAAAATAAAATTTGGATGCTTTGTTGTATATCTTAGATGGATTACAAAATGATCGATTAGAGCATTTTTTGGAATGAAAGCTTTCAATAATAAAGGAGATATATAGATTTAAAATCAACAGCCCCATAAATAACCTCTGATGGAGAATAATTTATTGAAACTCTTTAATGTCCAATAATAGTAGCAGGTAAATTAAGATTTTATATTTAATTGATGTAGCATAACTTATTTCTTGTGGACATACATTCGAAAGGTATGCTTTACTAAAACGGTTAAATATAAATAATGTATGCCCTTTCATTCTGAAAAGTTACTAATCAAAGTAATATCATTAAAAATTAGGCACTTTAAGACATTATTAATAAATATATATCTAAAAACTGATTTTAATAAAATATCTGAAATGCACATTCAATATATTTAAACATCTACAAAAAATTAATTTAATTTTAAAGTTCCTTTCTTAAAAAATTACTATTAAGATTTAAAAAGTTTTTTTGATAGCTTTAGATTTATTAAAATAAATTAAAAATCTGATTTTTCTGGATTTTAAAATTAAATTTTATTAAGCTTATTTAATAATCTATGAGCAATAAGTTACTCTATTATAAAATCATATATTTAAATATAATTTAGCACCTTTTCTTATAATTTTTAATATAATTATTCTACTGTTTTAATCTTTTCAAAAACAAATTGACTGAATGAAAATAATTTAGTATCAATTTAGAGACAATTCTACATTAATATAATTAGATTGATCAATAATGTAAAATTGAGAATGATATAAACTTTAAATAAATTAGATTATATTCAATTTTGGGTATATATATTTTATTTATATTATAATATTAATCATTTTGGTCCTTATGCTGCAAGAATAGCCATCTCTTATGCTTCTTAAGCTTCTATTTTTTCCATATATTCTTAAAGTTATTCAGCAGGTATTTCATCAGGCATTAATTGAGTTTATTTAATTTCATATTCAGATTCTTCTGGATTCATCATCAATGAACCATCTGCAGGCTAAAATGGTGAATCAACTCCTTTTTAATCTGGAATTGTATCCTTTTCAAATACTGGATTAAGTTGATTTTCTACAACATCAACAGGCATTTGATCAGATGGGTCTTAAGTTTATACTTCAACGTTTAAAGCATTCAAATATTAGTCATCATCAGAACCCTTTGTTGATGTTAATTACTTTTGTTTTTCTTCTTCATATCTTCTTTATTCTTCTAAATCTAATTAATCTTGCTCTTAGGTTGTTAAATTTATTTCAGACTCAGTTTGCTCTTATATTTCTTATTATTCTTTCTATTCAGATTAAATTTGTGTTTCTTATACTAATTCTGCTTCATTCGTAACAGTTTCAGCATGTTCTTAATAACTTTTATCATCATCAATATATTCAATTTCTTAAGTCTAAACCAATGATTTTTATGAGTTTGCTGTATTCTATTTATGATGACGAATATTATGACCAGCAAAACCTAAGCAAATGATTGCTAATACCAATAATGCTTGTTTCATCAAAACGGATTATATTATTATTATTATTCTTGCATTCAAATTATTACATATTGAATATATTGAATATATTTTATATCTCTATTTTTAAGAACTTATCATAAACCAAATATTTTAAACTCTATCTATTCAAATGCCAATTTATTTTTGTTTCTAAATTATCTACTCTACTTATACCTAATTAATAGGTTCCTATAAACTTTTGATTTCTATTTATGTAAATCAAGATCAATAATACAATTAATATATAAATACTATATCTAATAGAACTGAATAAATAAGTATGAAAAATCAAATATAATCTAAAATATTTGGAATAAAAGTTCAACAGAAATTCAAAAATTAGAAAATATTAACTATCATTATCAAGTATTAAATTGCTTTGATTGATTTGACAACTTATTATTTGTATTGATTTTCATTTCATATTATTAAAATTAAATTTATAAAAAAATAGTCACTTTTTTATTGTATAAAATAGATAAGATTATAGCAGTAAGCCATTACTATGTTCACAAACTAAATTTATAAATATTGTATCAAATAGCTAACTATTTAATAAAGTTTTGTTGGAAGAAAATTTGCATAAAATAAAAAATAAAATTTAACATCTATCTATTTTATTAATATTCCCTATTATTCATGTATTATGAACATATTTAATATAAAATATAATTATTGATTGAATAATATGACATAGTTTTTCAGTTAAGAAAAATTTAAGATCTAATTAACAAATTTTATTTTGATCAAGAATTATTTATTAGAGATGAAGATAAACAATAAAATAAGTATTTTTTTTATAAATAAATATTTAGACAAATTAGTATAGGTATTAGGTTTGTATTAAATTTGAAAAATATTAAAAAGTTTTTAAACCCATAAAATTAGAAAATTAATAATAATATATAAAGGAATAAAAATTACAATTAAATTTCATACCTTCTCGGCCTTTTGGCTAAGATCAAGTGTAGTATCTGTTCTTATCAGAGTGATATCTGATATCTCCTACGAGGAGAATGATATCACTGCAATTTTTAAATGGGGCTGGGTTTACTTGGGGCTTGCCCCGGTCCCAGCATAGTCGACCCTGACTTACACGACCTCGGGGAACGGCTAACCCGCTACTTTTAAAATTAAACAAACGAAATTTATTATTATTTTAATTTAACGATTCTTTATTCATAATCTAACTAATATTTTCCTATTTATATATTTATCGTTCTACTAAAAATTTGAAAAAGGATAACAGAAATCATCCTAGTTATTCTGTCTGTAAAATTTAAAAATAAAACATTGAATTCTCTTTTTATGATATTTTCAGCCTTATTAAACATATTTAGAAAATTAATAAATATTTATATAATATAGAAATTATTTATTAGAATAAAAATGAATA